ACTGATACATCAAAGTCAGCTCCAAAGGAGGGTTCTCCCGTCACAGGAGTATCGGAAAAGAACCTTGATTCATTAAAAGCAGTTCCAAAGGAGGGTTCTTCCATCACAGGAGTATCGGAAAAGAACCTTGATGCATTCAAAGCAGCTCCAAAGGAGGTTGTTCCTCAATACACAATATATGATAAAATCGATGTGAATGCTGCTGAGCCAATTCCTTACACTGCCCAGAGAAGAAAGGAACTGTCCTACACCGCACAAAGAAGAAATGAGATCGGATACCTAGCACGTAAAAGACGTGATCTGGCTTACGCTGCAGGGAAAATCCTGAGTCCTGCATATCCTGGACGGAAAAGATGAGACATTTGATTTTTGTGTGTTTTTTTATATTTAATTTTGAATGCCAACATGCAGTCATGAAAGCATTGTATTGCGGTTGCGTTGAAAATTAAATATACCTGTATATACGTTTTGTTATGTAATATTCTTGACTGGAAGCACAACCAACGTTTGAATGACAATGAACAGAGCCCGTGTGCTACAGTTTGTGTTCGTAAAGAGCAAGAATTTGATAAACAGAAAAATATTTTGCATTCTCAATATCATATATAAATGTACAAATAAATAAATAAATAAACATAAATATTGTTTAGTTTTTCATGATTTTGATCAATGACCAAGGAAGGAAACGCGTGTTTCAGCCCTACCATCACTGACAAATCCTAGAAGGAACAAATTGCGGTATGCCTGTGTAATAATTGATTATAATTTTACTTGTATTTTAATTTGTCAATCAATTAAAATGAAAAGAGTGACGTCATTATTGTTAATCGGCAGATAATTCGGTATTGAAGAGTAAAAAGCTAACGAAATCTTATAGGAAGCGACTCCAGTTTTAATACAAGGGTATAGACAATTTTTTTTTCAATTAATCTTTTCCAATTTTTGATATTTCATTAATAAAAAAATGACTATATCACAGCTGTAATTGATTCTATTGGTCATTTGATTACATCTCACCAAAACATATACCGATATATAACCTCATCAGAATAGCAAATAATGTGTAAAACACGCAACAAAGAGTAAAAGGAAATAGCAAGGAAAAATTAATATGTCATACAAGGCAAGGGCGTATCTTAATCAAATCCATCTGTTCTAAATATCGCTATACACGACTGGGGATGAAACCAAAATGATAGTCCCGTGTGTTTTTGTAATAATTTTGCTGAAACTATTGAACATTTTCTCCAATTTTGTTCTAACTTCCAATAATAAAGATTACAATGTTTCAGAAATGTTCCTCTTGGGTATTAAATGTCAATTCCCTGCTGTATATAGGAATCCTGATATGCCAGGTCAATATGTTTAAAATAGTTTTGACTCTTTCTCTGTTAGCCGACACGATTTGAGAGATTTCTTCCATGTAATTAATGTATTTGTTTAAACAATGTACACAACACCTGTAACACATGGAAGTATGGTTTTTATACTGGAAAAGTCTTGTTGGTATTGAAATCATTACAGATTATCACAAGATATCAGAATTGTCAATGTATAGCAATTTACATGCGATATAATGCTATCAAATGCATCTTTTATAGAGGTCTTCAGTGTTGTTCAGCGATCACATTCCAACCAGTTTCAAACAGTTTTTCTTCCTGTTCGCTTTTACAGTCGATTAATGGGTGTCCCGGTGCTGTAGCTTATTGCAATTAATGCACTGTGGTTACTACATATAAATACATGACCAAAGCTAAGACGGATAATAAATTCGTTTCTACTTTTTTTATATATATATATAAGAATACATTATACCACCTTAAATTTGACTGGTTTAACTCAATCACCCAAGCTACTAAATATATGTTAGTAATAAACATTTACTTTACAGTCATAAAACATAATTTTTGGAAATATCACGTTCGAGGGACAAGGCCAATCTGATGTAACAATTCACTATTCATTTACAAGAATAATTACTTGCACTATTTTTAACTCCACTCACGATCAGTTCGTTTGCTTTTGCGAACTAATAACTTAATGTTTAGCTTGAAAACCGAAATGTTCTTAACATTCCGATCGTTAAGGCTGTATGTAACTGACGCGGATATTTTTCTTTGTTTTGATATATATACAGATCTAATGATAGCAGACAAGAAAATAAAAAATTGCGATCTTGTAAACGACAACTTATTGGAAATGACTGTCAACAAAGACTGTTACCAAAAAGAATATACTGACATGTTGACATAATCGTTTAAATTAAAAGCAAAAAGACAAAAAAAGTAAAATGTGATGAAACGAAAGACTACGACGGAGACTGGTGTAAAGAATAACGAGAAAATGATGTGTTCCGGAATGTTAAGCGTCGTCCACTCTTCCGACGACAATCATGATGAAAATCTTGGCCAGTGTCGCGTTCTCTAAGGAGGTAAGGTGAACTACAATCAAACCATAGGTATACATAGAGCGTCGAACACATCTAACTTCATATCTCACACAGATATAGAATATTTCCCAGTGAGATCATGACGGCACCACTAAAACTTCTCAACTGTAGTCACCAACCTGCCTCTCGAAATTCTCTGTTGTATACGTTTGTCTGTAGCTCGACATTTCATGGAAATTGTGACATTGATGATTTCCGAAACCTATTTGCTGAATTTACTCATAAATTTCATGTCAATACAAACCTTTTAAGATATCAGGGCCTTAGTTCGTCGCTAAAGAAATTCATTTCTTCTAATAATGTACGTGTTCATGAGCTAAACTTAACTTATCCCTACATACCTATTAAATCAGAGCTTCTTCTTAGAGAGAAAAAAGGTTCTAAATGGTTCTATGACACTTTGATCAAATCTGATCTGACTTCATCAGGTACCAAAAAGTGGAATACAGTATTTTATGATATAGGCAAACCAATTTGGGAGATATCCTATAATTGTTTATTGTAAATAATAACACAAAAGTTCAGTGGTTCCAGTACAGGGTTGTCCATCATATTTTAGCAGCTAACTCTTTCTTGTTTAAGATTAGGTTAGTTATCTCCCCTTTGTGTGTTCTCTTTAACTCTGAAACGGAAACAACTATCCACATATTATGGGAATGTTAAGAGGTGCAAAAATTATTGTATAACTTTGAAACGATACTACTAGATGCATTGCTAATCCCTTTTTCAATGAACATTTTTTCTTATCTTTGGGTTAATTCATAGGAATTATCTTCCTAGCAATCGAGTAGATAATGAAATAATTATAACCATTAAGCAATATAGTTTTAAGATGAGATGCCTGCATAGCTTACTAAATATAAATGCTCTTGTAAATACAATTATAGACATTATACAGTTCAAAAAAACGTATTGCTTATGGTAAAGATGACATATTTAAGTCTTAATTTGAAAAAGAATGGAAAAAATGGCACAGGATTATTAATCTTTAATAAACTTTTCATGTGCACCCTAGCTTTCTGTTTCTGTTTACCTCCACATACTTATGTTTGTGCTTATATTTTTATTTGAAATATATATATCTATACAAATATGTAAGTCCTTCATATAGCCAAAATAATATGTTCTATAACTTGACAATTTGTTCTCTCTTTTTAAATTTATCTTTGCATACACAAACTTCTTGGTTTATCATCTCGACCAACCCTTTTTTTCTTTCTCTTTCCTCTCTTATCTCCTTTCTTTCCTGAAGTTTATTTCTCTTTTTCTAATCTTTGTTTCTTTCATTCTTACAAAAAGCAAAAAGGTACAATGTCCTTCATGACACAGTGACTTGTGTGTTTACTGAGAAATGGATGTTGATACTTGCATCATGTACGTTTTACAGGTGCTTCCATATATTTATGATGTATGTAAGTTTGCATGTATGTACATACAATGTATGTAGTAACATATGTTTGTGTACAAATAAGTATGTTCCTACATGTGTAAGAATGTAAATGAGTGTGTGTATGTATTGTTTGTGTGTATACATACATGTATACATGTAAGTCTATGTATATGTCTGTATGTAAGCATGTACATATGTACTACATATGTGTGAGAGGGTGTGTGTGTGTATGTTTATGTGTGTGTACCTGGGTGTGCATCTGCATAAAGTCTCGAAGTTTGAACATGTAGGTGTGTTCTCGTGCATGTGTCTGTAAACGTATGTTTATTTTTATTCATGTATCTACTGTACATTGTACTAAATGAAAAGATACTACAAAAAAGTTCTGAAACCTCAAAATAACTGCAACATATAAATAACATAAGTAAACTGTACAATAAGTGTGAGTCAGGATTGATTTACAGACCTTGATCTGTCCTCTTTCGCACATATTGCAGTTTTCGGTTGGTTTCTGCAACATATATCTATATCCAAGTCTAGCGATACTGTACATACTGGAATATGAATTTGAAGAACTCAAATGTACCCTGGGTCAATCTTAAACATTTTCTAAAGAAAAACATCGTCTCTTTTTTAACTTTTGTTTTGTTTTCATTCAGTACGCTGGCACACCCCATTCAAAACTATAAGAACACCTTCATTCAATTATAATGAGCGCGTTGTTTCCATACAAATGTGCGTATTTAGTAAACAATATATGGGTATTTATTGACGATTGTTTAAATCCCTATCGAACTGAATCAGAAAGGACACATCTTCATCATAGAACTTTACTTCCAATGCAAGCAGAGGAGCGTTGCCCAAAGCCCTGAGTGACGTGACAAATGATTGGGATTCTTGGGAATATTGCATTAATTACCAATAATATGTATTATTGTTTCCTTGCAAGATGTTGACTGACACTTACACGACAGGGTTTCGAAAGGATGCAGGCTGACGTCATGAAAACCTTGGAGAGGTTTTACTGTCAGCATAAATACACTGGTACCTGATTCTGATGAAACTTGTGTACAACACGACTTTTGTATTACAATGACAGTCAGATATTCAGAGTAGCAAAATACACAACTAGTATTAAAATAAGAAAACGAAACAACAGAATCACATGTCAGGATAAATTATGTATTTAATCAAACATACTGTTAGTTAGAATCAATATGATGAAATGATTGCAAACAGTTCAAAACAGGAGATTAAATAATTAAACACACATATAGAAATATTCTATAATATTAACTTTAACCATTGTACTAAACTACACTGGATCTTGGTTAATCCCATCAAAGTCCTGTTTCTGGTTGATAATGTGTCCATTTCTATTTCAACTTCCATTTGGGAAATCAGTTTCTCTATAAGTAATCCATAAGGGAAAGATTGTAGTCACATTTATTATGAAAATCTTCATCCCAAAATCGTAAATATTCAACGATGATTATGAAATTTGTGATCCGTTACCCTGAAACTGTTTCGTCTTCAATTACAAGATTCTAAGTAGAATGAACTTTTGTGGGGATGAGAAACAAAATATTAATGAAACTATCCCTATCTTTTTTCTATCTTGATATTTCTGCATTTTGGTATTTACATGTACCTGTCTATCAATACTGTAAAAAAGCAACAGAAAATACATAGCAGTAATGACACACTAATGCTTGTATTTCTTGTACCACTAGTTTGTAAAATATTGACCCCATTATTGTCATAATACCACTATTATAATGTTTTTAACAGCTAACTATCACTTTGAATTTCCTTTCAATTTTATTCGACTTGCTTTTAAAAATTTTTCAAATGTATACAGAGACATGCATGTATACAGACAAATAAATTAGTGTGATGTAGTGAATTTGATACAAAGTACATCAACATGATAACCTTTGTAGATAATTCTGTAACTGTGCAATTTCTACCACAGTGCAATGTGATCTATTAAGATAAATAATGTACTGACAATATCAATTAAAACAATGGTTGTACTATAATTGTCATGAATTGACTGAAATAACAATTGTCACAACGTTCACATCGTCTCAAATATGATGATCACTTGTAAACATAATTTTCTTTAAATCTGCACATACATTGAAAAATAATCACATGCATTGTAGACAAATAAATCTCAAAAAAACAGGGAAGTATTTTTACAGTTAAGCAAACTGTTTCATTTCTCTCTCACTCCCTAACAATAGTTTTCTATTAAAATGAATGATTTCCAAGCTGAATTTGGCCTCACCTTTAGTGTGGTAAGTCAATGACCATCCTGTAATGACACGGAGAAAATTTTAAAATAAAGGCACAACCTATGAAGTAAACATGGACAGATTTACCTCCCGTCCATGTGCATGTATGTTATGACTTGTTAAACAAGGGTTAAGGAAATCCCCGTTTTCCACTACAATGTACTTGCATAAATTGCCAATATTTGGAAACCAGCAATAAGCAAAAGGTTGCACTAAACTATAAGCCTTGTAGGTCAGACAGACTAGGTTTGGAGTAGTTCTGTTTACTCTAAATTTGATAAGCCTCCCTCTGTTTGGCTTTCATTTTTCGGTAAAGATGATCACAGAGGAAGTCCCCAACCCAAATTGGAATGTGGGAGAAAAAGAATGGAAACATCTATGTAATCATCAAGCTGAAATTCTTCCTTAACATTCACCCACATCAAGAGGAATCACTAAATATCGCTATACTGCCTCTTCTCCTCACTATACTGCCTCTTCTCCTCGCTATACTGCCTCTTCTCCTCGCTATACTGCCTCTTCTCCAGGTTTAGAAATGCTCAAGATCTGATGGACACTAATATGATTTTCTAATTAACAAAAAGGACATTTCTAATCCATGTGTTACCTTCATTTGTAGGTAAAACAAAATCTAAGAAATGGAATACTAGACTGACACTAAGACCTTATCAACAATAATACTGTGTATGTTGTAGATTATTTATGTTCAATTAGCTTCAAATCTATTTTCCCATTAAGAATCACAACTCACAAGAAGGCATACATTCATACACATCTTGTAAAATGCCAGTTTTGCAAATACAAGTACAATGTTAACAGGAAGGTATACAACTTCACTCTGCTGATGAAAAAGACTAACTTTACTGTTATATTGTGTAAATATTAATCTCACAATATTTGTATACAATATACGATATGGTACAACAGTATCGCTATAGTCGGGGATAATAAAGAATACGAACAAACTAATCACAGAATTTACTGTCCAAATCAAAAACGTAACGAGCATGCCGTATTTACATCAAGATAAATAAAAAATCATTCTAACCAACAGGTAATCACTCAATAGTAAAATGTTTACATATTCAAACAAATCACGGGACATAAAAATATCAACAAAGCACTGTACGGTAAGTAAGAAACAGCCAGAACCTATTAATAAAAATATCACAAGTATAATCCACCAATCAAAATTCAGAACAAAATTAATGAAGGCAAGATTGTAGTATTACCTGTTAAACTTATATCTTTTTGAATTTTGACTGAATCTTTCAACTTTTGCAGTCCAAATTTTTTAACTTTATTGACTATACAAACTAGATCATGGTATCATTTGACTTTCTGCTCACATTTGACATTGGATTTTTTTAAAAAATGAATTACATCAGTACTAATAGGTATTCACTTTTTCTAAATGCTACTTTTATGTATATATACCGGATACATCTGTATTAGAATATGTTTTACTAATATCAAAATGTTCTTCTATAATTATAAAGGTAAATTGGGTGTATATCGTCCTGTGAATACATCAGTATACATTCTATTAAATTAATTATATTTATCTACTATACTCCAATATGATGAAACAATGTCTTTTGAAAATGTCTATGTTTCATAATCAATCATAGAAGCAACTTATAACAGTCTATTCATAATGAAAAACTTCAGAATAGATAACAGGCTTACAGAGACTAGCAAGAAATCAATCAACCCCACCTTACTTAATAGGGAAATTAATATGAACACAAAGCAAAGAACAGCTTAATATACCATACTACATAATAACTGATACACTAAATAAAATACTGTTACAGCACAAAAAATATTTCCTAACTCCATGACCGGGAAAGCACTATGAAAGACAACCCAATACCACATGTAAGTTACATCTACCACAGAGTGGATATACCATTATAATAACTACGATACTGTTCCACCAAACAATTAAACTGATTGATATCAAATGAATGGTAAGAAGACAGTCATTGTAACTAAAGGAGTATGACGTTAATGAAGTATATAGTTTAAGAAGTATAAATGTAGGTAAAAGAAGAAAGGTAGGTTAAGGAAAGAAGGTCATTGTATACAGGTTAAGGAAGTTTGTAGGTTTAGAAAGTATGCAGGTTGGGGAAGAATGTACATTATGTAGGTTATGGAATTGTGTAGGTTAAGGAAGTGTGTAGGTTAAGGAAGAATGTATATTATATAGGTTAAGGAAGTGTGTAGGATAAGGAAGGCTGTAGAGTATGGAATTGTGTAGATTAAGGAAGAATGCATATTATGTAGGTTAAGGAAGGCTGTAGGGTACGGAACTGTGTAGGTTAAGAAGAATGTACATTATATAGGTTAAGGAAGTGTGTAGGTTAAGGAAGGCTGTAGGGTACAGAATTGTGTAGGTTAAGGAAGAATGTATATTATGTAGGTTAAGGAAGTATATAGATTAAGGAAGGTTGTAGGTTAAGGAAGAATGTACATTATATAGGTTAAGGAAGTGTGTAGGTTAAGGAAGGCTGTAGACACGCAATTGTGTAGGTTAAGGAAGAATGTATATTATGTAGGTTAAGGAAGGTTGTAGGTTATGGAAGTAAGTGAGGTGAGGAAGTATGTAGGTTAAGAAAGAATGTACATTACATTATTTCACAGAAATTGTATCTTTGTTAACCTTTACCATTGAAACATGATGAGGATATCAAAACTGAAGCAAGTTTTCTTGTTAGTATTATTTAGCCATTCACAAAATACATGTCACTTTAAACACAGAAATGTAGTTATATTAAATCAATACATTAAATAGAAGAAATAACATTTCAAACAATTTAGTCAATTTGCACTTTACAACTTGGTTTCAATGTAAACCAATACATGAGATTCTTTAGAGAGCTGTATTCTGATTATAACACAACACATTTACTCCCCGAGTTTACAGTTTCTTTGTCATTCCTGAGGACCTCCTTTCACTGAGGACATGTTTTCATTACATTACCTTATTAGTAAGAGTGCTGCACAAAAATGGAAGTTTTATTAATTTTCAAGTACATTTATTTATTCTTGTATGAAAATAGAATTTACAGTAGTAGAACAGATTAAAATCTCACGTTTTATTACTGGCCTATTTGAACAAAACTTCCTACGGACTGCATCCTAAAGTTTCTCTTTTCAGACAAAGTGATAGTTATGATACACTTGTAATACACTCAATAATCAATTATGCCAGACTACAGTCAAGAGCTTCAGTGATGTATCAATACTGAATACATTAATGGCCTTGTTATTTATCAAGTATTTCTGGATATATTAGCATGTAGTGCAAAAGGATATACTTTCAATTCCTCCTTTCTCACATAGGGTAAATCTAAAGGCAAATAACAGTAAATTCATGTGTATATGTAACCTTAAGTCATAATAACAAAAATCAATAAATAATTACAACAACAAAATTGTGATATAAACAATTAAGAAATGTTATGCATATTTCAGATACTAAATTAAATGTGGACAGTAGCTATGAATGTAGTGTGGGCTGTAGATATAAATGCAGTGTGGGCAGTAGATATAAATGTAGTGAGCAGTAGCTATAAATGTAGTGTGGACTGTAGATATAAAGTAGTGTGGACAGTTGATATAAATGTTGTGTGGGCAGTAGATATAAATGTAGTGTGGACAGTAGATATAAATGTTGTGTGGGCAGTAGATATAAAGTAGTGTGGACAGTAGATATAAATGTAGCGTGGACTGTAGATATAAATGTTGTGTGGGCTGTAGATATAAATGTAGTGTGGGCAGTAGATATAAAGTAGTGTGGACAGTAGATATAAATGTAGCGTGGACTGTAGATATAAATGCAGTGTGGGCAGTAGATATAAATGTAGTGTGGACTGTAGATATAAATGTTGTGTGGGCTGTAGATATAAATGTAGTGTGGACAGTAGATATAAATGTTGTGTGGACAGTAGATGTAAATATTGTGTGGGCAGTTGATATAGATGTAGTGTGGGCAGTAGCTATAGATGTAGTGTGGGCAGTAGATATAAATGTAGTGTGGGCTGTATATATAAATGTAGTGTGGGTTGTAGATATATATGTTGTAAATGTAGTGTGGACAGTAGATATAAATGTAGTGTGGGCAGTTGATATAAATGTAGTGTGGGCAGTAGATATAAATGTTGTGTGGGCAGTAGATATAATGTTGTGTGGGCAGTAGATATAAATGTTGTGTGGGCAGTAGATATAAATGTAGTGTGGGCAGTTGATATAAATGTAGTGTGGGCTGTAGATATAAATGTAGTGTGGGCTGTAGATATAAATGTTGTGTGGGCAGTAGATATAAATGTAGTGTGGGCAGTTGATATAAATGTTGTGTGGGCAGTTGATATAAATGTCATGTAGGCTGTAGATATGTTATATGTTCAGCAGAATGTTATGAGAACAAAGATGAAGAAACATTGACAAGAGATTGTTTTCAGCTCATTTGAGCTTTAAATTAACGTGATAAGAATTACAAATGCTATGAACTTAAATAGATCCACTCTATTTATCAGAACTCTGTCATCATTCATTAATTTGTAATATGGAATTAAAAAAATCAGAAAGCACTGGTAATAATTTTCTTAACATGAATTATGACTGAAGGTAAAAAAAATTAGGGAGATAAGTTTTTCATTCCGTATTAAGATAAATTTGTTTTTCAGCAGAATATCTAATTCAAACTCTACAACAGCTTTCAGAAATGGAGTTGAAGTATGATACCTTTACAATACACATGTGTACTGATATAATCGGACAACAAGAGTTGTGCTAATCGTGTATACTTATACATAACCACTGTGGTACATATAATACAGAATCGAATTCCGACTTTAAATTTGTCTAATTCATATAAAATGATAAATCTAGTATGATTCTAAGTGCTTGACTTCTAATACCATACTTCTATTATATCATAACATGTCATCTTCATTTTTGCTGTAACTGTTGTAGGTGTCCATAATTTCACTTAATTCTCTTTTAAACAAATAATTTTAATATTTTGAAATTAAAACATTAACATTTCATCACAGTTCCATTCATACTTCACCAATTTGTACATCTTTAATGCATTTTCATCAAAATTATCTGCATAAACCTAAATCTTAAAATTTACTTTAAAAATAAAGTTGTTCATTACATATGAAAACTATTTTTCCTCCTCTTCCAAGTCATACTGGTCCAAAAATTCAAATTCCTCTCCAATGTCTATGTCACTAGAATTATCATCTTGTTGGTTAGATGGTCTGGTCTGTTGGTCGTTGTTTGAGGTCACATGAAAGTCTACTTCATCACCGGATTGCTGATTGTATGAAACACTTGCAGGAACATTAGATTTATCTCCCTTGTTGGCAGATGTGGTGCTAGGTTTCAAATTTGATATGCCAGATAGAGCAGACCCAACAACAGATGACAGAGTTTTTGACACAAAGGCACCAGCACCAGATGGCATGATGCCTCCTGAGTCTGATTCTGAAGACAAGATGCTATCTGCCATCAAAGATGGAAAATTCAAGTCAGTCTCCCCTTCTTCAGAGTCAGATGTGTCACCAAAATGTTCTGATACAAAGGTCATATCGTCCAGTTTCGGTCGTCTGTGTTTGGAAAGCCTTTTAGGAATATGCTCAAGAAGTTCATCATCGGTGTTGTCTAAAACATCATCAAATGAAGGCATCTCCTGGATCCCTTCCTCAAAATTCACATCAAAATCAACCTGCCGTTCTGTAATAAAAACCACATATATCAGTAATATTAACAAATAAAGATGTCAAAAACTGAAAATAACTTCACACTTACAGGTCAAATTTCTGTTCTTACACTTACCCTTTTTTTGATAATTCATAAGATGTAACAAAGTCTGATCCAAATTACAAAACCACTGGGGTTTGTTTTTTTCTCTATTTTTGTTTACAAAGAGCAAATGTACATGTATTATATATATTTATATATACAAAACAGGAAGAGTTGCCAATTTAAGTAAATACAATCATATACTTGCATATATATCAGAAAACAAAGCTTTTTCCATTTAACAGTACCGGTATATTGTTCTAATGTTGATTATGGGGTTATGGAATTGTAAATCACCACTTTGTCAATTTCTAGACCTCTAGTTAGATGGAAAATTGAACCAACTATCATTGTTAATGTGTTTGAAATTCAATGCCAAGAGACACAATAATTTCTTTACTGTTTTTTTTTTTAAATGTTAAGATTTCAAATAATATTGATAATTTCCTGAATGGTGTATGATCGCAACAAGCATTACCTTTACAGAATTAATTACTCCATCCATATAATAAAAACAACGGGTAACTTTCTCTATCCATTTCACAAAAAACTATGTCTTTGAACCAGAAAAATAACTAACACATGTACCATAATCACTTATCAGACTACGTTTCCACTTCTAGTTAACTTTTAGAAACACCTGAGCATTGGTTTGTGACTGTAAATATTGAACTAAGATAACAAACTTCAAACTTTTGATAAAAGATAACAAAACAAATACATATACAAATGGATGAAGGTTATTTTTGTTCCAAGGAATATCAAGAAAATTGCAAGCAATTTTCATACTATATTTCAAATCACTGCCCCCTGTGTTTTTTAACACATTTCTTTTTGGTTTGTAAAAAGGGTCACTGGGTCCAGTTTTCAAACAATTAGAAAGCAATCTTATAAATATAATTGAAACATAGTTTTGTTTCTTACTATTAGCTATTTTTTGTACAATTCACATAGTAACTAAACTGTACTGGTAATCATAAGCAGGTCACAACATGGCAGCAATATTTGGAAACCAGGGCACAGCAGTTTTAGCTCTTTCTTATACCCTGTTTTATCTCAACAATGGCTCTGCCAGTTGAAGTTTAATAACTGATACTATGCTGTTTACAGAAGTACCCATGTAACAAAGTTGGTAGTTATCGGTGAAAGAGTAAATGGGTAGGCCTTAGAAACTGCGCAAAGTGGATAGGCTGACAGAGTGCAAGACTACATTCCTCTGTATCGTTGTGTATGGGTGACTAATACAAATGAATTCACTTCGTCTACAGCTATAATTTTGTCACATGTTCTGACATTACAGACAGTACATCCTGGTCTGTTTACCTTGGTAATCATCATCTTCCAAGTCAATAGACGGCTCCTTGGACAGGAGAGGTGAAGACAGTGATGGGTCTGGACTCTCATCCTCGCTGTCTGTGATGGCACGTGCCAGCGCTGCAGTGGTAGCAGGGTCTAAGGATGGTGTGAACTCTGTTTCGCTGTCTGTCTCGGATATTTCTACACGGCCAGAAGAACCAACTGATGTGGATGACCGTGGAACTTTAAATTAAACAAAAGGAATGTTTTCTTGTTAGATAAATATGACCTGACTCAAACTCTAATGAAAAAGGAGCTTAACAAAACGTAAAACCTAAACTTGGCAGATTTAGGCCTCAAATAAAATGGTCTTAATAAATATAATAAGAAAATTTGAAACCATGAAAAGACGTCATGATTAGTTAAAATTAACTCTACAAATGAATACTTCTAGCCATTTTATTTACGACATGAAAACATAATAGTATTCTATTTCTCGTCTCATTGATAGACTTTTAGTGAAGATCTTGAACCATATCGAAATATAACATATATGTAAACAATTCTTATTGTAACCAGTTACCATCTGTTTCTGATTTGATGAGAAACACACATAAGCCATACACTGGTGATAAAATTCATCAATATTGATTTTCAGGACAATTATGTGTTCATAAAGTGTTGAGAAAACTGTGCAGTACATAGGACCCTATGTAGTCCGAGAACTTTTCATCAAGAATTATAAGAATGTTGTATAATTTCATCTGATATCTGATATTTATCAATCTACTCAATTATAAGAATCCTATACAATCCCACCTATAATCAAATCTAGATTACCAAAGCAACATCAGTCACACAGTGTCAAAGAAGACATTCAGTACTTTCAAAGAATATGAAATTTGCTTGCATACAGAAAGTTAGCACAACAGTTTCAGTTTCAGACCTCTATGAATTAAGGAATATCCATAATCGATTTCTATTCTGAATATAAAATTAGTATATATTATACAAACACATTTAGGGGGAATATCTCATTTATTTATTTGTATCATTTAAAAGTAATGAGTAAACTGAAACATGTCAGTACAAATATTTCTATCTTATTAATTATAACAAGAAGCAAAGTCAGTATTTTTCTAAATGTGATGATTTGAGAGAAACTATTTATATGTAAAGAATTCTCAGTAAATGAGATAAAGTTAATAAAAAAAACCCAAAAAAACAAACAAACAAACAAACTATTGAAACAACTTACCTTTGAAAGACCACTTATTCTTTAGCTTGATAGAATAATCCATTTTCATGAATATTGGTTCAAACTTGAGGTAGACTCTCTTGAGAAGATTGTGGTAAAGAACACTGGGACACAGCAACGTACTGATAACTGTAGAATAACATGTATATAAACCACGTCTTAAATATACATACTAGTGCATGACCTCCTACAATTTGACAAAGGCAAATCACTGACGATAGAAGTAACATCTATTTTCACATTATGGGGCATTTTTGCACAGCATAATACTTTTGGACAATTCCACTCCTTCACATGCTTTAGGCCCAGTGTATCCTTATACTGCTTTGGAATATTTTCTCTTTGATCTGTGTTTTTCACATTTAAAAATTCAGTAATATTCATAATTTTCAAAAGTTTCCTAATCAGGTTAAATGCTAGACTTCCTATTAGAATAAAAAGTTCATATACAATGAACATACATGACATATTTACAAATATGGGAGATTGGTAATTATTTAAGGGAATTTTGGCCTCAAATACAGGAGGTTTTTGCATAAATCCTTTGCTGACATGTCCACACAGTTTCAAAAGTCAAAATCAATTTGAATGTTATAATAATATATAGTCCATATATCAATAGAATAAACGACTTTCATTTTTTTTTATCAGGCAAAAAAATCATCAACATTTCAAATATTTTTTTTCTTCCAAAAATTTGGTTTTAAATTAAAAACATAATGACATCTTACAGTTGTCTACATATATTGTATACCGTATCAGCATTTGAAGGATAGTGTAATAAACAGAATGTTTCCTTATGGAACATGGAAGTTTAAACATTAAACATTTTAAACATGGAGTTATGCCAGTGATAGCACATGACTTGTTACTTACCTATAATATAGGCTAGCATTATCCCTGGTATATAACGTCCAATCATAGCCAGGATTAAGAAAAATGAGCTGCTCATAACACAAAACTGCAACAGAGACATGATACAATTAATATGTACGATTGTAAACATACAGAGCTGAAGATGTAAAAATATCGGAAAATCAAATTACAAATACTTTTTTTACATACACAGGAAATTTGTATCAATTGTAGCTGTAAAACCATTAAAATGAAATGGTTGTTTCTTAAAAAATTAATATGAAGCTGTTGTTTCTAATGTTTGATTCTATTCTTGTACAGGACGATTCAGAACATTTTCAATTTTCATAGAAAAGAAAGATGTGACCGTCAAACATGTGTTTACATCACATTGATGATTAAGTATAAACTTTTCCGTTCAGTAACAATTAAGTCAAAATTAGTGGTATGGTAGTCTATAACAATACATTCATTTCTAACTTCGAAGGAAAATTTATTTGGATTTTACCATCAATCATGTATGTTGGCTAACAATGAATACTTACCAAAAAAGGGTAAACTCTTCTAAATGTCAACCAGTAATGTACAATATTAGAACACGAGCACCACAGATGAGCAAGATATGTACAGAGTTCTGGTACACTCAACAGGCGGGGATGTACAGGTGTCCAGCTATAATAACAAGGAAAATCAATCAGTTTTACAATAGTAAACCTTGGCTTGTTATTTCAGATTGTTACTAATTTGTACCTAAAGTATAGACCACATTTTAGTCTCTTTAACAAATTCTAATTGCGTAATTTCACAATTCTATTAATTAAGATGACTTTTTATTTTCAAATTTGAATTATTTGTCATTTTAGAAAGGCAAGTAGTAAGATGTGAAAAAATAAACAGCTTTAAAAATAATGGAAATTAGAAAATAAGATGTTGCTTTAGAGACTGAAAAGTCAGTCCAACTTCAAAGTGAAATGGAATATTCAAAGACGTGTCAGATTAATTGAGTAATGAGTAACCACATTGTTAAAATAGAGAATATACTGTATACATGTTTAACCAACAGACTTTTCATCTCAAAATAAAAGTACAATTTTTTGACATACTGATTATGATCTGACAATAAAATATTTCTGATATATCAACTGTCCTTTACGTGTTAATATGAGATTTGACAATGTACTTACCTGTCAGGATCCTCAGGAACAGCTGGTGGTACTACAAAACATGATATAACCTTTTACAACTCTGATCCAGAAGTAAGGGTATTTCAAAAGCTTGGTCTACATACATTCTACATGTATTTTATTTCTGAACAAATTCAATGTCTATCCATCACCAGCTGGTAAATTACTACGTCTTGATTAAAAAATTTCAAATTTTTCAAATACTTTCCTATTAATATTCATACTGTATAACATTTATATCAATGACAGTCCAGGGGGAAGTAACTCTATTCCAGATAAGTACTTGGACATAAATCCAGAAAAGCTGACTAGCACATACATATTTTTTTTAAATTAGTGAATGCCAGATAGAAGACGTAAAATATGGACAATCAAAAATTGAGTTTTGCTATCTTATTTGGTCGGGAATAAGTGCAATTACATATACATCTGAAGTACATCACATCAAATTGAATTCATTTGTCGGACAGCATTCATATTATTAAAATAAAAATTCTTTAAACCTCGAAGTTTAAGCTTAGATATAAGCGAAATTTTCAGTTTCCAACAAACTTTCGTCTACATGCATTTAAGTTAGAGATGTAAAAGAATTTAAAAATTGATCAAATAATGATAAAAAAGATAACACAGAATGTGCAAAAAAGTGTTATTTTCTGATTAATATTTAATTAATATGTTGTTACATAATACAAACACAATGTGTGAGAACCAGACATGAAAACTGTGTTTACATACACATCAATATTTGACATCATGCTTAGCAAACATTCAAAGTATACGTCTGGGATATTAAACCACACATTAATCACTATTCATTACTACGTAATTAGTGCAGTTTTGTGCCATTAATGTTATTTTGAAGTTATCAACAGCCTTTAATTAAAGATATTTGCTGTAACAATGTAATAAACAAGAGGCCCAAGGGGCCTTAACGGTAACCTGAGGAATATATGTCAATAATCTGGGGATTTCAAAATGTTGCAAAAATGTAACAACACTAGTGCAGGACCCTGTGTAAAACATCTGTACCAAGTTTGAACATGATCCACCCAGTGGTTCTTCAGAGGAAGTCCAAAATGTCTTAGCCAAACAGAGGCCAGGGTGGCCATCTTGGATTTTGAATTGCCCCAAAAAGTTAAAACACTTGCCAGGACCTTGTGTAGAACATTCGTATCAAGTTTAGACATGATCAACCCAGTGGTTCTTGAGTCTTGACAAGAAGTTAAAAATGTCTCAGCCAATCAGAGGCCATGGCAGCCATCTTGGATTTTGAATCGAACCAAAAAGTAACAACACTTATGCAGGACATTGTATCAAGTTTGGACATGATCAACTCAGTGGTTCTTGAGAAGAAAAACCATCCACTGGTTCTTGAGAAGAAGTCATTTAAAGGTTTTTACTTATGACCCCTTTTACACCCCTTATGGGCCCCAAAGTGGACATTATCACTTTTTTCAACTAAATTTCATATGTACTTCACTAAGGGATGCTGTCTACCAAATTTGGTTGAAATCGGTCAAAATTGAATTTTTAACCCTTTTGAGCACCCCTAGTGGGACCATTTTTGACCCAATTTTTTTTTTCATTTGCAAACTTTGTAGACCTTGCCATAAGGACCCTAAATATCAAATATGAATTTAATCTGACTGTTGGTTCATGAGAAGAAGATTTTTAAAGATTTACCTAATTTTACCCCCTTTTTCCCCCTTCTGCGGCCCCTATTGGGGCCACACCCTTTTTCTTCACAAACTTGAAGCAGCTTCCCATGGGGATGCTTTGTGCCAAGTTTGGTCAAAATCCATCCACTGGTTCTTGAGAAGAAGTCGAATATTTGAAAAGTTAACGATGCACGACGACAGACAAATCATGATGGCAATAGGTCACCCGAGCCGAAAATGTGTTTCCTTACATCTAATAAATAAATAGAAAGAATGGCATATAGACCTCAATTTAACTTACCTCTTATTTCTGGCCATATCTTATGTTTCCAAGTCTGTACCAAATAAACAATGTAGGTGACTGTACTGACCACAAAATAAAACCGACATCCTACTGCTGCTAAAAACCTGAAAATAAACAATTTTTTTTCATAAATGTTTATCAATCAATATCTTTAAAACATTACTGGGTTACAATGTTAGTGGCTATCTAGAATATTAGATTAGTTCACAAGCAAGGGTAAATTGTTTTTCTGTAGTCAGAGATTTTCGTGAAGAGTTTCCAATTCAATACCACTACTAGGAATACCTATGGAAAAAAATAGATATATTTACAAAGGGGTCAACGAAAATTTCTGAATCTACAGATGCATTAAATAATATACATGTGTGGGTACATATAATTTTGTTACCGATAAATTTTTGGCCAAATTTTATACTTCCACGTCAGAACCAAGTACATAATGAAGAGGGTGGTACTGGCGATGGAGTAAAACTGACATCCTTTCACTGCGAAAAACCTGAAATCAATGAAACGCTGTTTTAATATCACAGGGGACAGCAATATACACCAGCTTTCCTATAACATAAAATAAATCTTTATTATGTGTGTGTATATGTTCACTCAAGATAAGTATCAAACCCAAAGGTTAACATGACTTTGGCTCTTTAGTCACAAAACAAGCCCACAGGTGTATATACAACTGATCTACTCATCAAACTCTCCTTCTTAAGCTCTCTGACCTAGCTAGTCACTTTTCACAACTAGTGCCAATGGACTATGGTAAAGGAGTATTGGAGTTACAGTCCATGATTGCCAAGTGGGGTGTTTGTTACAATGAGTTGGTATTACTAATGTTGCTGAATTGGGAGTTAACTGTTTTTGTTCAAATAAGCTGGAGCCACTGAGATTTCTGAGATAGAGTTGGGGTTATTTGTGAAAATGAGTTTGAGTTGCTGAGAATACTGTGTGGAATATTTGTTCCAATAAGCTGGCGTCAATGAGATTTCTGAGATAGAGTTGGGAATATTTGTTAAAATGAGCTTGAGTTGCTAGGCTTATTAGGTGGGGGTATTTGTTTTAATAAGCTGAAGTCACCAAGATTGCTGAGGTGAGGGATATTACTTTTTTCAATGAGTGGGAATCACTTAGACTACCGACAATGTTCAGTTTGAGTTTGGGGTATTTGCTACGATGAGTTTGAGTTACTGAGATTACTAGGTGTAACTTGTTTCAATGAGTTAGACACTAACACTAGTGAAGTGGGGCATCATATAGTGAGTTGCAGTCACCAGGATTAGTTGGGTGGGGGTGTTGTTGTTTGAATGAGTTGGAGATACAATTATTTTTGAGGGGAAAGGGGTTGTTGTTTCTGAGGCGGAGGAATTTCTTACAATAAGTGAACATTAGTGTCTGTTGATACTGGTGTGAGTAAGATTGCTGAGGCAAGGTATTACTTGTTCAATGCAAAAATCATCAGGAGCCATGATGATGCCATGATGATAACTTCAATGTGTAGCAGACCCTAGGCTCTTGACTAACTCTGTGATCTTTAGATTCAAAATATATAACATTGCATTGTATATCAGAAGTACAGCAGATATTTCATTGCCTTTATTTTCAAACACCTATCACCAATTAAATTTTAAAATTTTTGTCTTCATTTTCGTTGGTTAATACTGGCGACCACAGATTCTACAAGTTGGCTAATAATTATACCCTGCATAAGATTGTGGCATTTGTTTAACTGTGACATCACTAAAACTAAGAATGCAAAAATGTAAAGAGGTGTTAAGCTGAGAGCAGATCAATGATCGATCTGTGAGCTTTAAAACCACATAGATCTAATCTTATCACAAGACCAGTTTCTAGAATTCTACATGTATCTATGCCCCATGGGTCAGCCTCTGAATCAATATCTCTAGCCGCTGTACAGGGACCATATTTTTAGAACAAATGTTGTTTAAAACCAAAACAAAATATCCACAGCTCGCTATGTACCCTAAGCATTATTTAATTACTTACAAATGATTTGGCTGTTGTTGACAAGGATATCAGTCAAAGAAAACGTTGTGAATTGACCTTTTCACAGAAGGCCAGTCTGTACCTTTACAGTACATATTAAATGTCTATATATTCACATTTACTTGCAGGAGGACATTGAAAAAGATGATCATGTGTAGTATATTATTCTAATCAAATTCAATTTTGAAACAAATATAGATTTCCTTCAAATTTGTAGAATATATCAGGGCTCTCACACCCCATTTTGGGACAAATTTGTAGCATTTTCCTTAGAAATATATACACTTTGCATTGGGAATATCAGATGTAATCGAGACCCATAAGATGTAATACCAATCGCCAATAACTAACTACAGTAGAAACCATCTGATACTCTTCCACTGAAAGACTGTGAAACTGGATGTAAAACCCATTACGTAAACACTAGGATGCATGGCATGTAAATAGTCATGAATAACAGTAATTTTCACATAGACCATGTGTATCACATCCCTAATCTTATAAGTTCATATTCATCACAGATATATTAACTCACATGGAGATCATAAGGTATATAAATTACCCATGTAGATCCACACTTACAAACTATTCTTAGGTTTAAGACAATTTATGATCAACATATATGCATGCCATATTTAATGTACAACTTACCAAAATAACACAATATCTTTGGATGCAGACTAAAAGCCTCTATCTATATCAATGAACTTACATCACAAGAGGCCAATAGGGCCTATATCCCTCACCAAGCAAAATTAATTTCTCTTCACCTAAGAATGCTTCACACTAATCTGGTCATAGTCAAATCATTCCACAGAATGAGTAGGATTTCAATGAATTTGCTCCATTGGGCCTTACTGCACAGGGCCAAGATTCTCTGTTTATATAAATGATTCCCCTACACCCAACAATGCTTCAGACCAAATTTTGGCAAAATAAAATGATTCTTCTAGGAGTATGATTTTAAAGAATTTGCTCTACTTCCCCTATTCAGCAAAGCCCCTCCTGCGCCCCAAGGAGCTGAATCTCACCCCTTTAAACAAAATTGATTCCCCATCATTCAACAATGCTTCAGACCAAATTTGACAAAATCTAACCATTCCTACAGGAGAAGTATAGTTTGTTCTTTTTGCCATATTGGGCCCTGCCACTCCTGCCCCAGGGGGTTGAGACCCATCATTTATATGACAAGAGGCCCGATTGGCCTGCATCTCTCACCTGGTACATATACCAGCAAAATATCATACCTCTTGGCCTTTAAGTTTATGAGAAGAAGTCATTTACAAGTTTTAACAAATCTGACTAATGTAACCTTGAACATATGTCAAGGTCATTTCTTTTTGCAAACTTAATCAGGCTATATCCTATGAATATACCAGCCCAATATCATTCCTCTAGGTTTTTGTAGTTCATGAGAAGAAGTCGTTTAAAAGATTTTAACAAATCTGACCCCTGTACCTTTGAACATAGGTCAAGGTCATTTTTTCTCAACTTTGTCAGACTTCATCCTTGGAACATACCAGCCAAATATAAAAAAATTTGGTCCATTGGTTAAAGGAAAAAGTTGATCACTGACGACGCACACAATGCCACAGCTTAAGCTCACTAGCACTTTGGGCCAGGTGAGCTAAAAATGCTGTGATTATAACTGAATAAGTTTTTCTTGAAATTTTCCTTTTTTGATTTTTATTATTCTGAGCTGGAAATTTTAGCCTTTTATATCCATTCTGTACATGTTAAGTATTTAATGTGATTATCTGAATATATAATGCACGTAGGTGGTGAATCGCAACTCTCTGCTGTCCCAATTGCATGATTAATAATGCCACATTTTTTAACTCTGCCTCCATCTTGTTTTTGAGGTTTTGTTTCCTCATTGAGCAATAGCAAAAGTCTTTACCTAATGTTTACCAGTTTTACAACCTGCTCAGTATTACAGAAGACGAACAACTGGTTTGGTAATAAGTTGTCAGCTTACATGTGACTGGGTTGAAGAGCCTGCTAGTGTTGCCTATGGCAGTAGACTTCAGTGTAGTAGCACTATAAAGTCAGTTTCAGTTCCATACTTACATTACATAATTACATTAATGTTCATACCTTTATTTCATTTCACTACATTTCTTATCATTTTATATGATTCAGGTTAAAATTCAAACAGATGCTTTTGGAAACATATCAGTCTCTCTAATGCATAACAAACACAAAACACATTCATTACTTTCACATTGCTAACATAGAAAACATCCTTAAATAACCATATATATAGTAGGTGTTCATAAGTAAGTTAACAGTATCAGACCAGACCAAACCAAACCAAAACTTATCTCATATAACGACACTTTGTGTATAGGTGTACATGAAATCAGATCAGGGCTCTCGATCTGCCAGATTTGGGGCTGATATTCGGCCCCATTCCCAATGCAAAATAGTATCTTTTTTTCCTAATTTAGACCCCAAGTTTTCCCAATTCTAAGGAAAACACCATTATTATTTTTTTAAGGCTAACCAATACATTTTCGGTTAAAACATTAATATTTGCATTATATTCTTATAATAAGTTTATTTATTTTACTCTGTTCATCCGTTCATGATGTCATTGCTACTCAATAACTTCCAAGTCACCTACACTGACAGCTGTTACCATTGATGACGTAACGATTATGTTTACATTCTCGTAGGCCTGCCCAACTGTCAAAGGATTATCAACCAATCAGCGATCACCATTCCTTTCTAAAGAGGAGAACTTCCATGCTTCGTGTTGATAATACTGCGACGCCCTAAGATTGGTGCAATCATTTGTTTGAAAATGAACACAATGAAAGTGAGAAACATTTAATTGTCATGTACAAATGTAATAAGAATTCTGCTATCGAGTATATGTACACACGATCTGTATGCAAATTGCAACCTACCAAAATATTCCATGAACACAAACAAATAGCACTGCGCTTTTCCTCGGATATTCCCACACAAGTAAACTCTGAATTCTCATCACTAAAGGTTCGATAGGATTCAGAATTCTCCTGAACATGTCCTCTGCTCTTTGGACATCATCGTCACTGCTTCGAGTCCCTGGATTTTCCATGACGGACACTTATCCTTCAACACAATCTGAAACTATCAAAGTCAGTGCCCAATATTTTTGTTTTGGATATGACGTCAGACCATGTGACATTGGAGGAATTTAAGGTATGGTCTTTTTACAGATATGTCTATTATGTCACACGCAACGGATGAAGTACTAATATATACAATTTAAGAGACGTAGGATTTGGACAAATCCTCAATATTATCTAAAAATCATCAAAATTCTCGTTTGACAGAGAACAGGAAATGCAATATACTTTCTAATAAAAAAAAACTCTATGCGTGAACTATTATCCGGATGTGTTCTTTTATTTATTAAAAACTAATCGCAATAATGATAACAATAATAGAATATAAACTTGACACAGTTTGATAAGCTTGTATTCAAAAGAAAAAAATACAAGATTTTACAGTTGGTCACTTTAAATTTCGACTAAAATTTAGATTTAACTGTTAATCTATTATAGCATACTGCTGTTTCATCCTTCCATGTAGAAATATACGCGCGTGTAAGTACTAACACAGGACATTCCCAACCAACGGAACATGCTTATATATGATGGTGGCATTAGTTGTAACTCATGACAAGGGAAAACTGAACATATTTCTTTCTGTTTAAAATTGTGGGTATTCCAGGGGTCACATATCAGACTAAAAAGTAAAATATATATAATATTGTAAGTGCGTGTGTGAAGGGTAATGTTAAAGTGGAAGCTTAGTAATCACGGATACCCAAACAGCAGCGCATACATTCTAATAGCAAATTTGAAAATACCTAACGACCATTTAAAATGTTTGTCTTTCTTTTACCTAAGTTTACACTGGGTCTTATTTTCTTATTTGTTTTTCTTTCAGTGGTTATTTCACCTCTGGTTTCACTCTAAAATGTGATAAGTTATTGGTATTGCATACAGCAAATATTTTCATTAATTTAAGTCCGAGACAAAAATAACATAAGATATAGAAGTAGGCCTATTTGAATTGAATGATTTTTTCATTATTATTATTAGAAACGGTCAGTAATTGCTTATAATTATAACTTGGACAATGCGATAAACGATTGTAATATGGATATTTTTTGAATGGATGACGCTGAAGTTGAACACAAACATCTTTCAACTGAATTCCGTCAATATTTACAGTTGTCCGGTTCTATTTTTAATTGTCGCCGGAAGTAAATCTTTGCTCTGCCGCCATTTTTCGAGCAGTATCAACAAGTTTTTGTATTGGGATTCTAGAAAGAATGTGACGCTGTGACGGAATAACAAGAAATTGTCACGATGCCACGCGAAATCATCACCCTCCAACTTGGACAATGTGGCAACCAAAGTACTACACACTTTACTTAATACGTTTTCTGTATTTCAATCGACTATTTCAGCTTTATTGTGTTCACAGGCCGGAGAGATTTTCGGCCGAATAAAATAGAATTTAGCATGTTTACATAGGACATTGGTTGATTGCATATTCCACATTACAACCACTACAATTTTAAAGTATGATTGGAAATTGATTGTTGGAAATTAGACAGGATTCAGTTGGCCTGAAGGCCTAAGTACTGGGCTAATTAATACGAGTCATGTAGTTGGAAATGCGAAGTTTTAATGCCACAATGGCATCCTGGGTTAACAAAAAAATAAAATGGCAACAAATATGGTTTACTGGTTCAAGAAATGCACACAACAGCGACTGGTTGATCGTGCAAATATTTTGACGTTGATATTGTGTGTGCTTTGATAAATTTTGTGACGTAATGATGTTACTTAGCATTACATTACAGAGTCCTTTCAGAAAAAGAGAAAGTTTGAGTTCATGTCAATTTTATTTGTGTAAAATCATCTGTGTGTTAAGTATATTTAAAAGTCCAACAAATTCAGAAAAACAAAAATGCTGTCATTTTTTATTAACATTACCATTATTATGTGTGTTTTGACTGATGATGTTAATACCTATATGTATGTATATATCTATATATACAGCCTCCAATCCATTTTTTGTTCTTGTTTGTAGCATGCTCCAGTGACCTATATATGAATAATCATACCTTTTCTCCTACAACTGAAAAATGTGGCCAATACAAAATGTCTCCTGTGGAGTAGAGAAGCAAGTTTGACACCCTGATTGATTCCAATTTTATTGTAGCCTCATAAATTATAACGGGTACATTTTTGTATTGTGAAAATGAGATGCAATTTATATTTGTATCGATATTGTCTCTTTCAAATTTGGTTTTAAGAAGTCTGCAAGGTTACAGGGTATACAAGATTATTCATTTTAGATCTATATAAATCATGTTTCCTTTAAATCTGATACCAGATTTTAGACATTTTCACAGACATGATAGATGTGGACATAGCCCACTACCATATGTGAAAAGGTGGAATTCTGTGTCACACACATAGGGTTTGGACCAAATAAATACTGAACCAGTGACATCACATGTTACCTTACATACCTACATTGATTAGTGAGTTATTTATTGAAAATCTCTGGCACTTTCCTTTTTTGTCATAAGTACATCTGACACAATTAGAGTATCCGGGTACAGTGAAGAGGGACTTAACTTATCTAACTCTACTCATTTTGTTTTTCTTCTTTTAAAGCTTTAATCAACAAAAAATACATTTATACATCAACAACTTCATGCTAAATGTAGAAAATAAAAAAAAAACATACACACAGTATAAACATATGTTTGACAAAATCTTGCTCTTCCTTTTCTTATGCATGCTGTCCCAAGCTGATTGTACTGCACTGTGAATTCCACAATAGTAGAAGTGTTCTGTCTCCACATTCAGACATCAATGTCATGCAGCTACTTGTGGTGTATTAGCCAGTTGTCTTTATATATTCCAGCTACTTTAGCATCACTGCACTTTATTGGAACAGATTACTTTACTGGAGATTCTGTTAGAAATACCATGAATCAATGCAACAATTGTTTTTTGTTATTTTTTTAAAATTTAGATTGAACCCACTTTATTATTGGTACATTTAGTTTGGCCATGGCAAATCAAGCTGTTATTGCAGTTTACCATAGCTACCATATGCATGTACACCTACAGAAATCTAACATTCCAATGTTTTATTTTCAGTTGGCATGGAGTTCTGGAAGCAGCTCTGCTCAGAACATGGCATCAGTCCAGGTATTGTAGATTGTCATTTATTAATCAGGGTTTGCATTGAGTGTTTGAAAAGGGGTTAGGGTCTTTTTCAGATGATCTGGGACTTTTTGTATTTTTTGACTTTCCAGAAAGTATACATGGGTTCTTTTTTATTTCTTAGCTTCAAAATGCTACAGAAACAACTTCAGTGCAAACTAGTATTGTTATCTCAATACAGGGTATGTTTGAATTATTGTCCTATGGTGTGAAATGTAACATTTATAATTGTTAAGATATTTGAATCAGTGACTGATCTGATCATGCCAAGCTAATTGTTTGATGTATTCTCATTATACAGCAATAAAAAACAATTGATCTACATGTTTTACAAATTATTTTATTTTGCAGAGGGTATTTTAGAAGAATATGCTACAGAAGGAACTGATAGAAAAGATGTTTTCTTTTATCAGGTAGGTAGTTTAAATGTATGATTCTTTTGCAAACTAGGAATTTCAGAACTGTTGTATTATTTGATTCTGTATAAATTTACATGTTTTTTTCAAGAAAAGTAGTATTCTTATTCTTTGTGTTTAATCAAAATTCAAATGATATGTTTTAGAGAGAAAAAAAGCTACAAAACAAATGTAACCACAAAAGTAGTAAACAATTTTGTGTAGAACGGAAATAACATCAAAATTGTAATTCATAACAACCAATGTCATGGTCACCAAGTCCAAAAGTGTCAGACTCTTGTCAGATACTCGAACGGAAATAACATCAAGATTGTAATTCATAACAACCAATGTCATGGTCATCAAGTCCAAAAGTGTCAGACTCTTGTCAGATACTCCCTAGTATAAATGACTAGTATATGCAGCTCCATATTTCATATTTATGGAAGAATATATGAATTCAGAATTTTTAAGTGTTCTTTCCAATGACTATATTCATTCTTTCTTTTTCTTTCTTTCTTTCTTTCTATCTTTCTTTCTCTCTCTTTCTTTCTTTCTTTCTTTCTTTCTTTCTTTCTTTCTTTCTTTCTTTCTTTCTTTCTTTCTTTCTTTCTTTCTTTCTTTCTTTCTTTTCTTTCTTTGAAATTACTTTGTGAACTAAAACACGGAAATGTGTCAGAGATCATAATCTTGTGTTACCATGTTACAGGCTGATGATGAACACTACATTCCCAGAGCTGTCTTATTGGACCTTGAACCCAGGGTCATCAACACTATCATGAACTCGCCATATGCCAACTTATACAACCCAGAAAATGTGTACCTGTCTAAACATGGAGGAGGTGCTGGTAATAACTGGGCCAGTGGCTATGCCCAGGCAGAGAAATTGTATGAAGAAATCTTTGACATCATTGACCGGGAGGCTGATGGCAGCGATAGTTTAGAGGTTTTTATTGATTGCTGTGATATTGTTTTTTTTTCGTTAATATTTTACATTTCTTTAAGAGCTTAGAGTCCCATAAGATTTAACAGCATTGAATTTACAACTCTGTTAATGATGTTCATTTCTTATAAATGTCAAATATCTAAGGCAGAAAGAAAAGATTATTTGTACAGTGTTTAAACAGTATGGTAAAATCACTTAATGTTATGGGGCTCAATTTTTCAGTTTTCTTTTTTCTGCAAAATATGACGTTCTTGTGGACATTTGATGTTCTGGAGAAATATAGCTCTATAGATGTACTTAAACTCATTTTAACAGTTTGGAAACATTAAATTTGTGGATTTAGAGTCCCATGGAAATCAACAAAAATAAAAAAAAACCCATGAAAATAAAGGATTTTACAGTATCTGATATTTCGATACTTTAATGCAGTTTTTTTATGCCCCCGCCATTTATGGCCGGAGGCATATAGCGTTGCCCATGTCCGTCCGTCCCGTCCCAAATCAGTATATACCACCTAACAATTTCATTCGGACCTTTCACTATTATTTCACAGGGGGGGGGGGCATTCATGTCTTACAGACATTTTCTAGTTTTCATATAGTAGTTGCTAAATTTTCTTAATGCTGAAGAAGGGTGTCCTAGTAATCCGTATTATTCTGTGATTATTGAAGGCGTTGATTTTCTTTTGTACTTTGTGTTCTATTTGTATGATATAGTGTATAGTTTACACAAATATAAACAGGATATGTGAAATCTTTTCTATAGTCTAAAATATTTATTAATACTTGTTATACATGTACACTATTTCTTGATTAGAAACATACCTCCATTTAAACATATTCACAATGATTAAGATGAGTGATGTTTAAACTTTTATCCAGACTGATGTTCTATGCTGTTTCTATCTTTTACAGGGATTTGTAGTTTGTCATTCAATAGCTGGCGGTACTGGATCAGGTATGGGGTCCTACCTACTGGAGAAACTTAATGACAGGTAATTACTCTCCCTGTTATAAGAAATGAAAACAAGTTAAAAAAAATTCAGTTATTAATTTTTGAATTCTTTAAATTCCATAGAGATGAATTAAAGAAAAAGGACAGGAAACTGACATTCTATAAGTTAACATGTTAAAATTTTTTGCTAGTTAATTATAAATGATAGATAAATTTAATCTGAAAGATTAACTCCCAAAGCCTTGTTTGGAATGTAGAATTTATATTGATAATGTAGCTTTTTAGGTATTTCAGGGCTAGAAAAAAATATTTTCAGCTTCTCGTCTGTCGGGCAAGTGAAACTTGAAATTCACTTGCCTGAATCCAATATTCACTCACCCGAAGAAAAAAGGCAACAAAACATAATTTATTATCAAATTTTATTATCAATTTCTATATCAAATGTTTAAACTCAACACTTGCTTTTATTCTTTTACTCATACTTAATTCACTGTTAAGGCAAGCGAGAACATTGACTTTTTGACAGTAACTATGTACGCCAACATTTGTGGTGACGTAATAGGTTTTCGCGTAGTCTGGATCAGCCCGAGTCTTGACACATGGTGTAAAGAAGGATACTAAATTGATGTATTTGATCGACTATTAGTGGATTGAAATTATTTTTAAGAGTGTTTAAGTTTATAAACGTCATTTATTATGGAATATCCAATAGTTAGAGCAACAAACTTCACTCGCCCGCCGGACAAGAAGCTGAAACAAATCACTCGCCCGCAAGTAGTTTTGACTCGTCTTGACAAGCAGATGAGTGGATTTTTTTAACCCTATATTTACACTTTTAAGATTTCCAAAGAAACTTATACAGACATACTCTGTGTTCCCCAACATGGATGAGATCTCTGATGTGGTGGTTCAACCATACAATTCTATCTTGACCTTGAAGCGTCTCACACAAAATGCTGACTGTGTGGTGAGTTTTCTAGACTTTTACTACCATATCTGCCACAACAAGAAGTAGTAATTGGTTACAGCTGTATAAAACTATGGCCTCTGATTTTGACAAAAAATCACATTAACTTGATGCGTTGGATGGGCCAGGAACTAATTTGACTCGGCCATTGACGTAAAATGATAAACAGTTAATTGGCAATTTCAGTGTTAACTGATATATCTGTTCCATTTTATATTTTTATGTGTTATGTATTACAGTAAACAGTGTCTTCAGATTTCTTAATAGATTGGATTTGTTTTATTTCCAGGTAGTTTTAGACAACACAGCATTACATAGGATAGCAGCTGATAGGCTCCACATAGATACACCGTCCTTTGCCCAAATTAATCAGCTGGTATGAGGAATCATTTAAAAATTTATAATCCATTTGAGGTTAAACACTTAGGTTGGAGATAATTTCTGAAGCTATTCTTTTTTTTTGGAATCGATTTGTGAACACAGACACATGATTAAATTCTTAAAAAACAGAAATTTGAGGATGCGAACCTAGTGTTGTGCATTTGATATTTTATAGTCTATTATTCGTACTAAGAGTTTAGAAGTCAACATCTTTATTGTTAACACGATCAACAAAATGTTTTTAAGTTGAACATTTTGATTTAGACTAAAGTTTGTGTATTTTTTATTTAAACAGGTATCAACAGTTATGTCCACAAGTACAACTACACTGCGATATCCAGGATACATGAATAATGATCTGATTGGCCTGATTGCCTCTTTAATACCAACACCACGTCTGCACTACCTGATGACAGGATACACACCTCTCACCACAAACTCACAGGTAAAAGACTCTCAAATTATATCTACACACCCTCACCACAAACTCACAGGTAAAGACTCTCCCTCATATCTACACACCCTCACGACAAGCTCGTAGGTAAAGATTCTCCCTCATATCATACCTACACACCCTTATCACAGACTCACAGGTAAAGACTCTCCCTCATGTATCTACACACCCTCACCACAAGCTCACAGGTAAAGACTCTCCCTCATGTATCTACACACCCTCACCAAAAACTCACAGGTAAAGACTCTCCCTCATATATCTACACACCCTCACGACAAGCTCATAGGTAAAGATTCTCCCTAATATCATACCTACACACCCTTATCACAAACTCACAGGTAAAGACTCTCCCTCGTATATCTACACACCCTCATGACAAGCTCATAGGTAAAGATTCTCCCTCATATCATACCTACACACCCTCATCACAAACTCACAGGTAAAGACCCTCCCTTATGTATCTTCACACCCTTACCATAAACTCACAGGTAAAGACGCTCCCTCCTGTATCTACACACCCTCACCACAAGCTCAGAGGTAAAGATTCTCTCTCGTGTATCTACACACCCTCACCACAAGCTCAGAAGTAAAGATTCTCTCTCATATCACATCTTTGCACCCCTCACCACAAACTCACAGGTAAAGACTCTCCCTCATAAATCTACACACCCTCACCACAAGCTCAGAGGTAACGAGTCTCCCTCATATCATGTGTACTCATCCTTGGCTTCACCCCAAAATCACATAAATAGTCTTCCTTCATATCATGCCTGCTTTTTTGTTGACAGTGTCCATTTCACTGATCTAAGAAATAGTTTACATGCTCTAACCTGGACAAAGTATCTTGATCACTGCAGATAACAATTCAGCATTTCTACCAAACTCCTTTAAAGTTGAATACTACATTCTTTCAGACAAGTAGTGGGGATCATGATGGCAGGTATTTTCTCATGGATATTATTTGTAAACTAAGGAGCAAGTTCACATAGATGTCTTACTATATCAAATAAATATTAAGATTTTGATATACTTCGTTATTTTTACCATATTTCTTTTTGTTTCCAGGTTGCTAGTGTTCGAAAGACAACTGTACTGGATGTGATGAGACGATTGTTACAGCCCAAAAACATGATGGTATCAACACACGTTCATCGTCAAGCTAGCCATTGCTACATATCTATCCTCAACATCATACAGGGCGAGGTTGACCCAACACAGGTACAGTGACAGACATCCTCTGATACCTCTGAAACCTTTTCAAAGTGAAATCTCTTTATCAGGATCATTCAAAATGTGCAACTGGAGAAATTAAATTAGAGATAATTTGTAGTATAAAAGGTACATGATCAGTCTTTTGAATTCTTTAATTAAGATAAAAATAATTAAGTTCATTTTCTTCACATTGAAATCATCCATATCCCTATAACATAGATGACCTTTTATTAAGCCCACCATCATCACCCTTCATTGTTTGTCTTAAAGTAGGAAGGGAGGGGCTGTTGTTAATATAGTTATCACATTATGATGCCATGCATCTTGTGATCTTCAGAACTGATTTAATAGTAAGAACAAAATGGTTGCCTTGCAATTTCAGGAATAGAAATCTGAATTTTTCTCATTAGAAATAGCACAAAAAATGTCTGAACTCTTTAAACAGCGAACTGAACATGTTACCCAGGATAAATAAAATCATAGCATGTCTTGTGGAATACAGAGCATCTACAATTCCCAATTTTATGCTTCACTGCACACATTCAAATAGACTTTACCTAATTATTGTGATCACTTACATTTATGTCTACATCATCAACTTTGATTAAATTTTACATTCAATCTCCATCCAAGCAGGTGCAGGAATTCTGCGTTTTCTATGATCTTCAAGAAGCCTTATGATAATAAGACAGCACCTTGTCGGTATTACAACTATAAATATTTATGATGAAAAGCTAGGTTAGATGCTGATTAAACAAAAAATATACCATAGATAGATTTTTGGATTTAAAAGTTAACATAATTCATCAATTCACTGTTGATGATGGAGAGCAGCCATACTGTGAAAAACATTGGGCATTCAATTGAATCAATCTATAATAAAAAAAAAACAGAGAAAACCTTCAGTTTGATGTCTGCTTATCTCTGAAACAGCTGGTTAATTGTTTTTGAGTTGGATTTGTGGATGAAAACTTTAAAAAAAAATTCAACTGTGAATTTTCCGTCATTTTTTGGTGATGGTGGTGAGATTTGGGGATCTTGTTTGTGAATGGCCTGTTTTGATGCAGGCCATTTCTAATAATGTAATGTATCATTAAATGTACAGGTGCACAAGAGTTTACAGCGAATCAGGGAGCGGAAGCTAGCTCAGTTTATCCCATGGGGACCGGCCAGTATCCAAGTGGCTCTCTCAAGAAAATCTCCATATACACAGACAGCTCACAGAGTCAGCGGACTCATGCTAGCTAATCATACAAGTATTTCCTCAGTAAGTTTCAGAAACAATACTGTTATGATTGTGTTGGTTGAATTACTGTGATCATCAACAGTCATTGCAGTTGCATATTGCATTTGCACAAGATAATCAATTTTTAATGACAGATATCAGACTTTATTAATTTAATGATTTCATCCTATTCTTCTCTGATGACGAATGTAATATCAATTTGATTTATCCTATCCAGATAATAATACACAAATTACTTGAAGTACAAATATTTTTAATATGTTCATTGTATCATATCTTCATCTAGAAGCCGACACTGTATAATTGCTGTTCTGTAGAATCAACAAGAAAGTCTATACAGTTGTCCAAAAATAAGGTCCTGATTCTGATAATGTGTTGGCCTCTCAACTGATTTATGAAGAATTATAAATTGATAAAAGGTGTTAATTGCGTAATGTATTGAGAAATGGTATGTAATTGATACCATTGATTTAATTTTTATATTTTCAAAAATAAAAAATTTCAAATTCCTTTATATTTTCAGTTGTTTGAAAGGACTCTAAGACAGTATGATAAACTCAAAAAACGTGAAGCTTTTATGGACCAGTTTAAGAAGGAATCAATTTTTAAAGACAATTTAGACGAGTTTGATAATTCAAGGGAGGTAATTCAACAACTTGTGGAAGAGTATGAGGCTGCAACTAGACCTGACTATCTTTCATGGGGAACACAACAGGTAGAGTTATCTCTAATACTACAAATTTAAATACCCTGTAGTCTTCTTGCCTGGAGATAAATTGACAGGAAAGATTAAAAAGGATATGTGAAGTTTTTTTAATCAATTTTTTCATTAAGCTCAAAGTTGTTTTTTTTTTCAATGATTAGAGCAATATTGATATTATATCCTTTTCATGTCTTGATTGCATATTAACTTATGAAACTAAAAATTCTTAAAGCATAACTTTATAGGATAAACACTTTATTTGAAATCAAGGCGCTGAAAAGGGATAATTGAAAATATAAGGGAAATTGACGGTACATTCATCTCTAAAATCACTAAAAGCCTTAAGTGTCCAGTTACATTTCAATTATTTTATTGCAAAAAATATACATTATTTTTTCGCTGAAGATAATGGATAGATTTGTTATGAAGTAGACAGATAAACATTATAAAATTGTCCAGAATATGTAAAAAGAAAAACAGAATGAATTCACTGATGCAGTACAATATTTCACCAGTTTTTATATTTTTGTTTTATGTACATACATCTTTATTCATATATAAATTCAAATAATACTGTTCCAATGAAGTAATAATTCACAAGATTTAAAAGAAAACAATTTTTTCAATTGAAGCATCTAAATCAAGGTATTCTCAAGAATTGTACTATTCCAACTAATTTGCTTGTCTTCAGTAACTGCCTATATACTTGAGGTGCTTAGAAATCAACAGAACAGGTATGATAATTATACCTGTGTAAACATTCCTGCTAACATGGATGTTCTCTCACTTTTTCAACTGACTGACCAGAAATCTGGCCTCATTCCATCATCAACTAATTATCACTTATCTGAAGTTTGGTATTGCATATTGATGAAATTAATTTTCACCTGAAATTAACATGACCCAGTATCTACAGCTTTTAGATTTTGACGAAATTTTTAATATTTTAATGAAGATTTCATGGTAGTATTGAATGCTGATACTTTTTAATCATCTTCTATTGTGTAGTACAACATTTTGGACTTTAAAACTCGGTCTTGTAGTTATGATTGGAATTTTTTTTCCTATTGCCCATATGATTTCAATTTGTTTATTAAGTACACATTTTTAGGTATGAAACATTTTGTGTTGTGGGCCTGTTTCTGAAGCTTATATTGACTGAACGGACAATTATCATAAGATGTGGTGCACAAAGTAGACTGTTTAATTACAATGAATACAAGACTATAAAAGTTATACAAATGTAGTGAAATATTTTTTTCATGTTTTTCTAGGCACCTGCTGCTGAAAGAATATAACAGACAAATTCTCCAAATTGTCTGCATGGCAGTGAAGTCTGGCATTATGAAGTGAAAAGACACATTTTATTGAAGAGAATGTATCAAATGATTTGCAGAATCTCCATGTGCTAATTTATATATCTGAGATTGAAGGTGGATAATACATGGACTAGTGACGAAATGTCTCTTGAGCTGTGCCTTGACTATTGTACAAAAGTTCACTTGTGATTTAGCGAAGTATCTCACATGTTTATATAACATGTATACAGTAAACATGTTTAAAGTGTCACTGATGAAAAAACAAAAAAATTCTAATGTCGCAATGTTCTGTGATTTCATGCCTCAAATGTTGTATTGAAAATTCCTGCTACATGGAGATTTTTGCTCCGTAAATGGTGTTTTTGATATCAATGTTTGAATTGTAAATGACATGATATGGATAGATGCTGAAAATCATGATAATCAGCTAAAATGATGACGACAGCTATGTATAAAGTATTGACTTCTTGTAAAATTTCTTAGAACTTTAATAATTTCTGAATATGCTTAAGTTGTAAACATGGTAGAACCCACACTTACAAAATAATGAAAATTAATGGCAATATCAAAATGCAGAATGATCAGTTCATGTTTATATCGTAGTTCATTTTAATGTTTGATTAAACATTCGGTTTAACTTTCGTCCTTTTACAATTTGAACATCAGATCAAAAGATAACCAAAAAACTTTTTGTGTGTGTAATAGCTGTATGATGATACATTGTTTGAGAAACTTAAAAATACATGTATACATACTTTAATTCTTCAAGCTTAAAGGAACTTTTTATTTCAGCATGATAGACATTTGTAGTCATTCATTTTATGAATGTATATTAAATGCCCTCTATTTTTCTGGTCACAAACAATGCTTGCTTTGAAGAAAATGACTGTTGTATAGTCCTTTTTAACATTTAATCAAGTGACCAATTACATTATATGCTGATGTAAATAATAATTATTCATCAAATTTAAAGGCGGTTGATCCTTTATGTAGGACTGCATCAGATCTGTTAAAAGTGGGATACACTCATTTCAAATGTATAGTAACATAATTCTACAATAATAACTTTCACCCTAGAACATAGTTCACAGACAGTATAACATTCATGCATGTCCTTCGATTACATTATAAAGAAGCACTGTACTCAGACTTTGATGGTAATCATATCCTGTAGATAATAACCGTATTTATCTTCAATGTGATTTTCAAGACAATTGTTCAGAGATCCTACTGATAAAGAACACATATTTTTCAGAGCAGAAGTGAGTGGCACACTGGTATTGTAAATTAGACTTGATTGTTACGTTTTAGAAAGATTTTTGTCAGTTTGATGCAAATATATAAAAAGATGTTAAACAGTTTTCAAAATTACTGTTTGCAAAACTTTAAAAAGAAATAGAGGAGGGGAAGAGAACTAATATTAAATGCTTAGATATGAGATTGTGTGATGACAACTTATTGACAATGTTAATACCAGTATGCACAGTACCGTTTGTTACAAACTTGTAATAGGTTTTATGGTTAAGTTTTGCAGAAATATTCTATTCTATCTAACAGTTATCATAGCTAAGTTAGTGCTTTTTATACACAAATGTGTTGCTTTAAAGTGCTGCATGTATTTCATATGGAATCACTATTTTTCTGTATGTTGATGAATATTGAAGCTTGATTATCATGATGGATTTTATATAACCAAGGTATGTGAAAATATCTACACAGGTATACACATTGTATTAAGGTTTCTATGTCATTACGTACAGTGCAATTTACCACCATATTGTACATCTCATGTTCTCTTTCGTTTTTTGAGAATTTATTTAAGTTATGTAAATACCAACTTGAATCTTTTCATCACCCTTAACAGATATGTGTAATAATTCTAAAGATGGAGTTGGTTGTATGTTTCTTTCAACATAAAGTCAAAATAAACTTCAAAAAACCATATCAGCATTTGATTCTATTGTTTATTGAGGTAATGCAATCCTTAAATACTTCGATGTTTTGCTTCGTGTTAAACCTGGTTATCGGATGGGTTTAGTTTTATATTGGACTCGTACAGACTGAATTATAAAGAAATAATTAAAGTTAACTCAAAATTATTGACCTTGTTGAATTTTTTTATCAAATAATGATTTATGCAAAGTTACTACTATTTTGTACCATGTGAAAACAAGGAGGAAAGGAGAATGAGAATAAGGAGATACCATCGAAAAGCATACTCAGACAGTATTGGTTTAGTTACAAGTAATATAGATTATGTGATTCTGTCATTGTGTCCTGTACAGTTTGGGAACTTGTGCCTTGGACTTTGTCTTTTTCCTCTAGGAAAACCTTGTTTCGTGAAGTGTTAGGGAATGGTGTCTCCTGTCATGTCAGGGAATTGATGTCTCCTGTCATGTCTGGGAATTGATGTCTCCTGTCGTGTCGGGGAATTTGGATCTCTGTCGTGTTGGGGAATTGATGTCTCCTGTCATGTCTGGGAATTGATGTCTCCTGTCGTGTTGGGGAATTGATGTCTCCTGTCATGTCTGGGAACTGGTGTCTCCTGTCATGTCTGGGAATGGTTGTCTCCATTCATGTCTGGGAACTGGTGTCTCCTGACATGTCAGGGAATTTATGTCTCATGACATGTCAGGGAATCGGTGTCTGCTGGAAATATTTTATCAAAGAAGTTTCTTTACTTTCCATCTATAAGAGTGGGTCATTCGCAGGTTTGCGCTCATTTTTTAACATTTTTGAAAGCAGTTTTATCAGAGGTACTCAGTGCTTCCAAAATTTCTACAGATTGCCAGGATATACCCCATTTCTCATTAAGCAAGTATGGTAGATGTAGTTTTTTCTCCACTTAAGATAGCCCGATAATCCTCCACTTCTAAACCTTCCCAGTTCTGGTTCTTCAACGGCGCCATGTATCTGGTGGAATTCAACAAAACATGGACAAGATATAGTAATTTGATATGATATTGACGGAGTTCTTGTCATATTTGATAATTCAATACCAGTTTATAAAGTCTGCAAAAGATACGAGTAGATAACTACCAAATTTTATTAATCATTGCAAGCAAGACGAATGCGCTTAAAATTCCACTCCTTTTGGCAGAAAAGGATAACAATTATTATAATGACCGTTGGCACGTTTGGAACTTTGTGATATTCATAATAATAAATTGTGGCATGTTAGAAAAACACATTCCTTAAATTTTCTGTAGGTTATTGGACACGAGTGATGTCTCTCATCCATCATCTGCTTCGCAACAAAAACAAACAAAAAATCCAGAGGTTTTCAGAGCGAAACACCCCTATCTAATGCTGAAATACATTTGTTATGTAACTTTATATATAAGGTACTCTCTTACCTTTTCATAATTTCCTCCTTCGTATTGCTCTCTATGTCGGTCAAAGGCACGACAAGAGAATCTAGATTTTTCTTTGCATTTGTTAAACTGTAACAAAATCCAAAAACAAGAAAAAGAAACAGGTTATTTTTTCTGGTCGAATTGCCCACTATGTAAAGAACTATTCAGATTGAGATCCTCATTGATATATAACCAATGTTTCATCTACAATTCTATATAATTTCTATATTTTCCAACTGACTACGAACAAATCTTCTCCCGCTGTTCGATCTAAACATAACTGGAGTCGATGTAGTTGAATTCCTACAACATTCAGGCAATCTTCAATTAGTACAAGCGATGTTCAGCAGTTTAGTTTGTATACAACATACTGGCTTTCTTTATTTTCAGATTACCAATAAGACCCATGTTTGTTCATTGACATAATGAATTGTATATGAACTTTTTAAGTTCATTTAAATAAATATAAAAAAAATTTAACCAGACGAGCGCTACAGTTCCATTAGGCTTATTGTTTCATCAAGCCTGATATTAACGAAACTTTCGAAGCTCTTTAGCGTGTTCACCGATTTTATCTTTTCGCCACATATTCATTGCTTATGACACCTCCTTACAGAGCTGGTTTACAATTCGACGTTCCTTTCAATACAGCTATGAAAAGACAAACACGTACCTTGCTGAACTAAATAGTGTCGTTGCGAGTGGCAGGTCAAGTGAATAGGACAGTGCCAATCGTGAAAAATCCATTCCCAATTCCTGTTAAAAATCACTGCTTTAACGTTTTGCTAAGACTCTATTCAAAATCTTATATAATAATTATGCAGCTAGATTGGCGTGGTCTATATAATGGCATGTACTTAATAAAAATCCTTTTCACGTGTAACACATTTTAAATCTCACCTTGCAGTAAGCAGAGGCTTTGGCACAATTACATCTGACGTTTTCGGGAGCTGGGTGCCAGTCTGGTGGACCTCGATCTGTGAGTAGACCCATGCTTACTGGCGAAGCATTTATTACTCCAACCCCCTTTTCCTGTATCGGTATCACAAGGAAAATTAATATTCTAAGTTAAGTTAGCGTTTGTTTCAATAAGGTTTTTTTTTCTTAAAAATATCTTTGGAACTTAAATGCTTAGCATGGAGAGGAAAACAAGATGTGTTTATAAAACACTATGTCTCAGGTAGCAACAAACGTTAGAAGTGGAACATTTAAAAGGTTCTGTGAAAGGCATATGCTACTTGAATGCACACTTTGGGAATCATTTATGTCTTCACTGTGTATTTTTATTTCGGTTTTTTCAAATGTAAGTCAAAGGTCAAGGTCAATGTCACACGGTGAAAAAGTTTGATACTATCAGAGAGGTCTTGTCACAAGGAACACACATGCAAAATATCAAAGCCCTAACTCTTAAGGTGCAATAGTTACGGGCAAGGTTAAAACAGACAGAACAAAATATTCCTCGATCATTCGATCCGGAGTCATAAAAAAATAAAGGAATTACGTGAAAATACGGCAGGTAGTCTAGTAATGAGTTGTCATGCATACATGCTCTGCAGTATGATAAGATAGTATCCACTTTGACCACACTTTTTTCCACTACCTCCCTGCAAATTAAACAATCACAGTCTACTACTTTACGATATTTGAACTTTTAAAAAAAAATTTCTTCTTATTTCAACGCCTGAAATTGCCAACTTGTTATTTTAGCGCGTTCGTGTAAGACAAATGATATTAGCTTTGTCAAGAATATCATTCATATTTTCTGTTTCAAATATTTTTTTTTTATTTATCTAGTGTTGTGAAAATATGATTTATAAGGTAAAATATTTTGGTTTCGCGTACAAACAGATGTAAGGAACTTACTTTAGTAGATTTAATGGATATCCCGTAATCCCTATGTATCTTGCCTTTCCACTCTCTTTTACTTTTTGAAGTGCTGGCAATGTTTCGTTGATGATTATATCTGTATTATCAGCAAATTCAATATCATGTATCTACAAATCAAAGTGTTTTGTTTTATTAAAAATTAATAGAATATGAAAAAAATATTGAATTATCATTATAAAGTTCGATTTTGAACATACATGCGAAAGTCACAATCATCTTTGAAAATAAGAATGGTATCCTACACAAACACGTTGCTATAGTTTAATTAGAAAGTAAATGTTCAAACGAAGTGTGGCAGAAAAGCCAAAATTCACTCATGACATTAGTGCCTTACCGATGTGCACTTCTTTAGATTGCAAATAACATTTAGTGTGATTGAAATGGAATAGTTTTGAACCTGATATTCCTGGCTTTGAATTTAAATTTTATTTTAATAATCTTATAATTGTAATTTGATGCTAAAGTATTTTTCAATTATTGGTCAAATATACGTTTAGTGAGGAAAGTAAATCGATCATGTTAGTCTTGGGACAGTTTGATAAATTCATTAGAATAAGGATAGAAATTTACCTGTATAAGATCGACTTTGTCTAAACCTAGTCTCGTTAAACTTTCATCTACGCTCCTGATAGTGCGCTCTGCCCTGAAGTCAAACATTTGATCAATGTCCGGTAGATATCGACCCACTTTTGTTGATATGAAATAGGACGATCTAGGTATGTTCTGTAAAGCCTGATAAACAAAGCAACGGGCAGAGTTAAGTGTTAATTCTGTCTACAGCTGCGTCATTAATTAATATTCATGTGTTTGGAAATTATTGCCTTTATATTATGAAGCGGAAATGTTTAACAGAACAAAATGCTGAATTTGTTGGCATACTATTAAGCAATGTTTTTCGTAGTAAAGATTGGAGTGGTGTTCAATACAACTGAATAAAAAATAGATAAATTTGACATTCATAATTCTTGGAAATAACTTTTAATTTTTCATATACTTCAATTTTAATAAAGTACAACGATGGTCAAACTGACCATAAACAACAGAAATGCACAGCTGAAACATGTATACCGTTGTTTCTTTTCTATTGTTTAGGGAAAATATATCTTTATATCCACGATATATAGGCAGACATGACTTGTTACAATGTACATGTTGGTTAATTATTACTACTTATAGTTAAAAGCTCAGACATTGTATAGCTTTAAGAACAGAATTATGGCGATTATCCGTACTTCCAGATATTTACAATTGGAATCTGCTCTATTGAAACACAGATCAATAAATTTGAACGCAGATTTAAATTATCAATCAGAAATATATACCGACCCGACCAAGAACCTTTTCAGCTTTGCCATGACCATACCAAGGCGCAACATCAATGTAGTTCACACCGTTTTTGATGACGTATTCCACAACGCTTAATCCTTCTGCGTCATCAGTATCTCTAAAAACGCTTCCTAAAGCAGCTGCACCTGTTTAAAAATTGTTGCAAATAGCTAATCTCATATTTTCTTTCTTCATTTCTTCAAAATTAGTTTATCGTAATAACCAAAATATACTGACACCATTTGTTATGATAAATCTACATACTAGTCCCGAGTCCTGTACTCATAGAATGTTTATGGGACTCGTAGAATTTCTGGAAATACTTAGATATACAACGTTTGACCCGTCGGTTAATAGCAACAAAGTGGAAAAGGACTCATGACAATAAATTGTAGATTAACAACTGCATTTGATATGACGGGATAGCTAGTGTCAGATATGAAATAACTATGTGCTGTGAGTATGCCTACCATAACTGAGGCTTGATACCTCCATATCAGTTTTCCCTAGTCGGTTATATCTCATTTTCCGAACGGATTCTTCATTGTGGAAACCGTTGTGGAAGGTCGCTGGGAGACTGGTTGAGTAACAAAAGAAGAAAAATAGATAATAAAGTGACAACATGGCAATAAATGTGGAAAAGACTGCCTACAAACTTAAGAAAACAGTAGCGACGACCTTGGTAAAGTCTGCAGTTAACATCCAGATATGTTGATGATACCTTGCCGATTTATCTAGACTATCGTGTTGTTTTGTAGTTGTGATAATGATTTCATTGGAAAATATTCTATTTCCTTTTGCGACATAATCTAAGTTTTTTTTTTTTTTTATGATCGTAAGTATGCCTGGCGGTTTCATTGACATATGGGAGAATGTGACATCACTTCACAAGATTGATTGAATTTTCGGGAAATTTCACCTCCCCATCTGGTTTTTTGATATTCATATCGACCAACATGGATCTTCGTCAGCCTCTTCCTTAGTTTCAATGAAAAGTTCTGAACGACAGATTAGAAGTCCTACTGAACTGTTGTGTGATGCTGTTGAAAACATTATTTGGATCTGCTTTATTTATTTTTTTTCTAAAGCATTATTTAAATCTACATGTACCCAATCCAGTTCTAAACTTGTAATTGAAGGTGTTGCTCACTTGCTGTTTTATACAATAACCAAAATTTGCGTGATGCTATCGTCAATATAGTAGAAAACGCTACCTTTTTCGGAACAACTGGTCTTAATCACCGTGTTAATTTCCAAGTCTCTCCGTGCATTTATTTCTTTTGTTTATATTTTGTCGTCGCTGTGTTTGAATTAAGATTTTGATCAAATGTAAGTAGTTTCCTTGTTTTAGGATAAGTATCATGTATCAATGAATGATTTGACAGCAGCTGAATATTCATGACAATGTTTTTCTTTTTGTCGTTAAATGTTGCAATTATAAACAGCAGAGACTTTTGGGTTTCCTTAATATTGAATGTAGCTTTGTTTTGTTTTTTTTTTTTAATTTAGACTTCCTTAACTATTTCGGAAATCAATGTAACTGTCCATTATGTATATAATTATAGATTCAAGACCTCTTTGTTTTACCAAATGCTGTAATTGTAACATATTTTGGAAAATGATTTCAATGATGTTGTAATCATTTGTTTCCAAGCAGCCTATTGCTGAGTATGTCAATAAAATATGATTCAGTGAAATCAAATCAGTGTAAGTCCTGTATTTAAACCTTATTTCTGGAGTTCGTTCAAAAGATACACCAGAGGATAAAGGATTCCGCACTCAAAGCTGGTAGAGCGACATTAAAACATTCTATGTCATTTGAGCGTTTTAATGAAACTCGGACAGTCAAGCGTCAAAATGAAAATTGTGTCACTGTCGTTATACTTGGACGATTCTGAATTGACAATGTAGGCGATAATATCACAAATCAAATAGATGACATTTAACTTCTAGGTGTTCAGACAAATACTCTCTTTAAGCCCATTTATCTAGGTTATCCTGTGGACGTTTACGGCACTATGTAATACCTACCCTTTGTCCATGTTGTGTCGAGTATCCTGTAATACAGGGCTCCTCTTATCTACTGTTGGTGTTGTGTAGTACATGTAGGCGTCTGTTTCGGTGTCATATCATATTTGTATCCCTCATCATAAAAGTATCCGGACGTTTTTCCCCTTTCATGTATGGAATACCTTTTTTCTCATCATAGATATATATTTATATATATCACTTGTATTCCTTTGGTGTCATGTTACTATTTACAAATTTTCTGTTCTTTTTAATGACTATCATGTTAGCAACAAGTCAGTTGGCCATAGAAACACCACCAGCACTTCTAAATTTGACAAGAAAGCTGATTACACCTAGTCATAGTATCAGTGGGGCAGGGTCAGGTGTCAGTACATATGTAAAGTCACTGGTAGGCATTAAGCTGATTAGGGACTACCTTATGAAGATAAATATGTAACTAGGTGTTGCAAGGGAAGATTGCAATATTAATCATTTGAACATAGGAATATGTGAGTTTTCTCAACATTTCAAAATCAAAGCATGTTATTATTAAAATGAATTTTAAAATGCCATGATGTCGACTAATGTCTCTGAATATCAACCATGGATATATAATATATTGTTATATTGAATGTGACACAACATATAGATTTAATTGTCATGTGTGTTCTGTTTTAACTAAATTTCGACTGTCGGGTATTAGTTAGTGATTGATGAAGTGGTAACAGAAATTCTACACATTATTTTACACAATGGTTTGCATAATGTTTTGTATCACGATTTCAATTAGTTTATTCTTAATATTACACAGAGACTCATGCGAGTGCAAATTTCGGAAAAAATATCTATTTCATAAGCTTGAATTAGTTCTTTTTACAAAACAAGCTCACTGGCTCTAAATCTGTTAAGTAGCAATCAATTACAATTAAGTTTTTGCATTGTTCATGAAAACATAAAAATGTACTTTTAACTAAATCCCTAGAGGAACAAACACAAGAAAATTTTAGGGCAAAATTGATATCATTTGAGAAATTTTAATCATGAACATATAGCTTAAATAGGGGCAGGGTACCATGCGACACGTACTTGTATGAAGGCCTACACAAAAGCATCAGATAGAATTTGTCAAATATATATTGGGATACATCTGAAATAACACTGGATGAGATCAGTCAGATATATAGAAGGTACATATAAGGCGACCACCAGAAAAGTATCATGGAGAGCGATTTATCAGATATTTAAGAGAAAAAATACATGACGGAAATCAGAAAAGTTTGTTTTGGTCGCTGGATTATCGCCATGTGAACAGCCGAGGCCATTTTGAGTTGGGGTCTCCATGAAGAAGCTGGTAGCTATGTCACTGAATCACATACGGGAGGCTCACAGACGAGAATCCCGCTATTCTCTGACTTTTTTACCAACCTGTATCTATCGAAACCTTGTGTTGTGTGTTGCTGCCACTTATAAACACCATAGGCTGTGGTTTCAAGATTGTTGCTCTCTAGAAGGTAAAAATACCACAGGGAAAAGTTTTTATCAGCACGCATATCGTACAGCTTGGTGAAAAGCTGTCCTTGTTGATTTCGTTGTAGGGAAAGATCAAGGAAAGCAGTTGATGTAGATGAGTCCGTCGTGTCCTAGATTTCCAATTCAGGTGGGTTTACACGATGGACAAAGTCAATAGAATTCTTGATTATAAACAACACGCCATCTATATATCAGAAAGTGATTTTGCAAGGTTTTTTACGACAAGGTTTGACAAGTTCTTTGATAGCGGCAACCTCACATGAACACAAAAACAAGTCTGTTGGAAGATCTCCAAACTCGACGAAGGTGTTATTTCATTTAGCCGATACACCAGTATGTTTTCAAATAAATACAATATTTCGAGGAACTGAACATTTTCTACAGAACTAAAACTTTTAAAATTCATTGTAAAAAAATTACATCTCCAATTTACCAACCTAGATCCACATTTTTATGCCAGTCTTATTTTAGCCCTAAGATAATATGGTACCTTTATGAATGTTGCCAATTAATTGGTTTTAATTATCAGTCCTTTATCCCTTACAAAACCGCGCTAATTCAGTCCTTTTATTATATTATTAGTCACTCTATAACCGTTATTTATACCTCATCACTATCATTTATGCCTTTATCATTACATCTGTTTTATTGATGTACATCTTAGTCCTTCATGATTATGCTAGTTTACAGTGATATTTGTGATTTTTATATCATATGTGATGCTGTAATCTTAATGTTGTATATATTGTACATTTTACTGTCGACCACTTGTTAGAAGAGTCTTGTACTCAAAGTGTTATCGAGTCTTAAATAAAGTCATTTATTATTATTAATTATTATTATAAGAAGGCTGAATTAATCACAGCCTAGTCTTCAGGAATTGAAATCATTATCGTAACCTGTATGATAATGTTTATAATTCTATGTATCGTTTTGGACGCACAAAATTATTATTTTAGAGAGATAATGTGTTCTGTAAAGCTCTAAATTACAATCTGAGCAGTGCTCAACCACAAATTTCTATATTCTTATAGATTAGAAGATCCAACACGTTATAAATGTTGCAAGACGAGGTAGCAGGTATAAATGCAGAAACAGTAATAATACCTCAGATTTGTCACTGAAAAGACCGATAAGATTATGACATAACTACCGGTACAGTTTCTTTGTTTGCAAACATCAATTACTGAAACAGAGGTAAAATTAAGTACCAGTACAAATATGTTTCAGTCCTTACCCTAATTTAATTTGGTTTTATTTGTTTTCATGTTGTCAAGTTTTCCTTTACTTTGTTAAAAGTCATCATGATTCTCAGATAACTGTCATTCGTCAAGAACTTTCAGTTAAACATACGATTGTTTTGGCACAGATCAACAAAAATGAAGGTTGAGAGACAAAATGAAATTTTAATTGCTCACCTCTAAAACTACATTACATAACGCCGTGCTTTACATTCACACCATAAAAATTACATGTAAAATTTGCAGTACATATGGTACCTCTACTGTCTGTTTATTTTTTTTTTCGTGTGTGTCAATAGCATTCCTATATTTCCCTGTGATGAAACTTTGCTCTTCTGTCGACCGTCTTAATAAAGAGCAGACCATTGGGGATAGGGGTAAACTTGTTATAACGCTTTTCAAAATGCATAATCCATCAGAAAAAAAATGTCTATTTATAACTTCCAAATAAATTCGTTACTTTAAACAGACATACCTTATAAAACCCTTGTTAATGAACAACGGAATATACTATTCTTTGATATCATATGAGAACGTTAATACTATTCTACATATTTGAATATATAGATTTGACGTCAACAATATCTAGATATTGATACAAACAAGAAAGCAGATATATACAAGTGTGTAAATATTTGTCGAATGATAACCAAAAATGTTTCCATGGTAATCACTATCTTTCTACTGCTTATACATGTACTTATTGTGTTCAATGATGTTTCATACATATTTATAGCTCTATAATGATTTGACACTCCTATCATTAGGATCATGTCAACAGATTTTACGTTATTTCAAATGGATAGTTAACACAGACAATATCCAGTGAATGAATATAACGATTTTTCCTGTTTCGAGTGTTTGTATCCAGACACATACACCTGCAATCTACTATAAATTTTCTTCCCCTGCAGCAATAATCAAGCTTTAATGTCGTGGTAATTTATCTATCAACAAGATGGGAATATAATACGTGTAGATGTCTGTTTATTGATTTAATGGCCGGTCACACCGACTGGTCACCTGCTCTGGGAAGTAAACAAATTAAATACAACTTATATTAATAACCCATTAAATTAATTAGATATAGTAAGTATATATATGAACGTTACTTCGCAATTTACAGAAGTTATTTAATTTTGATTTTATTATTGTATCACTGCAAACAGCTCCAAATCAGGTAAGTTATCAAATTTACAGTACAGTACTATATAGATATATAAAAGTAAGTTTCGTGCATTTTGTACGGCTAGTAGGGCAAATATTTATATCTAAACTTTACATTTGCTATGGCAAATGCAGTAATAATACCAAAATTTGCATTTGTGGCGAAAAAAACTTCCAAATCTACAGTTTTGAAGTTTATATGAAAGTCTTGGTTTTATAAGTCGAAATGGACTACTTAAAGATATATACAATTCGCTGTATTCCGATTGCGGTTTTTCTTAGTGTTAACGTTCATCTGGAGGAAATCGATTGAAACAATAGTTAGGTATAACAAAGTTACAATGTATTTGATGTTTTCCATATCCATTGTACTCTTCGAATTTGTATCTTATTCCACAGCTTGAAAGTAACATTTTTCATTTTTTGAAAACCCGGTACAGAATTTTACATAGAAGTATATAATGACGGACGCACCTGCTTCTATTTTTCAGAATGAGAACTTTTTTAATATTGACGCTAGTAGTAACTGTTTTTGTTTGTGGTAACACCGGTAGTACCACGGAACCTACCACTGGACTTACCGGTGCCGGTAAAGATCTGAGGCATGAATGCTGGTCCCATTGTAGGTGAGTACAACTTTATTGGTAATAATTATTTTAATCAAACACGCATAACCATTAACAGTATATATGATTATGTGTACAAAGCTATCTTACAGGTAAATGGTCAATCCTTTTGAACATAAAACACTAAGCAGACACGCCGTCAGATTAAACAACAATCTTAAGTAACCTTTTATAATGCAAATTATTCCTCTCATTTGTTGTAACGTTTTTCTTGTATGGGCAAATGGGAAATGAGAAAACTGTAAAGTGGACGATATTAACCAAATTGATCAACTAATAAATCTTTGCCCTAACATGATATTGACATCCATCATGAAAATTTGATGATTACAATTATAATATAAACTGTAGATTTCATTATATAAATTCTATTCTTAGTAAACAATACAATAAATTGATCAATCCATTTTTTGCAATATAACATGGATAGCCACTAAAATATATTGACAATTAATATTACACCGTTTATTTATCTCAACTTTATCAACAGTTGTTTCTCCGTGAAAACATTCATTTCTCTCTATTCCTAACAATAAGTTCGTCCTCCTTACAGACGTTACTTTGAAGAGTGCAAGGTATTCTACAAATGCTTTATCCGTACAATGGAAGATGAACAACTGCCGTGCTCCAAGTACTGTATACAGCAAAGTAATCAGTGTTATTCACGGTGTGTTGCCAGATGAACAAAGGAAGCATATATGTGTATACGTGCATATGTATTTGGAGATTTTCTGAATCACATATACGATCCCAGTCAAACTCATTTGCTTACCAACGTTAATCTATGTATCATTGTAAAAAATGGAAGAAATAAAAAAAAAACTTGAAACATTCATAATAGCAATACATTAAGTCGTATATTACGGATGTTTTTTTTTTATTTAATTTTTTTTTTTGCTTTAAACTTTGGATAAAATTGTACAAACAATTTGAATAACGGGAAAAAACTACATCAACAATGAAAAACATAGATACAAAAATATTTAATTCTATCAACTTTCCTATTATGCTTTTGAATATATTTAGTGTAGATATATATTTTTTGATAATACTAAGGCATGATAACACTAATAATGATACAAATCTCTAGTCGGTTATGTTGTTATATACAAACAATAAACAGCAGTTAAGTAAAAAAATGAAAATTAAACAGTACACGGAAATATATGTGCTTGAAATAGAAACTGAAAATTGCGGAATCTTCGATAAAGATTAATTCAAGAACGCAATAAACAATATGAAACGCAAATTTGCATCTACTGTAGTTCAATCAACAGGAATACATATAAAAGGAGATTTCATTTTTGGTGAAGTGCGATCGATATGCTCTAGCATGTTTTTAATGGAAATAAAGCAATTAAGCATTAACTTAATTTGGGAAAAATGTCATGAGAAGTTTTTAAATAATATTTCTTTACAATAGAATAAAATAACTGAATGCAAAACAGATTATTGTAAGTGGAATTCTCATTCCAGTGTGATGAATGTTGCAATCAATGGATGTTTCCCGTAATCCTCAGGCGAACAGCAACCCTACAAGAGTAATAGATAATAACTATGTGTATTTATTATAAGACAATTAGAAAATAGCACCTGTAAAACGTCCTTAAAACTTCTATAATCCATATAAGATTATACAGGAAAAAACATGAACTAATTGTACATTTATCACACACATTTCTGTGTAGCGATTTGATAATGAACTAGAAAGGTAATTACCAGATTTACTATGTTTCTTTGGTTATGAAATTTTATCATGGATCTTGTAGAGAAAATTTGAAAATGCCATAAAAACATACCGGCTACACAAGCGGTAAGGTAGCTAGCTATTGTTCCAGCAATGAGTCCTCTCATTGCCAGTTTTGATAACTCAGCAAGCCGATTGGGAGCTAGGGCCGCAAACGAACCAAGTGATATAGCAACTGATGGAATGCTGGCAAACCCACACATGGCATATGTGGCAATCAGCTCTGAGCGGTCCTGAAATTGTAAGATGAATTGATAATTTTAGATTAATTTGTTATTGATAATGCCCGAATTTTCTTTATTTGCCCTCCCCTAAACAAAAACAACAAAGCAAACAATAGATGATTTTTTTAAAAAGCGTAAATAAAGGTCTACTTCTATGTCATATCGTTTTTGGTCAATATATCTTACCGTTAGAATTCCGTTTTCCAGTGTCGCGTTCCAGTTCGGGAGGAATATATCGCCACCAGGGGTCAGCACGGTATTGTTGTATAAGGCTGAATATTCGTTGTACTTTTCCTTATTATCGAAGTACACCCCAAGCTGTATATAGCTGAGGGCAAGGGTTGCAAACATGCGCACACCCAACATTTCGGCAACTTTCAGACAATCCACAGCATCGATTCCCATGATGAATGCCAGTGGCCAAAGGACATACGAAAATATTTTCTGAAAAGTTAAATTTCGCTTTATGTGAAATAATCTCAGCTTGACCTAGAATATAAAAGAAGGTTTTAAAATGTCAACAAAATATATATTCAAAGACTTTACTCAGAAACGTAGATAAATACAATGTATAGAGCGAGACTTTCGCACCCATTAAAACATATATTTGACCAGTTCTGCTCTTTAAGACGAAGATAGAATTCGACGTTGAAAGTAAAAATATATTATTTAATGTGACGTAGAGAAACATAAATATTGTACCAAAATAAGGAGTTAAATTAAAGGTGAAATATAAACCAGTAACCTTAGCGAATGTTTTATTATTATTGAAAACTGATTACTGATTATCGATCTACGGAAAGATATCAAACAAGGGTGAATAGTAAGACTCACAAGAGGATAGAACATTTCAATACATATTCAGAAGTAGATACTATATAAAATAATAAATAATGAATTGAATTGTATCATACAACAGTTTCGTCTTTCTGGAACTCTTTAATACGCCCTTAACCTCAGAGACGACCGAGAAGACCAGTATTGGTCGAAATTAATGAAAAAAAGGGGGCAGAAAAATCACTGACATGAAAAATTCATTAAAGTTCATAATCATAAATCTTTCGCTACCAACACATTAGGATTACAGTTATGAAAAAGAACGTTAGCAGGAAGAAGAGGTTATCGAAACGAAATAGTTAATAAATGAGAGACTAAACAAGGACTTTCAAAGTACTTGCAACGAGACAACAACAACACTGAGAGGAGACAAAATATATATCACTGTCCTTTAAAATATTTCACATTTAAAACCGTAAATCATGTTTACCTAAGATATATAATTTATACTAGAGTATCGCTGAGAGGAACAATATAAGCCTGAATCAAGCAAAACATAACTACTTAACTCTATGGGAATTAATAAAGATACGAAAATGTCTTATCAAGATGACCATTGAGAAATCGGTCGATAAATGAGGAAGATCATTTTCCCAAACTACTTCAGTTAAAATGCCACGAGCGTGATATGTTTTGATGATATTTTTCAAAACCCGAGTGAACTGAACATAACTAAAGGCAATTACTCGTTCAAAATTTATTGGAGCTTAACAGCGTTCAGGAAAACACAATTGCATACCATTATTTTAAAGAAATAAATTAAAAACTGAAGAATGTTAGAGTGTAGCTAAAAATGTTGGAAGAAATTCACAAGGTTTTGACTAAAATAAAAGTAAAGGAAGTAACACTTCTAAAAGAGTCGAAAACAAACTGCATTTTAACAAAAGCCTTCCGAGTTTAGGAGAGAACGGAGAAAATTCGTGGGAGGTGATTCCCGGACAGGTAAAACACTATGCCATAATACGTTCTGTCAGAAGTTTTGGTGGACGTATACAATCAGCTGTCATTAAAATGTATAGAATGTTTAAAATGTGATATTTATACAAAAGATAGAAATCTTTCTATCAATCAAGAAATTTACGTAATTGACTATGCCCGGCTGATTTGCTCACCTCCAGAGTAAGTTCCTCCACGCCTGCCCTGTCCCCAAACCACGTGACAGCTGCGTTGACGAATGCAAAGAGGGATATGTAAATGAGGAGGTTGACGAGGACGTTAATCATGAGTTGTAGGCCCTGCATTCCGCCTGTTGACAAGGCTTCCATGAAGCTGTTAATACCACTGTAACAGGTAATAAGGCGTACAATTTAAAAGTGTTACATTTGTAAGGACGATATAAAGTGTTCTGTGAGTGGTGAGGAACCATCAAGATCATTCCTTCCAATATGGTAAGTGAGAGATAATAGGAAGAAAGTAAGCCTCTTATAACATGTAATCGAAAACACCGATAGACAATGTATATGATATGAAACATTCTTATGATTTAGATAAAAGAAACTGCTTATAAATATAAATGTAAAATTGAAATTAAGAAATAAATCAAATTCGACTCAGTCAACGCCATATAAACAGACAAATGTGCATATTAAGAACTCACTTTACCACTCTCACCTACCTCTGGTTGCCAAAAACATATTTCTTATCGTCATCTTTGCTCTTTTTGGAAGGATACACCATTTTGGATGCTACCAGGGCGGCTGGAGCAGACATGACTGAAGCTGTTAGTAGGTACTCCACAGGAACCTAGAATGTACATAGCAGATAAAACAGACTTTTATACCGTCTCTTTCTCTTTAAAAATATTCCTCAAATGAATAATTGTAACAAAAGGCGTCGCAGGTCTTCGCCCATTGTTTAGTAACATAACACCTTAATATTCAATTACATTACAGGTATTGTTCAGGCACATTGTTAAATATAGCAATTTGTCTTAAAGATCTATACAAAACCACTACACAAAAATGTATTGGTATATGAAGAAGAACTTTGTCAATATATGTTTTTCTTACCATTCGTTTGTCGATATAAATGTACATTGATCAAATAACATATTTTGTGTACGTTAGTGTAAGCATGGAAAACTTAAAGTTATGTAGACATACCCCAAACGTGGCGAATACAACGAGAGCGGACCCCGCAATGGACGACACTCCATTAGTGTATATACAAAAGATCTGGGACGTCGATAGTGAGTCTATGTAATCATTGATGACCATAAGGGACTCGATCTACAACAGATTTACATGAAAAACTAACTGTAATCCGAACGTATGTGATGTCACATGGTTTATTATGGTATCATCGGTTTAAATGTTTAATTGAACAAATGCATATTGTGTATTTATAGATTGAAAACCAAACTTCATTTATTCTTCTGTAGGAACTTTTTACGATTTTAAGCGATAAAATGTTTGATTGACGGTCAATCAAACATGATTCTTGTTCAAATTCACTTAATCTTTTATTTCAAATTCTCTCCACGTACTATAAGTGGATATACCTACACCACTCATGAATATATTCGTGGCAGCGTTGATTGATTCCACAGGATTTGTTTGTAGACAGTAACCAAGAAAACCACCGAAGTTTCGAATGATGAAGGCCAGGGCGCCGAGGTAGGACAAAACAGCTATGGCGGCACAAAACACAATAACAGAGGGAACAGCCTGTAAAAGAACCAGATTAGTGATCGATATATGCTGAATTATTTCATTTTCTCAAAAGCTTGTTTAATCAAAACGATATAAGATAAGGTATGCCGTGTATATACTTTTTAAATGTTTATCTTGTCATTTAAGTCACATTCTCATAGTCAAGACTGTACTAAAAACAAAAAAGACTAATAACTTTTAATCCTTTCGAAAAAGATACAGAAAAGCCAAATAATAGATTGGAATGCATCATGCAACTCTTTCGTCCTTCTAATAGCCTAATTTTTGTTTAAGTCTAGATGCGACTAAAAAAACAAAGTGATAAGATATTGGGAAATGTTGATTTGCATTCGGTTATCTGAGGAAAAATTGGTAAAGAATTTCTCATTGGAAACATAAAATAGACTTGCCATTTAAGAAGGGATCAATCAATTAATTGAAAAAAAATCTGATTCAATTATTGATTTTCCGATTTCAAAACTATCTAAATTTGTACACCTATCTCATGAACTCATTGCAGAACTAGTAATGACTTGACTGGCTATCATATATCTGTAGTACACAGTAAACGAATAAAGACAAGCAAACTGCTATCAGATAATATCTTACCTTACTCTATCAGATAATATCTTACCTTACTCTATCAGATAATATCTTACCTTTCTCTATCAGATAATATCTTACCTTACTCTACCTTACCTTTCTCTATCAGATAATATCTTACCTTTCTCTATCAGATAATATCTTACCTTACTCTATCAGATAATATCTTACCTTACTCTATCAGATAATATCTTACCTTACTCTATCAGATAATATCTTACCTTTCTCTATCAGACAATATCTTACCTTTCTCTATCAGATAATATCTTACCTTTCTCTATCAGATAATATCTTACCTTACTCTATCAGATAATAGCTTACCTTAAAAATGATATCAAATTCCTTGTATTTTTCGCTGAAAATGAAAGCCGAGCCGTTGTCAGAAAAAGCAATGAATTCAGAAAACCTCTCCGTTATCCAGCGTACAGCCCCGATACCCCAGTCTGTCCGGAGAATGACCAGGGCGAAACCAAACTGGAGTGACAGTCCCCAGAACACGGTGTGCCATTTGATCTATAACAATGTAAAATATTTCATTTCTGCTAGAAACTCGAATTATATTCAATATGCCGAGTGTCCTTTTGATAATGATTAGATAAACGGATACGTTGTATGTTGATTTGTGTTTTGATTCTGCGTGACATTTGCCGGTATTTCTACTGACTGCCAAACATTGGTGAGACTTTAGTGGACCTGAGAACAAGAGTATATCTCAGTATCTCAATGTAATGTAAACTTAATAACAAGTTTCGATGTTCATATATACCTATCCAACTTGAATGTATTCCTGCAGTATAAGACAAGAAGAAACGTTGGTATCTAATGATTAAACATAACGCCATATACAGCGCTGCACGTAGCTCGAGATGGTACACTCTGCCATTCCAAAGACTTCAGTACAGTTTTCAATGTTGATTTAGTGACAAATCCACATATCTACCTTAACTTCTTGTATGTTTTCAGTGGATTCACAAGAAAATCACAAGAACGTTACACTCGAGCAATGAACCCACATCAACCTAACCAACAAAGATTCAAAATATTAGGGCAGGTTTATTGAATATTTGTGAAATATTGATTACGATCACGCTCCAACAAATTTTCGGTACAAAAATTTGCAAAGAAAAACCCATTTGTTTATCAAATCAACACCCGAAACTTCCTCGTCATACGAAATCGTTAACGGGTTTAGCGAGTGAATAATAAGGAGACATACAGACAAAATGTTACGTCTACCTAGCAAACGAAGGTCCCACTATACAACACAACCAGACAGACACAAGAATGCCACCTTCCGTTACATTATTGACAGTGTAAAGCTAGTAATCATGCTACTATTTACTATAGAACAAGTATCGTGCCAGTAATACAGACCCTTATTCGAAAACGGAATACTATTGTGTACCGTTTTAGTATGTATCTATTAAATTATATCACTAATGACATTATAATTCAAATTATTGACAATATTAGATAATTTTGTGATATCACTAATTCGAATTATTGATATCAATAAATACGTTTATTGTTATTATTAGATATACAAAATTATATATATCATTACCTACATTATTAACATCGAAAATTCGAATAATTGATACCACATTTTGAAGATAAACTCTAATACCCCATAAAATACCCAATTAAACTAGAACATGACTTGATAAAAGTGCCATTATTTAAATAAAGATCATTTCGAAGTCAGGTAAACACACCATACGGAACCATATAAACCTTTACTTACAACCGATCCATAGAATTTCTTCCTTTTATCTATCTGTTAAGTATGTCAGAATGTTAAAATTTTATGATACGTGTGATGTTTTAAGCTTTGTAGTACTCGACTCACATTTGCCTTGTTGTTGGACATGAGGAATAAGATGACGATGAAGACGAAGATCCCGCCGAGAGAGATGAGGTTTCGTGGACTCGTTTGTATAACCGTGAGTCCGATGTAGATAATGATGAGCGCCAGCACCACAAAGTACAACACCCTAGTTAGAGTGAAGGTATGGAATCACTTCCAGTTATCGTTTCATAAACATGATCAGGCAACATAAAGCACAGGTGTTTCATCTGCAAGGCATTTTCACTATGTTCTATATGAAGTAGCTGTACAATGTTTAATTAAGCCATATGTAAAATATTTTAAAATGAAATAAAAACATTGTTTTTGCTATGCAAACATATTAAGGATAATGATCGATTAAAAAGAAAACGATTTAAGACAACTTAAATACTATAGTTTGAAAGATGTTGCAACTTTAAGAATATATTCAATGTTCAGGAACAAATCATCGTTAATCTAAAAATAGAAATCTGTAAATGTGGCCAAATTTTATGTGCAAAGGAAACATCTAATTAATTGAAACATGAGTACAAATTGAAATAATTCATGGTTGAAGTAAGTGTACTGTTCCCTACATCATATAATTAAAAATCTGTGCAGTCGAACAAACCGTGATCATACTCAAGTCTATTTTTATCGCCGAATTTTGCCTGGTGGAAGTAAGAACTATACAATGGTATCATGCTTGCAATCAAGATGACGAAACTGTATGTACACTTTATTAGTATATTCACTTAGGCAAAGCTTCACCTGACAGGTCAAATACCTACTTTTTGATATATATATATATATATGTTCATGTATTACTATTTTATAGAAGGAAGACTAAGGTTGGTGACCATGTGAATCTAGCTATGACTTCTACATACATTTCTAAGATTACAATGAACACGGTATTACATGTATATTACGAAATATTTTTAATCAGCGTGTTTCCTGTAAATAATTTTGTATTTAAAATTTGCGAAAACGGAAAAGTAAGAAATACTTACCAACGTACTATTTTCTTTGCTTTAGTAATATTTTCAGGGTTCTTCGGTCCAAGAGATTTTCTAAATGACTGGTACACAGACAATGTCGTGATAATCCTCCAGCCGACGTACATCAGTAGTAATATGGTACAGATCAGAAGTCTCCAGGAACCCTCGTCTCCGAACCGGAAACTAAGGGAGTACACGACATACGCCAGATACAACAGCAGCAAAACGGCGGAAGCGATTTTTTTCAGTATTGTCTTGTGCTTTATAACAGTTGCTTGGATTGTATTAAATATTTTGTCAATGAACAGCACTTTCTCCTCTTCCGCCGGCTCATCGTCTTTGGGTATGGGTTGCAGTTCTATCTCTGTTATTGGTGGTAATTCCACATTTGTGGGAATGAAGAAAGATGACCTCCGTCTTTTCGTTGGGCTAGTGTCATTTGTTGAAACGATCGTCATCGGGGATCCATTTTCAAGGCTGCTACGTCTCGATGAATTCAGATCGAATTCCATTTTATCTGTTGAATATGCCAATATTACAAAAATGAAACGAAATATACCATATCCTCAACAGGCAACACAAAATATACCATAACGTCAACAGGCAGCACAAATATATATTATATCGTCAACAGTCAGCACAAAATATAGTGCATGATAAAGTACACACGTAGGTGGTAAACACAGCTTTACTATATAATAACTAAATATACGACAGCGCCAACACACATCGACAATACAATACAATACAAGAGCGTCAACACACGTGGACAACATACTACAACGTCAACACACACGGACAATATACTACAACGTCAACACACACGGACAATATACTACAACGTCAACACACACGGACAACATACTACAACGTCCACACACACATGGACAATATACTACAACGTCAACACACACGGACAATATACTACAACGTCAACACACACGGACAATATACTACAACGTCAACACACAGGGACAACATACTACAACGTCAATACACACGGACAACATACTACAACGTCAACACACACTGACAATATACTACAACGTCAACACACACGGACAATATACTACAACGTCAACACACACGGACAACATACTACAACGTCCACACACACGGACAATATACTACAACGTCAACACACACGGACAACATACCACAACTTCAACACACACGGACAATATACTACAACGTCAACACACACGGACAACATACCACAACGTCAACACACACGGACAATATACTACAACGTCAACACACACGGACAATATACTACAACGTCAACACACACGGACAATATACTACAACGTCAACACACAGGGACAACATACTGCAACGTCAACACGCACGGACAATATACTACAACGTCAACACAGACGGACAATATACTACAACGTCAACACACACGGACAATATACTACAACGTCAACTCACACGGACAATATACTACAACATCAACACACACGGACAATATACTACAACGTCAACACACACGGACAATATGCTACAACGTCAACACACACGGACAACATACTACAACGTCCACACACACGGACAATATACTACAACGTCAACACACACGGACAACATACCACAACGTCAACACACACTGACAATATACTACAACGTCAACACACACGGACAATATACTACAACGTCAACACACACGGACAATATACTACAACGTCAACACACAGGGACAACATACTACAACGTCAACACACAAGGACAATATACTACAACGTCAACACACACGGACTATATACTACAACATCAACGCACACGGACAACATACTACAACGTCAACACAGACGGACAATATACTACAACGTCAACACACACGGACAATATTCCACGGCGTCAACACACACGGACAATATACTACAACGTCAACACACACGGACAATACACTACAACGTCAACACACACGGACTATATACTACAACGTGAACACACACGGACAACATACTACAACGTCATCACACACGGACAACATACTACAACGTCAACACACACGGACAATACACTACAACGTCAACACACACGGACTATATACTACAACGTGAACACACACGGACAACATACTACAACGTCATCACACACGGACAACATACTACAACGTCAACACACACGGACAATATACTACAACGTCAACACACACGGACAATATACTACAACGTCAACACACAGGGACAACATACTACAACGTCAACACACAGGGACAACATACTGCAACGTCAACACGCACGGACAATATACTACAACGTCAACACACAAGGACAACATACTACAACGTCATCACACACGGACAACATACTACAACGTCAACACACACGGACAATATACTACAACGTCAACACACAGGGACAACATACTGCAACGTCAACACGAACGGACAATACACTACAGCGTCAACACACAAGGACAACATACTACAACGTCAATATACACGGACAACATACTTCAACGTCAACACACATGGACAACATACCACAGAATCAATACACACATGGACAATATACTACAACGTCAACACAGACGGACAATATACTACAACGTCAACACACACGGACAACATACTACAACGTCAACTCACACGGACAATATACTACAACATCAACACACACGGACAATATACTACAACGTCAAAACACACGGACAACATACTACAACGTCAACACACACGGACAATATACTACAACGTCAACACACACGGACAATATACTACAACGTCAACACACAGGGACAACATACTGCAACGTCAACACGAACGGACAATACACTACAGCGTCAACACACAAGGACAACATACTACAACGCCAATATACACGGACAACATACTTCAACGTCAACACACATGGACAACATACCACAGAATCAATAGACACATGGACAACATACCACAGCATCAATACACACATGGACAACATACCCCGGCGTCAATACACACATGGACAACATACCACATCGTCAATACACACATGGACAACATACCACGGCGTCAATACACACATGGACAACATACCACATCGTCAATACACACATGGACAACATACCACAGCGTCAATACACACATGGACAACATACCACGGCGTCAATACACACATGGACAACATACCACATCGTCAATACACACATGGACAACATACCACGGCGTCAATACACACATGGACAACATACCACATCGTCAATACACACATGGACAACATACCACAGCGTCAATACACACATGGACAACATACCACGGCGTCAATACACACATGGACAACATACCACATCGACAATACACACATGGACAACATACCACAGCATCAATACACACATGGACAACATACCACGGCGTCAATACACACATGGACAACATACCACGGCGTCAATACACACATGAACAACATACCACAGCGTCAATACACACATGAACAACATACCACGGCGTGAATACACACATGAACAACATACCACGGCGTCAATACACACATGGACAACATACCACAGCGTCAATACACACATGGACAACATACCACATCGTCAATACACACATGGGCAACATACCACATCGTCAATACACACATGGACAACATACCACGGCGTCAATACACACATGGACAACATACCACAGAATCAATACACACATGGACAACATACCACAGCATCAATACACACATGGACAACATACCACAGCGTCAATACACACATGGACAACATACCACAGTATCAATACACACATGGACAACATACCACGGCGTCAATACACACATGGACAACATACCACGGCGTCAATACACACATGGACAACATACCACAGCGTCAATACACACAAGGACAGCATACCACGGCGTCAATACACACATTGACAACATACCACAGCGTCAATACATACATGAACAACATACCACGGCGTCAATACACACATGGACAACATACCACGGCGTCAAAACACACATGGACAACATACCACAGCGTCAAAGCACACATGAACAACATTATCACATTTAAGATTGTGTTAGATTCGTTATTTGGTTATACTCTAGCTAACAGTACATTTGTGATGAAAGTGTTCTGTCTTTTGTTGTAGTTGATGTAACGCGGATGTTATCTATCCGACCTCAGGGCATTTTCAAGCTGTGCCTATCATTGTTAGATTCATTGTAATGTACACGGATCCCGAACATTTTGTATTGACAAAGAATGGATAGGTAAAGCATAATTTTCCTTATATTAACCTTTGAATGAACTTCACCGAATGTTTCATTTGAATTCAAACGAAACGGGCGTAATGTTATTCTTTGAGTTCTTGCACAAAGCTTTCGTTATTCCCTTTTGCCTCACATTCAATCTATCTTCTTTTTTCAATTCTTGAACGAGGTGATAAAAATAATCAACACACGTCACGAGTTATCATTGTCGAAAACCGGTTGCATTTTATCTATTATAAAAAAACAAAACTTCCAATAATGCTTTTCGAGCTTCCAGAGCTGTTATTAAGAAACCATTTTCAGCCTGTAATTAGAAAATGTGATTTTGCTGTTTTATTTTCATTCAATTATTTTTTTATTTTTGCCTGAGAGTGTGTAAGGCAACACGTAAATAAGATGATGACGTATTGTTTCGACGAACGTTTTCTCCAAGCTTGCATGTTTATGTTGCTATTTTAACATTATTTTGATATGGCTGCGAATATGTTGAACACTGATCTCAAAACTAACGGTGTTCAATTTATCAAATTTTCATTCATATTTATAATAGTATGATCATTGAAACCTCGACATCTGAGATGATAACGCAGATAACTAGATGTTGATTTCGATGTCCGTTGCGGACGCCGTTATTCAAAACTCCGTTCCCTCACAAAAGCATAACAAAACCGCTGATAGAACGTTGGATCACAACGTCGACATTTTTGAAATCTGTAAAACAAGATATCACACTGCTGCACCAGCTATATCGCTATTTGTCGTGCTCTATCCCGGCTTTACTTTACAGCACTTACCTAGTTAACGTGTTGATCACTCCAACCGATGGTTCCTCTTTACAGAACTAACTGAAGACAGAAATCGTTCTAAACATGATACTTTAAAGCATTTGTACCTCTAACAAGTAAACAGGTTGGTTTCTGTGTGTAAAAGGCATAAAAGGGGATTTGTATCTATTGAAAACAAATAATTAAAAAATCATGGAATCACATGCAGAGACCCATTATTAGGGTCCTTTCTCTTTTAAGCTAGATTTGAAAAGCTCTGTCTGTGCATACGTTTTAAAAATAAGATTTATGGAACTTGTTTCGTAAAAGTGAGACCCTTCTTTGAGCCCCATGTATTTATAAATAACAATCATTTAGTACATCAAGGCCTCTCAATACACCTTCTGTCTCCAGCCCGACAGGTCAGTGAGATGCTTTTGTCCCTCCGGCCATATCTAGATCGTGTCCGTCAATACCGGTCGCCAATAAGCTACATAAAACTACATACTAGTGGTCAAGTGTGAACGCCGTTGTGTATCATATGACAAATCGGTCATAGTTTTTGATACGCACGTTTATTAAAATCTATTTTTCTTTTCGAAAACGATGTTTTGGCACTATCACGATAGGGATTAAATTATATTTATTGTCCTTCTATACAAACACAAGTGATGCAACATCTGTATTTACACTTACACTATATAGTCTCTGTATGAAGCCAATCAAATCAAATGTTTCCATTCAACGATATTACGCATGACAATCAAGTACTCGGTCATATCACTTCTTTAATTTTTTTTATTAATGCGCGACATTTAGAAATACTTTATAAATCTGGTTTTAAATATGAAAAGGCATGTTAATTATGTTACTGTAATGTTACACGATATACCTGTATGCGAAAGGTAAATGAAAACATTCTGTAATCCATTAATCATTTGTTATTAGAACAATCTTTTTCTTGTTGGCATTGTCAATGACGCCAAAATGGCGCCATCTACCGCTTCCGGGACAAAACATATGTTAAATAGAACTCGCTGCTGTTCCAAAGTTCTGTAGCAGATAGTCGGTTTTAAACAAAGATTGTTATAAATAATGGTAAGACATAAGCGGAGTGTGTTTAGAATTTAATTTTTCTCGAAACGGTAACTGGTGTTACATCGATGTTAACATCTAAGTGAAGTTCAAAGGTTATGTCAGATCTTGATAAAGTTATTGGAGTGTCAGCGACGTTTACTTAAGAACTGTTTTTTATTTTCTTTACCTGCATCGTAGTGTACACCGCGAAATCATATCTTTTCCTGGGGGCTCTAATTTCGTGGTTTTACAAAATATACATTTTCGTTAGCACTTGATTTCATGAATAAATTTTATGAAACATCCTGTTTAGTGTCTAAACCATGTTTCATCTTGATGTGTTGCTGATACGAATCAAGTTTAGACATCACTATTTCTTTAAACAAAAAGTTTAAATAATTTTCACTCGAAGCGGCCGAACTAGGTGTCCCGAGAAAGCTTATCTACAATATCTCGGTGTCATCACCATTTTCCAGTTGAATGCTATTTACATAAGGAATATTTTCAGCAATGGAATGATGATAAGATATGTCCTCAAGCCGAACCACAAGGTAGGTATAAATGTATATATACATATATGTAGCCAGGTGTAACACGCAGGTATTAACAGAAACTGTGCATACTACACGAGTTATTAACTTTACATTGCGCGCCTTCATTTTGCACGTGACCGTAGAGTTGTCCGTGCCCCCTAAAACTCTCACTTAAGCCTAATATCTACTTGAAAATATCTTGTATGAAAATTCCTCAAGGAATTTCAGGACATCCTAACCGATGACTTGTTGAAAATTTTATACCATCGACTTGAGGAAATCTCAAGTTGAGATGTTTTAAACAAGTGGGGCCTGGTGTCCCTGGTCAGCCAATTACTGTAATCGTAGATTTACATAGATTGGGGAATCTGAAATGATATTTATCCTTTCATGCAATTTAGCATTATTTTTTATCGGCAAGAATATATCAAATAGGCTAAACATGTATAAATGTGTGGATTGGGAGTCAGTCATCTATGTACCTTGTAAGTCGCAAGCCTCAATTCCTACGACATGAACTATTATGACCCACTGTGTTACATTAAATATTATGTTACATATGTGTTATTCATTTGGTTGTCGATAGTGTGTTTTTACTCTTTCCGGTAGAAAAGGTCAACCATTAGCGTGTTACGTTGATTTCATCCTCAAAGCTAATATTTTCTTCAATTATAAATTAATTCCAGAAGATTCAATTTGTAAGTCGAAAAATTAAGTCCTCATTTCAATAATGAAAGAAACCCTTGATGAATTTGGAAATATTTTTTTATTCCATGGCATCTTTGCATTTGAGCTCCATAAAAACACCTCTACCGAATCATCTAGCTTTGCTGATATTGGATTTCAGCTAGTCAAACGTCATTCCCCTTATATGTAACGTGCCATGCGCTGTGAAATGTTTGATATCATTTTCTCTTAGACCTAGACTGGTAAATCAATTTTTTTACGGTGCGAGATTTCATTGTCATACTCTAGGGTTGAGGCGGGTGGAGGCTCCTGTCAGTGCAATGGTATGGCGTCACAGTAGCAGTTCACTGACATCACGTCAACAATTTAACTACGTCTACGGAGCGCAGCATTTGGACACCGAATACATATAGGAGTAACAATTAAAGCCAGCAGGGTGGTTAAAATAAATCATCCATCCTTTGTTGGTGAGATAGAGTGATCTAAACCCTCAAAAAAAAAAAAAAAAAGCCTCGTGTATGCTTAATTAATCATCAATCTACACATGCTCTTTACGCACTCTGAAAACAATTTAAGTGACGTCACTGATGTGACCCGGAAGTAGTTCTCATTTATGAGGCCAGATACATACCCCAGCTACTGAAACCTTTTGTTAAACTGACAAATGAAACTTCTGTGATACAGCAAGATTGAAACTCATCTTAATAAACAATTTGTTTTATTAAAAATACGTCTATATCTAATATCAAGAGTATAATTTTATTTGACGTTTCATTGGCACGTTCACTAGAATTGTATGTTGTGCAAGATTAAATCACAATGCCTGAAGTATCTGAGGGGCGGGTCTCGTCACTTTTCCTACGTGTTTTTTGTTTATACACAATACATTTTATCTTCATTCGGACAAGGAAAACAAGGTAAGAGAAAAATAACCATTCACTCCCTTTAGGGTGAGATACGGAGATCTCAATTATCATTTAGCTATCAAACGCTCAACAAGACTCGTGTTTGACAATTTAATAATCTTTCCTCTCGGGTTGGGATCTTCCTTTTAACCCTTAAGGGAATGAAAACTATTAACACCGATAGCTATCGGCAGGCTAAGACGTTGTGGGGATAGTGAGCTTGGCTTAAATTCTCAACAAAACTTCCAAGGGCATTAATTGCTAAATTTGTTTCTAAAGACGTCGTTTATATTTGTGCTGCAGTACAGCATACTCTACTGCTAAGATCTGGATCATATGCAGCGTCCCTCAGACAAACAGTAATCCTGAAATACCAAATGCAAAGTGAAAGCTTGATATATGTCAGTTTATCACACAACGAAATACATGTAAAAATTGTGTGAAGAAATTTTTAAAGTATGTTTTAGAGTTAAATACGTAGTTTTAAATCCTGAAGTAATTTGCATTAGATAAAGCTATGATCCGTCCTAACCATTTAACACTAATTTGATAAACTAAATATATCAACGTGATTATAACGTGGGTTTTGCACTTAAGGATTATATTCCGCTTGGACGCAATGAGATACGGTATCTTCTCTATATGGCCTGATTCGTAAGGGGTTAGAATGACACCCTTACTGCCTCACATTTTTACTTTAATTGAGCGGTGATCCTTCTGAGGAAGCATTGGGTCCAGTCCTCTTGATAAGATATATAAGGGGTAGTTACTCCTTTCCGCATAAAACCCAGCTTTGTGTTAGTGTCACGAATGAATAGTACAATGTGACCGGATAGGGTGTTCTGCTGGGGACCTTCGTGCGCTTTAAAATTATAGCACTTAATGTCGCTTTCAGTTCCGCTCTATCGCATGGACCGCACACTAGCACAAGTAGCTTACACAAACGCTTACAAAAGCATATCACAGAGTTCTTAAAGCATGTAACGTTATTTTGTAAAATACATTTATATTTCATGTTTAACAGGTTCATCAATCTTTGAAGACAGTAGGAGTAAGTTAAATTGAAACCTACCAGTAACACATCCGGTAAGGTAACTAGCCAAGGTCCCAGCTAATAATCCTCTGATCGCCATGGTAGATAGCTCACTTTGTCGCCCAGGGGCAAGAGCAGCAAAAGAGGCGAGTGACATCACAACAGAGGGAATACTGGCGAACCCACACAAGGCATAGGTAGCGATCAACTCTGAGCGGTCCTGAAAGTAGCAGATGATCAGAAATTATAGGTCACGTTACCATTCCTTGATATTAGAATTATTGTTAAACGACAACAGCTATATTAAAACGGTTAATAAATAATGCACAGTAATATATCTTGTAACCCGGAAAACATTGCTTGCAATTTCTGGGATGTGTCACTTATGAGCAAGTACCATCCATATAACATGTATCCGGTAGTTACGCAACCTCGGAATACCAGTTGAAACCGGTTTCAGTTTAAATGGGAGTGAATGAGAAACTGGAGTTTATTGTATGATCTCAGCGACGCTTTCCTTTTGTGACTACTCATTAACATTATGTGATTGACTTTGTAACACTGGATAAGCTTATATATTGCTCAGAAACAGTATGGTGTCTATTTGTTTCTACTGACGCGCCATGGCACACATTGGTCAAGAATGAGGAGAAAGTACTTTTTTACGCGATTTATTGTAGCACTGAAGCGGATGTGGGCATTAGATAGACAGATTCTTTGATGAAAATTATCACCAACATGTATTTTTATACTGTGCCTGTCTCCTGATCTCAAAACACAGAACTGACTTTGATATCGGTCTTGAAATAGCAAACCATATCATATAACCACACACAAGATAAAGTAATAATTAGATACAGTAAAGCTAAATGTTCCCTCAAACTGCAACAAGCAACTGTTTCACCCTTCTTCATTAGTGGTTTCTTCATCAGCTGCTTACCGCAATCGTTTCCTGCAACGAAACCAACACGGGCAGTTTTCCACCAAGCTGAATGATAAGCGTGATGATTTTAATTTTGTAATTGTGAATTTTCCACTTCTAGAAAGAAACATACCTGCATTCCCAACACATCGCTGCTGATCAAATATTCTAAGGTTTACTTCCGATATCACGATTTTTCGTGCAAAATGTCGGCAACTTACAGGCAAACTCGTTCCGAGAGAGGCAGGTTGATTAAAGATTATGGGGGACGTTTTACAGTCATCACAATGCTCTCTTTGAAAAATTATCTATTTCTTTGTGCGATGGGAAGCCGGACGTGTTTGATACTCGTGAGTATGCTTTTGATTCAATTACTTGCTCTCATTTGAGAACGCGACATTACTTGAATCGGCCAACATTTTCATTGCTAATGTCGTCGATGAAGCAGAAGACGCTTTCTCTTACGGAACGCACGATTCTATTCTCCTTCTCTGTTTCAAGAGTCCCGTTTTCATTTTCCTTTAGTTCATATTTTGCCTTTTGTCACCGCAACATTCGATTAATATGCTAAAACTTGTCGCAGTTTGATCAATTTCATGATGTTCTGCACTAGTATTTCAAAAGAATGTCAAATATTTATGCATATTTTGAATTGTGACCATGTGATTTACGGTAAACCTGTATCATTTTTGTTAAAACTACATGTCTACGAATTTTGAAAAGACCTTTTTCTGAAAATAAGAGAAAGTAAGTGAAGTTTCCTTACTGTCAAAACTCCATTTTCTAACGTTGTGTTCCAGTTCGGCAGGAAGATATCGCCACTTGACGTCAGTACTGTGTAGTTGTATAATGCTAGGTATTCGTTGTATTGTTCTTTGTTGGAAAAATATTTTGCCAATTGTATGTAACTCAGGAAGAGCGTTGCAAAGATGCGCACGCCCATCAATTCCGCAACTTTGAGACAATCTACAGAATCGACTCCCATGATGAAGGCTAGCGGCCAAAAGCAATAAGAACACATTTTCTGAAATACAATTAGGTAAGCACATGCGATAAGGTTGAAGGATGTTGGATACAAAAAACGGGGAGAATTTCTAGAAGATGTTTCGCAAATTGTGACGCGATGAAATATTTATCTTACCATCACTATAAACAGAGTTGTCAGTCCTTCACTCACTTGACTTTTGTAAGTGAGTGTAAGCAACGACAACTCTGTGTAACGATCGGTTAAATCATAGTTTGCAATAATATGTTTCTTGTATTTCTATCTTATATATATATATATATATATCAATGTTATACTGAACATAGGTATAATTTAAGTATCAGATATGCAAATTTATTACATAATGAATATTTATGAGAACTTCAGCGATGGTACCCACTTATACGCTCACCCCAAGTGTGAGTTCCTCCACTCCCGCTCTATTCCCAAACCATGTGATCGTTTCATTGACGAAGGCGAAAAGGGATATGTAGATAAGAAGATTAATGAGGACCTTCTTTACAAGCTGTAGGCCTTGTAATCCCCCTGTTGACAGGGCTTCCACCAAACTCTTCGGTCTACTGAAATAACCATTAATTTGAGTAATAAATTGCATATTTTCATGTGTCGTCATATGTAATACTTGCACTATTGATCTGGTGGACAACGGTCAGTGTACTATACTTTTAAAACGTAGTGGGCTTAACGATTGATGCGACAAATAAATATGCTAGAAAAATGTTGTTGAATCTGTTGACAAATACAATTACATTAGTAATTCTCGTGATGTTTTTCCTTGCAAACAAATATAATTGATTATTGAAATTGTATTTATAAGCAAATAAAAAGCAACAAGAAATAAAATCATGTGAAAGTTTATATTCTGTGCTAGCTTAACAAGGAATAGTTCCAAAATGTAAAATATATATGCATATTCTGGTGACTAGCTCTGAACTCTCTAACAACAGATTAGTGTGATTAATGGTAGTTACCGACTTGTTTCCATGGTTTTAGATAATCGTTTATACAGTACCTAAGATGTAGACGCTGACTTACTTCTGTGTTCCAATAATCACACTTTTATCGTCATCATCGTCTTTGTTCTCGTCAGATGGATACATCATCTTAGATACAACTAGGGATGCTGGTGCTGACATGATAGAAGCCGTGAAAAGGTATTCGATTGGTATCTGGAAAATGTAGGAGAACCAGACATATTGTGTTTAAAGATTGAACAAAAAGACACATGAGTGAATTGCAACAATTGCAAAATTAACATTTTATAATCCAATGGAAAATCCGAAAACATTATTAAAGAGTGTTACTGGCCTGTTGAAAGCAGATTCCATGTCACTTATGTCATTGACGTGCGCTAGGTCATCTTACAATGAACGAATATGTTGCTTTTGTTGCACTTTTTGCGAGCTATACTATTTGGTTACCTTGGCCCTCATGTCATGTATGAATGGTTTTCATATTACGATTTATCACATGATAAGCTTATTATTTCATAAATATATCCATGTGATATTTTTTTGCATATTACTGATCCTGATATAACTTTTTGTTACGTCATATCTAGATAATAATATGGCGCCATAAACTTACAGATTGCATTGTGATGTATTACTAAAGATCATAAATTTGAACGGCTGGAACAAGCTTGACAGAAATGTTTGCTTTATACAATATCTGCTTGAATTATCAATCATGAAATAAAAATATCCTCAATTGGTTTCCTTTTCATGAAATCTGTCACATATTTTTTTTTTCATTTTCAACTGAAACAATATACAATATCAGCTGTTCATCAAGTGCATTGTAAAAATTCCAAATATGTCCTTTGTACTTACTCCAAAGTTTGTGAACACTATTAGAGGGACTCCGAATATCGACGACACTCCGTTTGTGTAAATACAGAAAATATGAGACGTCGATAACGTGTCTATATAATCTTTGACGAACACTAGAGACTCTGTCTACAACAAATATGATAAAAGACATGCAAAAATAGTTGCCTGTAACAACGGATAGTTTTTTGTTTTTGTTTTTCGTTTTGTTTTTTTGTTTTTTATTTGTTATTTTATGAATAAACTTATATAGATGAAATGATAAATGCAGTTTACACGTAAAATTCTCAAACGCATAATATGAAAATCATTGTCTACTACAAATATCTTTTTTTTTTATTTTCATCTTTTGAAACTCCAATTCGCAAAAATCGTTATGAACACAACCAAAGAATCCCCGATATTTACAATCATTGTATTAGCACGAATATGTTTAGAAATATCATTTAAGATATTCAGATATGTATATAGGGACAACGAATCATTCCGTTTCCCCCATTTGTGATATCCCAACACAAAGGGGTGCAATGCTCTCTTTGATTTCCTAGATGTAGTTAAAGTTACATCTATAATATTCCTTACTACTTACTCTTGGTCATCTTGTTTCAAATGAAAATAATGATGGTAAAATTATTTTTTAAGTGACATATCAAAATACTATGATGAACTGAATGCAGTTAATAGAATACATATATCATTTTCAAAGCAGCTGTTTATTTTCGTGAATCTGGTATTCGGTTAAATTATACAATTAACAATCACTTTCGTTAGACTTTTATAAATGCCAATGGCATACTGACACATATAAGAGTAGATACTCTATACACAAGTATTATACGTGCATTATAGAGATTGTAGAAGAATACAGGACCGTATGGGAGAAGGTTATCTGTTTGAGTTAATCGCCCTTGAACAGCTACTGTCATTTTGAGGTAGGCCCTCCTTATATTTGCTTGTGGTACCTAACTAAACAACATACATGATACCTTTAACTCAGGTGTATGGAGCGTCGAAACCATGCACCTCGGATCTTAAAATGAGGTTTCGCGGGGAAACATGTGGGAAATGTCGATTAACCCTTCATAGAGAAACTGTTATACTTGAAAACTGCCATATATCTGATTGTATTGTTTAGCGCAAATTATTATACCTACACCGCTCAGAAATATATTCGTGGCAGCGTTGATTGATTCTACAGGATTGGTTTGTAGGCAGTAACCAAGGAAACCGCCAATGTTTGAGACGATAAAATCCAAGATGCCGAGATAGGACAAAACAGACATGGCGGCACAGAACACGATCGCAGAAGGTACAACCTATAATGAAACATCAAGTTATCAATATATTATTTATTGTACATTGTTTGGTTTTTATTTAGGCTCAGAAACATTCGTTTCACCTTTTTGTCCGGTCGACGCTGGAAGGTAATTGATAAGCCTCGAACGTTTCTATTCGGGCCAGCGAGAGGGTTTGATATGACTTGATTCATTTCTCATTAAATATTTTCCTTAATACGCTGAGATTAATTTGTACATGTATCTGGACAATTTACAATATTTCTATTGTAGAATTGTGAACTGATAACTATATTTATAAACCACAAAGACATATACATGTATTTCAAACCAATAACACCTGCTAACTTTCAACTGACCCTGAATATGACCTTAAACGTTTTGTAATTTTCGCTAAACAGGAAACTCGATCCCTTGTCGGAGAATTCAACGAATTCCCATAATCTGTCTGCTACCCAGCGCACAGCACTACGACCCCACTCTGTCCGCAGGACGACCAGGGCGAAACCGAACTGGAGGGAAAGACCCCAGAATACAGTGTGCCAATTAATCTGTAATAACAACATTTTGATTTGCTATGACAGACACACATGTAAATCAATATGTTTTTGGTATTTTCTTCTGCAACATACGTTTGTACTAAAAGGCAAATACAATCATGCAAGGAACAGTTCTCAGTCTCCTATAATTTGTTCTTTGTTAATATGATATCTTGTGTAATCTGCTCTACACATGACATTAAAATGTGAACAATGTTGAGCAAATATAACTTCCGCTTGTTATGTCAATTTGTAGTAAACGATAAAATGTATAAAATTTATTGTCATTATAATAAACATGTACCAGGAAAACTACAATAAAACACATGTAATCTATTCACTGACCTTCTTCTTATTGTTGGACACGAGGAGTAGGATGAAGACAAGGACGAAGATTCCGCCGAGAGAGATGAGGTTTCGTGGATTAGTTGGTACAACCGTGAGTCCTATGTATGTTGCTATGAGAGTAAGTACCACAAAGTACAGCATCCTTGACAAAATAAAATATGTTAACAGTAAATTTGACATGGATAGATAGAAAATAAAAAAACATAAAATCACACAATGACACTGTAAAGAATCTTTTCGAGGAGTTAAGCTTTTTTCGATGATGACCTTAAACTGCGGAAAATTGATACTCTCAAATAGGGGATAACTATACAGGCCATGACATGACATTCGCGAGAAAAAATCGTTTTGATTCAGGGGGTTAAAATCTTAAAAATTTGAACCAAAAACAGTCTTTCCATTATATATAAGAGAAACTTCAATTCAATTGTCCACACTGTAGTATGTATGTAATATTAAACTTCATGAAGTCCATATGTAACACGAAATTATCTAAAGGTCATTTCATCGTTACTGATTATACCATAAGAAGAGAACTTCCCTGTTGAAACTTTGCGAATCCACACTTGCCCTCTGCTTAATTAGGCATTAAAAATAAAAATGTCTACAATAAGTTAAAAACATTTTTTAAGGACTCATTTCCTTTGTCAAAAATTCACGTTTTATCATTAAAGAAAGGGAAAAAGAAAAGAAAAAAAATGCACCTTGATGAAAAAAATAAGAAAAGGAAAAATGCACCTTGATGATATACTAATACTCGCCATCTTATAATCTTCTTTACTGTAACCACATTGGGAGGATTCTTCGTTCCAAGAATTTTTCTAAATGATCGGTACACAGACAGTGATTTGATAATCCTCCAGCCGAGGTACATCAGTAGTAATATTGTACAAATCAGAAGTCTCCAGGAACCCTCGTCTCCGAACCGGAACAACAGAGAGTATACAACATACGCTAGATACACCAACAGTAAAAGGCTGAATAATATCTGTTGTAATATCTTTTTATGTTCCAAAGCAGTATTCAGGATCAAGGGAAATACTTTGTCAACAAAGAAAACTTTCTTTGTTTCTTCTTTATCATTTTCTGTTGGTTGCATCTCAATGTATGCTATTCCCGATATCGAAGGCATTTCTGCGTCGGGTTGGACATTCATGGGTGATTCTATTCTGTCTTTAAAGTAGAGGTCTTTCATTGAAATATCCGTTTGGACTCCTTCGTCCAAACTGTTCTGTCTGAAATCTGTATCCATATTTATTTCTGAAGAAAAATAAATGGGATATAGTGCATATAATAAGCATAGGACAAATTCATCTCGGCGTTACAGCTTACAAAAAGAAAATATGTGACACCAATGCAATCAAAGGCATTAAGTATATCATAACGTCAGAACAGCATAGAACACGACATACCACTATACCAACACACACTATACCCACCACCATCGACAGACGAATACCAAAGAATGTTGACCCGTATACATACCAACATACTGATTCTTACATAAAATATATTCTTGAATATACATATCATTGCGTGAGTAAACAAGTTTAACATATTTATGCCACAGTGTAAACTTATTTAGGTAAAATTTAAATGAAAATATATTTCAACCTCAAGGCACACGATAACGCGTCACGAAAGTAGGGGGAAATATTCCGAAACGTCAAACAAGCAACACAACACATCATTTAGCGAACTAACACGCCGACTATAGTGTAAAAACACAAGGAAAGAATGTAACAGAGCACTAACATGCACGATTTTCTACTTTCAAGATAAGATATACCACAATGTTAACATAGTAGTTACTAACATACAACAGTGTTTAAATCAATGCCCTTCAGTATTAGTAATCAGAAAGCGTCTTCTGCTTCAACCTGGCATTGCTATGCAAATGGCGGTTAGTTTACGTCAAAGCGTTGACACCTTTTCTGGTATTCTCGTGAAACCACGCATATTCATTTCAAAGACAATCTTAATAATTTAATGCCATGTTCGAAACGTGTTTGACATGTCTGTGGTCTTGTAATTATTGAATCGTCTAAAGACGAGATTTTTTTTTTTTTGAAAGACAGAATAAATAAAATTCTAAGGTCTAGTACATCGGCTGAGTTTTCTTCCTAAACTTTTTGTCTAATGAGCACCTTAAGTTAAATTATACCGGTTTTATCTGTATGTGATTATTGCTTGTCTAAATAGGTCTAAATACCAATCCAAAACGTATATCATAGATCATCCAAATGTATTATATCTAGCCTTTCTCTATACTCACATAGACGAGAACTTACCGTGTTGTGAATTCCAGAAATACATTGCGCAGTCACATAAAGTAAATGGATGTAAAATCATTGCGCTTTCTAACGAACACGTGAAAATAGAAGCTAGGAGACCTTCTGTAAAAAGGGTGCTAGCGCATTAGCTATTCTACTGTTATAACATCAATGTATATGAGGAAGACGCGTGACAAGATAAAAAAACCTTCGCGTAAATACAAATTCACACACATTATCATATTAGAAGTCGTCCGATATTATTCTCCTTTGTCCCGTTTTAAGAGTTCCCGTGTAACTATTGGTTTATATTTTACCCTCTTTGAATTAAGTTTGAATTAAGATAATTAATCTGTTTTGTTCCTTTTTGTGTGTACATTACAAGAATTTCCATTGGTTTTCATCAATTTTAACTTATTGTGCTGAGAAGAAATCCACAACCTCCATGTCTTATCTCCAGAGAGAAGAGTTCTAACGTATTATATTTTCTGGCCCTGACAATGAACTGGCCATCTTGGTACTGTTCAGAATTAAGGATATCTTCAAGTCAAACTTTAAAGAATTGTTTACATAATTTGCTATCCTATATTATATTGGAGCAGTTTGATAAGGACCATTTTATATGAATTCATACAACTTCAGAACATTCATATCTGATGTTCTTTTGTAATATAAACAAATATATATATATATATATATATATATATATATATATATATATTTCTTTCTATTTCATATAAGTTTTAATTAAGATTTATTCTGTTAACATGTCAATATTTTTTTGCGTTTCTGTTTCTCTATCGCAATCTTCAGATTTTAGGAACCTTGCGTCTCTGAATATTGTTAATAATAATATATTGTATATCACAGCGTCGTCGTAACTACCAAATATGCATTCAAGGAATAAAGAAACGCAGGGTAAATTTTGAAGATTATACTAAGCAAGACGTCGAGTATAATGTTGAATATTTTGAAGTAAGAATAAAAATTAATCCCTACAGAACAAACTGCAAAATCAACGATTTGTATCTGGTATCTAGTAAGTGATTTAGGAGTAAATGAGGGGAATTGAAAGAGAACTCTGTAAATCGGAATGGACTGATTGTGGGAGCTGACTAGTCAATACCGTGTATGTCCCTCATTCGCTCTCTCCATAACCCTAATTATCCTAGGCATGGAGTTCATGAGTGAGTTTATCCTCCTCATTGGGATGTTGGCCTATTCTTCCAAAAAGGCTTCTCTCAATTGGCCCTGAGTAACAGTAACAGGGGAGACAGATCCTTGCTACATTGGGTCGAACATTATCCTGCTGGAATATGAGGTTTTTTTTTTTTTTTTTTTTTGCAATAATGGGACAACATGGGGTCTCACTTCTATACCTAGCGGTTACCCGCTACCATAGGTTGTGGTTATTTAACTCCATGTGAGATTCCTCTTCACGCTATAACCGATCCACCCCCAAACATATCCGTCTCTGCTACGCAGCAGTTGGCAAAACGTTCTCCACGACATCGGTATACATGACGTCGACCGTCTCCTCGAAAGGAGTCGAAACGGGACTCATCAGTAAACAAGACCCGCCTCCGCTGCCTCAATGGGGATATTATGGGGCATGTGCCGCCATCCAAGTCATACAACCTTGGCGACGAGCAGCGGTAAGGGGCAGACCTACAACCGGGTGACGTGCCAACAGACCAACTTTTCGCAATCGTTTCCTTACAGTTTTGCTGAATAGCACGGTTATGAGTACCTATGTTATTAAGGGCAGATTCAGTGGCAGTAAGGTGCCGATTGCGCAAGTCCGTGAGACGTATAAACCTGTTATGATGTCACGCGTGATTGTCAGCAACTCGCCCAGTTTCCCTTAGACGTCTAACAAGACATTCTATTGTGCAAATATGGCAACCTGTATTTGCATTTGACCTTGCATAATCACCGCAATGGCCTAACCCTTCTGAACTTCTGTCAGCCGTGTCATTGTTTAATGCCATGAGAAATTAATCGAAAAATGATGTGTTTCTATGAAGACTAACTAATAGCATTACGAGCAGTGTACCTCAATGTTGCAACACTGCCGTGCACAAGATTGTCCCGTTTCGTGCATTCCTCGGAATACATTGTCACGCAGTACCATAATGTAACATTCGGTAACCAAGAGTTTCTTGATATATTCGCATTGGTTTTGAACAACGCGTTCGCAAGATATTGCATATAATATCATCCTGCCTTTCTTTATCCCTTAAGTACATATTTATATATATCAAGAGTAAATAGGTTTTATATAATGTAACCATATAAATGATCAACATTCACGAATAAACGAAGTGAGGTCTATTCATGTGTAGTGCCCGATTAGAACTTCCCGTTGCAATCACACTTAACATGTAGGAGACGTGTGCCACGTTTGAATTCATTCATTTTTTTTTCGACAACCTGCATCTTTTGAAACCCTGTGTTACGCGTTTGTCCGTCAGTTGACGATTTGCACGAAAATCATGATAAAGGAAACAGGCCCTTGAATATCAAATATATTGCGACATGTAAACACCATAGGTTGGGAATGTAGGGACGATTTTCGCACTTCCTATTGCAATGAAATGATCGACTATTATGCAATCATTACTAGAAGAGAATTTGCTGTTAATGAAGCAGTGGACCCTTCCGGAACACCTGGTCAAAGTTGTACTATAAATAAAAATCAAATAAATGGAACGTCAACACAGACACAAGGTAAGTTATAATCAACCACAACTAATACTTCACAAAGTTACTGAATGTGTAAAATATTTTTTTTCATTCTCATTATAACAATAGTTTCAATTGTACAATTATTGACTTCAATTAAAGTAATCTCATCATTAATTGTGTTAGAAATGTAGTCGGTCGAACAACGTAATGTAAAATTTTAACTGTGAAAATATGTTTATTTGATATTTGTCAATATAAAAATCAACACAGAAATGACAACGTGACGCAGCTAAAGCTAAAACATACTTAGTGCTTTCATCCATTTATGCATGCTATCATTTCCGCCTCAAAATTGACACTGGGTACATTCAGTGTCACTTAAATGAAGTCTTACTCCCTCAGACATAACTATTATATTTTGACTATACTGGATAAGCGTCATTTTAAGCAGATAACTTTACTTCGGACAAGATTTGTCAGAGAAAAGAAGTAAACATTTATTGATGTTCGTCCATCCATCAAGTTCAGAAAGTGAAAATATCTCACCGCTTGAGTAAGTACAGCGTCTAAGTATATAAAATTTTATATAGGTATCCTTTAAATTGTAAATGTCGAGATTAGTGGGTATACTTTCATGATAATTTTGATATATCAAATGTATTTGTATATGATTAACCAAATTCTAACTTTGCTTGTAGGGCTTTTAAATGTAGGTTGGTAGTTTTAATGATTTACGTCTGAATTCACCTTTCTCATACATTTTTATCATTTTTATGGCCGCATCGATAGCATCACATGTGGAAATCGTCACTTGAAATGTATGTTTTATAACAGCCTTAAACTTAAAGACGTATGTTTTGAGGTCAAAAATTAGAGCATCAACAATGACAGTTTGGATGGTTTACCTGACGGCTACTGGGCTTGTTGTAGTATCTGGTTTCGCCGTAACTCAATACATCATCCAAAAAGATACACAATCAGACATTAGAAATCCATACACAATACACACACTCGGAATCAAAAGCAACCTGTATATGTGGTGTTTAGTATATATTTACCTGTAAACTGATTAAGTAGTCAATACACGTTTATCTCTCCAGACTAACCAACTGCGACACATTTAACTTCCTGCAGGGTTACAGAACACAGTCGGTCCGGATTGAGGAAACAGGGTAATATCAACGATAAAACATGTTTTTGGTTGGATCGACGGTTGTTTCATTCCAAACACTACAGCAGGCCAATGCCAATTACGAAAATACAGGCAGTTCCAGTACCTCACTAAATCTGGGGGCGGAGCTAAAATGTACCTTTCCGCTTCAGCTGGACTTCATTATACACACATCCGTTTATTGCAATCGACTTCAAATCAAGACCGAGAAAGAGTACAGCATGCATACCGGAAATAAAACTATAGCTACGAGCTCAGTTATTTGTTAGGATGTTGTTTTTTCTCATTGATATGAATGGCACATTAAACAAGAGGCATGCTCATTTTTACATTCAAAGGAAAGTAAGTGTGTTTTTCAGCTAAATGCAAACAACCATTTAATTTTCTGAAAAACCCGAAAACGTATGATGAAAGTTTGTAATTTGATATTAACTAAAACCAATTACATATCAATGAAAAACATTACTTGCAACTCTTAAACAGAAAAAAAAATCTTTAAAAATAGAATTATCAAAAATAATAAGAAAATACCAACATGCCAATGTTATCAAACTAGGGCAAATATGAACAAAAGTGCTTAACACGGAGATACTGTAAAAAATATACAAGGAAAATCAGACCAGGTGTTCCCGAAGAGCAGGCGTCTTCTGCTTCATCGACGACAGTCGCTGTGTAATTCCTGGTCAACGAAAGCAAGAAATAGCACGTTCTCAAACGAGAACAAGGTATACAACAACGAAACCAACAGGCAAACTAATGACCAAAGAAATATAATATTTCTAAATGAGATCACTGGGACGATTTCAATTCTCACCAACATTCAACATTTGAAACCGTGCGTTACGAGTTTGTCCGTCATTTGAGGATATCTTGAGCGATGCATTGATAATAACAAAATAACGACCAACATTGACTATGTAAGTGTTTATACAATCATAGATATTTGAATTAACAATGATATGTATTAGTGTTACAAATCAGGAATCGATATACCAAATAATAAACCATCACGACAGTGATATCTCGATATGAGGCACTGGTACGGCCATAGTTCCAATTACGACAGACATAGTGTACTGTTTTCTTGTGCTACTCAAACATTGTCTTGTTACCCACACTCAAAGGTTTATCTAGGTATGTATATCCCTTCATTTTAAGGAATCACAGCAGTATTTCTTTTTTATTTACATGCATAAACATCTAAGGAACAGTTTTTGTGTTATCAAAAGTTTACTTGCAAAGAAGGGGAAGTAGTTGTACAAGATTTTAAGAAAATTATGGATATTGAATCCAATATGATTTTATTTCAAACAAGTTTAATGAAAAGAGAAAGTTTTATTTTTATTCGTTATTTACAATCTTTACAGATGTTCTATCTATATCATTTTTGGAGGAATTTTGGCTTCTCTATGTTATAGTGTTGTATGTTATCTATGGACTTCACTGTGACTTTATATTGCTATCAGCGAGTAAGTGGCGCCATTTCATCAGTATCTGCTCACGTCATAATTTGATACATTACATGTGTTAAAAATACAAAGAGACAGGATCATTCTTGATTTTCATATTAAATGTGATTTGTCAAATAATGTATGACATATGAGAGACTTTGACAAGCAAAGTTTTACATATGAAATGGAAACCACAGCCAGGTCCTTTTTATCATATGATCAATAATTTTCACTAATACAGCAGAAAACTAACTTTCCCATATCAGATCGACGTCGTTTCCTTGCCATATCAGTGGTCTCCATTGTGACGTCACAACATAAAATGTGAATTTGGACGTCATTTCATTATCTAATTGTGACATCACAATAGGCTGTTTTACATTAGACATTATGCTAAAACATAACACATATATGCATTGTACAGCACAGCAATTTTGTGATAAATAATAAGTTGTATACGATCCATTTAATATGTGACTCCATGAAACGAGTAAAAAAAAAATCTTTACATTGAGCCTTTGGCGAGCTGCGATTTTTTTTAAAAATTATTGTCTGTTATATATCGTGCACACCTCATATTTTTGTCGGCAGATTAAACATTCTAATATTTCAAAACACCGTGTTCTACCAATGAACTGATAAGGTATAGGAATGCGACAAATATGTTCAGATCACTATGGTATCGCTTAACTACTGAATACACATACATATCCATGAATTTTAATTCCAATTTTTTTTATGAACGTATAAATACATATAGTAGACTACGTTAAATACACCATACATTTACAAATGCCATATAATCCTACTATTTACACGTAACATATTTGTAACCGACACTAAATGATACGTGTACTATGCATAACGACATGTATAAACATATTGACTTTTTTGTTAAAACTCTCATCTCATCAACGCTACACGGCTTCCTCTCTTTATTACAACTACTTTGACGGTAAAAGTATCCCGCTTCTTAACCTGATATGTAAATAATACCGCTCGGAGACGTGTCCTTACATTTCTTCCAAGTCCGCCAGGTACAGCTTCACGTAAATAAATATGGATAAAAAAGCTATTTGATATACATATTATCTTTCTGCATGCAAATTTTCGTTTATGTAAATATATTATTTCTATTTCTACCACCAGTTTCCCGTTAAATTCTAAATTGAACACTCGTCTTGTTAAGCGTATGAATATACATTCATTCTATGTTGCATTTGTCTGTATATCAAATATGATCTTGTATACTAGAGTGATTTGGTCGGTGTTGGAATTAATAATTGAATATGTCTCCGAGGTAAACAAAACTGACCGCCGGTCACTTTCACTTCAGCATCAATATACAGTTTACTAATCTATAGGAAGTTGTTATACTTTCACAAAAATATAAGTAGGTTTTACAAAGTTATCAAAATTATAACCGAACAAATTTATCGTCAAACTTGTAATTTTGTCACAATATCATTATTTTCATCATAACACACTTGATTACCAACTTCTTCTGCTATAGTAGCTTAGATGTCAATCTGACAGTCCATATTACAAATGTAGAATCCGTTACAAACAAAATGTAGTCATCTACTCACAGGATTGATTTCCATTGACAATTTCCGTAATTATTCTATCCGGAAAATCGCATCAGCCCGCTTTATGACACAAAAAACGTAAATACTTCCCGAGAAAATACTAGACACATCGCCATAAGAGTTTCGTTAATTCTGACTGTGAACCACGTCACTTTTTAATGAAATATCCATTCGAAATAAACTCCTTTCCATCAAACGAACGAAAAAATGCGACATTCTGACATCATTAATCAAGTAAAATTTGTGACTACACTATTTCATACCATTGCTTTTTATGATGACACACACACACACCCTCACACACACACACACACACACACACACACACACACACACACACACACACACACACACACACACACACTCACACACACACACAATACATACATACATGTATTGAGGTATTAATTTATGTAGCATACTAACGATATTGATTAATCACAGATAACAGACCGAGGATGTTCAATACAGGTTTACCGTGTAATCACATATAACAGACCGAGGATGTTCAATACAGGTCTACCGTGTAATCACATATAACAGACCGAGGATGATCAATACAGGTTTACCGTGTAATCACAGATAACAGACCGAGGATAATCAATACAGGTTTACCATGTAATCACAGATAACAGACCGAGGATGATCAATACAGGTTTAACATGTAATCACATATAACAGACCGAGAATGATCAATACAGGTTTACCATGTAATCACAGATAACAGACCGAGGATGATCAATACATGTTTACCATGTAATCACAGATAACAGACCGAGGATGATCAATACAGGTTTACCATGTAATCACAGATAACAGACCGAGGATGATCAATACAGGTTTACCATGTAATCACAGATAACAGACCGAGGATGGAAGTCCAGAAGCTGACTACAGCATATCTGTAACAGGACCAGCTGTTTTATTCCTCAAGCAAATAGTAATCCTGAAAATTATAATTATATATGAATTAATACGGTGACATAAAGAAAACGATTTATGATGGCGATAACGCTCAAAATATATTCAACAATCGTCAGTTTGAAAACAGTAAGTATGCTAGTAAGAATCAAACACTGCCGACTGTCACAATGTCGTTATATTATTTCACTTAACATCGACTCTGACACCACCGTCAAAAAGAATTAATCACCGCCTTATTTATCAGGATGTAGCGCCGACTGTGATAGTACTGTCATTTATCAGGATGTACCGCCGACTGTGATAGTACCGTCATTTATCAGGATGTAACGCCGACTAACAGTGCCGTCATTTATCAGAATGTACTGCCGACTGTGACAGTACCGTCATTTATCAGGATGTACCGCCGACTGTGACAGTACTGTCATTTATCAGGATGTACCGCCGACTGTGACAGTACCGTCATTTATCAGGATGTACTGCCGACTGTGACAGTGCCGTCATTTATCAGGATGTCCTGCCGACTGTGACAGTGCCGTCATTTATCAGGATGTACTGCCGACTGTAACAGTACTGTCATTTATCAGGATGTACTGCCGACTGTGACAGTACTGTCATTTATCAGGATGTACTGCCGACTGTGACAGTACTGTCATTTATCAGGATGTACTGCCGACTCTGACAGTGCCGTCATTTATCAGGATGTACTGCCGACTGTGACAGTGCCGTCATTTATCAGGATGTACCGCCGACTGTGACAGTACTGTCATTTATCAGGATGTACTGCCGACTCTGACAGTACTGTCATGTATTAGGATGTACTGCCGACTCTGACAGTGCCGTAATTTATCAGGATGTACTGCCGACTGTGACAGTGCCGTCATTTATCAGGATGTACTGCCGACTGTAACAGTAATGTCATTTATCAGGATGTACTGCCGACTGTAACAGTACTGTCATTTATCAGGATGTACTGCCGACTCTGACAGTGCTGTCATTTATCAGGATGTACTGCCGACTGCAACAGTACTGTCATTTATCAGGATGTACCGCCGACTGTGACAGTGCCGTCATTTATCAGGATGTACTGCCGACTGTAACAGTACTGTCATTTATCAGGATGTACTGCCGACTGTGACAGTACTGTCATTTATCAGGATGTACTGCCGACTGTAACAGTACTGTCATTTATCAGGATGTACTGCCGACTCTGACAGTACTGTCATTTATCAGGATGTACCGCCGACTGTGACAGTACCGTCATTTATCAGGATGTACTGCCGACTCTGACAGTACTGTCATTTATCAGGATGTACCGCCGACTGTGACAGTGCCGTCATGTATCAGGATGTACCGCCGACTGTGATGGTGCCGATATTTAACATGAAGTACCGTCGACTTTGACAGTACCGTCATTTAAAATAACGTACCGCTGTCTGTTGTAGTACCGTCATTTAGAATAAAATACCGCTGTCTGTTGTAGTTCCGTCATTTAGAACAAACTATCGCTGTCTGTTGTAGTACCGTCATTTAGAACAAAACACGGCTGTCTGTTGTAGTACCGTCATTTAGAACAAAACACGGCTGTCTGTTGTAGTACCGTCTTTTAGAATCTGATACCGCCGACTGTGATATGTACAATTCATTAGCTCATTTTTAATCTACTCCGATTAATATAGATCTTGCAATATTTCAATTCTACTTCATCAATCAACATTTTGTGATTACAATAACATAAATAAATGACTAAGACGGATAAAGGACATACTCCTAACTGGTACATACCTGCGACACATGCAGTAAGGTAACTAGCTATTGTACCAGCTATTAACCCTTTCATGGCTATCTTCGATATTTCATCAAGTCGTCTCGGGGCAAGGGCCGCAAACGATCCCAGGGAGATACCAATTGACGGCATGCTAGCGAACCCACACATAGCATAGGTAGTGATCAGCTCGGAACGGTCCTGGAATAGTCAGTTTTTGATAAGTAGGAAAGGTCGAGATTGGTGTATATGTTGAAGTACTTACTTACATACAAGTCCAGTTGTTAATCACCGTACGTTTCCAATTCTCTAGTAAAGTCAATATTCTGATGATAATGACAGACAATAACCATTGAATGAATCATGTTTTTAACACTACATCAGATATCATTTGAAAACTTATCATTTAGTACGAAGATCAAAATCAAAACGCGGTGAAGTTTGGAATATGAAATAGCTTCCTGATAGTTTAAAAGCCAAATGCAATTTTGGTAAAAGCGTGATCTTGCAATATTTTGCTGCATGGATCAAGTATTTATAAAACCTGCCTCCCCTAACTTAATTTTTATCGTTTTGAAATATATGAAATCTTAATAACATTTATTTATATAAACTGTACACAAACTAGTAATTTCAGTGTTGTAGTTAAATCGGTAATCCTACGATGAAGGGTCACCAGGTTTACCCACTCGACTTTCCAAGGCACTGTTACTATAAGACCTAGTCACAAATACAGTTATATGCAGAAACACTTTTTATATAATTACAATACATTTGCGGTTTTACCAAAACCATAAAACAAAAAGAAATGATTCTTAATAAGTCGTGAAATGGATTATTCTTTTCTCCATTTATTCTGTTTTTCCTCGGAAAACGCAAAAATCAGAACCCTTAGAAAATAACAAACTGGATAGCATGAGAGGAAAATAAGGAAAACACAAATTTGCCATTCTTTTTGTTTTTGTTTTGTTTTAAACTTTATTTTATTTTGGCAGTGGCATTTCATTCAAAGCATGTTATACAAAAAGGATTCAGAAAGAAATTATAAACTTATGTTTTTGTTTTAACATTACCGTTAGAATTCCATTTTCTAATGTTGCGTTCCAGTTCGGAAGGAAAATATCGCCACTAGATGTCGTCACTGTGTTGTTATAAAGAGCTGTGTACTGGTTGTATTGCTCTTTGTTTGAGAAATACTTCCCCATTTGTATGTAGCTTAGGGCCACGGTTGCAAACATGCGAACACCCAACATTTCGGCAACTTTCAGACAATCTACAGCATCGATTCCCATGATGAATGCCAGTGGCCAAAGGACATACGAAAATATTTTCTGAAATAAAATGATCAGTATTTGACTTTAAAGCATATACTTGATGCCAGTTATAAATGACGAGTTAACGTTAAAACGAATTATCTGCCCAAACTATTAAAAATGCTCATGTCACCAGCAGTTCAATATCGGACATCTCAAATGCATGTTTGTCGTAAACTTAATACTATAACCAGCCATGGCACATTCCACCATTAAATTATGCAGTATGTGAAGTATGAAGAAGTCAAAACAAATAGTATCATGGAATTATTAAAAAATATAATCTCCTGTTGCATTTTCGTAATCATTGCTGTTAATTTGGATTTTAAGTAAAAAAAAAGATTTGAAAAAGTCATTACAAACGTGAGCACCAATTTAGAACAAAAAAGGACATTGCAATCTTGTCGCATTAGCGTTTTATACCCACCTCGAGCGTAAGCTCCTCCATCCCTGCTCTATTCCCAAACCACGTGACAGCTGCGTTGACGAAGGCGAAGAGGGATATGTAAATGAGAAGGTTGATGAGAACGTTTACCATGAGCTGTAGTCCCTGCATTCCACCTTTTGATAAGGCTTCCACTAAACTTTTGACACCACTAAAACGAACAATAGGCCTAGTGGTATGGATTGAAGTTAACGCATTCCTATGTGAAACATTAGGCTACAATATTGATTAACCAGAACTGATACTGCAGAAACATACTTTCTGAAAATAGTGACGAGTACCAAATTTCAAGGAAATTTTCACACAAACTGTTATATAAAAAATTAATCTTATCGATGAAATGACGACTCTTGGTGATAACCTGCTTTCAGGTGTAGATGCTAAATATATTGTAATCTTAAGTAAAACTTGAGTCTTAATATCAAGCTGGGTGATACATAGCACTTCAATCAAAAGCACTAAGCAATATGTTTCTTTTAAGATCTGCAAACTGTTTAAGCAATATGGCTGGTATATGGAAACCGTTTTAATTTTTCTAGATCATATTCGAGATGGAGAAATAACCTACTTAATTAGGTATTTGCCCAAAATGATTCACAAAATCTAACAAATGCATTCATCTTTAACACAGACTGCAATCACAAAAAAAAAAAAGCTTTCTATCAATGATACAAGCCTGCTCTCTATCTCACTTATGTACCTCCGTGTTCCAATAAGATATTTTTTATCTTCGTCTTTGCGTTCTTCAGATGGATACACCAGTTTAGACGTTACCAGGGCGGCTGGAGCAGACATAACTGAGGCTGTTAGTAGGTATTCTACAGGTACCTGGAATATTTATGATATGACACTTTTCATCCTGATGAAAATAAAACCCTTTTTTTTTTTTTGCAAATATCGAAATTTAATGTATGCTTTATTTATCACGTTACAGTGGTGTAGGATAGTTAGAGTTTTTATCCAGCAAACGTTGACTCATTGTTGTTTAATAAAATGGGTTAACGCAGGGTTTCATACATTCAGGTTGATGAAAATTACAGGGCAGTTTAACGGACGTCATACTGAACTCATTGAGGAATAGTCTATTTCTTTTTGTGATATGAAGCTGGATGTGCTTGATGCTCGTTAGACTGCATGTTGGTTCGGTTTGTACATTGTTCTTATTTGAAGAACGTAACATTACTTACTTGAATTGACCACAGTTTACATGACTTACTCTTCCGGAACACCTGGTCTTATTCTCCTTACACTTGTATCTTTTCAGGCTTCTCCGTGTAAATCTTTCTTTTGTTCATATTTTGAATTGTTTTATTAAATCTGAGTTTGAATTACAGTTATGTTGACAAAACTTGGTATTTTCTTGCTGTGTTATAGTCATGATCATAGCATTTCCTGGAAAGGTATAGACTCCGACGTGTTTGTTGCTCAACAGAACAAAATGTAGTTTCGCTATCACTATATAAGTTGTCTTATGATACCAACTTGATTACAATTCTTAAGCATACTTGTTATCTTTCTCCTCCAATATGTGTTTTTTAAAAAAACAATAATACTACAAAATGGGACATATAAAGAATATAGTACAGAGTTAATTGAAAATAATTCAATAGGAATATTTAAAGAGCATAAGACATGTAATAAAAATCAAAATCAAAAGTCTTATTCTTTTGGCAACTTACCCCAAAACTAGAAAATACAACGAGAGCGGATCCCGCAATGGATGAAACACCGTTCGTGTAGATGCAAAAAAGTTCGGATGTAGTGAGTGAGTCTATGTATTCATTGATGATCATCAAGGACTCGATCTACGTTGGAAGTGATAATTAGGTATTGGTAGAATATGAAACTTTATCAAATAATATAAGGCAGTAAAAATGACAATCTGTTTTAACGAGATACTGAATATGAATACATATATGCCTTTTGTCACAAGTTAATTGAATATAATGTTTGAATTAATGGTTTATATAGAAAAAAACTTACACCACTCATGAATATATTCGTGGCAGCGTTGATTGATTCCACAGGATTTGTTTGTAGACAGTAACCAAGGAAACCGCCAATTGTTGAGACGATGAAGGCCAGGACGCCGAGATAGGACAAAACAGAAATGGCGGCACAGAACACGATCACAGAAGGTACAACCTATAATAAAACACCATTTGAAAAATGAGATTTTAGAGAGAAAATAAGATACGAAAATGAAACGTGATTATAAAAGTGATGTTTTCACTTGATTTTACAAATCGGATCACATCTTATTACACTCTGGTAGATATATTGAAAACATAACCCAAGGGAGGCAACTCGTTTTACTGTTAGGTTGTCTTGTGTAAGACACTTTGTACTGAATTATTAGGGTGTAACGCGTGTTGTATTTAGTTATTACATTTTAAATCATTTAAAGACGCGTTTCCTAGATGTGATACAATTTTTTTTTAAATTAAGTAAATAGAATATTCCTTGTATCTTGGTGAATAAGAAAAATAAATGGAAACTTGGATATATTACATTCGTGTTTCACCTACTAGATGAAATAGAGTTGTTATTCGTCAAGAAATAAGGAAAATTCTCTATATTTTTCGAGACTTTTTTTAGCTGATACCTCGCTTATTTATCTATTGAAGGCTGCCTGTTTATTTTGCGTAATGTACAGAAAACTTAGAAAAAACATATTTCATCCACAACAGAGTTAAACTTTGTTTTAGAAATATAATTAACATGGTTAATTGTTTAGGGATATGATATAACATAGTTTACTCGTGTTCAGAAAATGTGATGCCAGTGATTTATCACTGATATGATGGGGATATGATGTAATAGAGTTTATTGGTGTTGAGGGGTATAATGTAACATGATATAGTCATGGTAAGGGATATGATGTAATAGAGTTTATTGGTGTTGAGGGGTATATTGTAACATGATATAGTCATGGTAAGGGATATGATGTAATAGAGTTTATTGGTGTTAAGGGGTATAATGTAACATGATATAGTCATGGTAAGGGATAGGATGTAATAGAGTTTATTGGTGTTAAGGGGTATAATGTAACATGATATAGTCATGGTAAGGGATATGATGTAATAGAGTTTATTGGCGTTAAGGGGTATAATGTAACATGATATAGTCATGGTAAGGGATATGATGTAATAGAGTTTAGTGGCGTTAAGGGGTATAATGTAACATGATATAGTCATGGTAAGGGATATGATGTAATAGAGTTTATTGGTGTTGAGGGGTATAATGTAACATGATATAGTCATGGTAAGGGATATGATGTAATAGAGTTTAGTGGCGTTAAGGGCTATAATGTAACATGATATAGTCATGGTAAGGGATATGATGTAATAGAGTTTATTGGTGTTAAGGGGTATAATGTAACATGATATAGTCATGGTAAGGGATATGATGTAATAGAGTTTAGTGGCGTTTAGGGGTATAATGTAACATGATATAGTCATGGTAAGGGATATGATGTTATAGAGTTTAGTGGCGTTAAGGGGTATAATGTAACATGATATAGTCATGGTACGGGATATGATGTAATAGAGTTTAGTGGCGTTTAGGGGTATAATGTAACATGATATAGTCATGGTAAGGGATATGATGTAATAGAGTTTATTGGCGTTTAGGGGTATAATGTAACATGATATAGGCATGGTAAGGGATATGATGTAATAGAGTTTATTGTGTTAAGGGGTATAATGTAACATGATATAGTCATGGTAAGGGATATGATGTAATAGAGTTTAGTGGCGTTAAGGGGTATAATGTGACATGATATAGTCATGGTAAGGGATATGATGTAACAGGGTTTATTCTTGTTCAGGGATATCCATGTAAGGTATCGATCCTTCTAATGGTATTCGTTTGTTATTTGAAATACTTAAAGATGCATTTGATGTATACTTTGCTAGAACCTGGATTAATGGAGAAATTACGTTTGTGTGTATATGGTGTGACTTTGCATTTATATCGGGAATATCTTACATGAATTATGTCATAAGGTGCTATTAGTTTAATATTTTTTTTTTACAACGGATCTTTTTCTCCTTGCGCTTTTGAGGAACCTCCGTGTAAATTGTTATTTTTTTTATTCTACACATTCTACCGCTGAAGCATAGCAGTACACTTATCAGTACACGAAAACATTAAACAAAAACAACATATTCAGTAAAGTAAATTTGAAAACAAAATGAATAGACTATTTGATGTTAAATAACTTAAATCTTCCCATTTCTCCTTCGAATGTATTCTTGATATCATTACCTTCGCCTATTTCACTCATAACGAACATTTTAACATAACTTCAATCTAAAGGTTGTTTACCTCTAAAGTAATGAATTTGTTTTTAAAAATTCAATGTCATTTAATATGTTATTCCACTTTTATTAAAAATTTAGCGCACGTGCTCGATATTGTTATGTTCATAACAATATGATTCACACCAAAAAATGAATTAAAAAATGAATCGCCATATTTCATGAAGTTTCTTTTTCACAACTCACCTTAAATATGATGTCAAATTCTTTGTACCTTTCACTGAAAATAAATGCTGAGCCTTTATCTGAGAAAGCAATGAATTCCATGAATCTATTCGTGACCCAGCGTACAGCACCGATACCCCACTCTGTCCGCAGGATGACCAGGGCAAAACCGAACTGGAGGCAAAGTCCCCAAAACACAGTGTGCCATTTGATCTATAACAGTGTAAACAATATTTTTGTAACAAGCTCATATTGTTGTTAGTCTTTGTGGTTGTATTATTTTGAATACAAGTACCACACGTGGTTAGGTTCTGTACATTGATTAAATACTTAAGTTTAATGTGAATAAATCCCAAAATATTAATGTGAACAAGTCCCAAAGATTTAATGTGAATAAATCCCAAAATATCAATGTGAATAAGTCCCAAAGATTCAATGTGAACAAGTCCCAAAGATTTAATGTGAATAAATCCCAAAATATTAATGTGAACAAGTCCCAAAGATTTAATGGGAACAAGTCCCAAAACTTTAATGTGAAGAAGTCCCAAAGATTCAATGTGAACTATTGTTCATGGCATATTATAGAGTATTCGTACAGTTTTTCCACTGTCCTAAGTACATGTCTGACATGAGGGGAAGTCATCCTGGGGTTAAACTTATTTCATCCGTACCTAGAGGGTGGTATCTTATTTCATCTGTACCTAGAGGGTGGTATCTTATTTCATCTGTACCTAGAGGGTGGTATCTTATTTCATCTGTACCTAGAGGGTGGTATCTTATTTCATCTGTACCTAGAGGGTGGTATCTTATTTCATCTGTACCTAGAGGGTGGTATCTTATTTCATCTGTACCTAGAGGGTGGTATCTTATTCCATCTGTACCTAGAGGGTGGTATCTTATTTCATCTGTACCTAGAGGGTGGTATCTTTTGTACCTAGAGGGTGGTATCTTATTTCATCTGTACCTAGAGGGTGGTATCTTATTTCATCTGTACCTAGAGGGTGGTATCTTATTTCATCTGTACCTAGAGGGTGGTATCTTATTTCATCTGTACCTAGAGGGTGGTATCTTATTTCATCTGTACCTAGAGGATGGTATCTTATTTCATCTGTACCTAGAGGGTGGTATCTTATTTCATCTGTACCTAGAGGGTGGTATCTTATTTCATCTGTACCTAGAGGGTGGTATCTTATTTCATCTGTACCTAGAGGGTGGTATCTTATTTCATCTGTACCTAGAGGGTGGTATCTTATTTCATCTGTACCTAGAGGGTGGTATCTTATTTCATCTGTACCTAGAGGGTGGTATCTTATTTCATCTGTACCTAGAGGGTGGTATCTTATTTCATCTGTACCTAGAGGGTGGTATCTTATTTCATCTGTACCTAGAGGGTGGTATCGTATTTCATCTGTACCTAGAGGGTGGTATCGTATTTCATCTGTACCTAGAGGGTGGTATCTTATTTCATCTGTACCTAGAGGGTGGTATCTTATTTCATCTGTACCTAGAGGGTGGTATCTTATTTCATCTGTACCTAGAGGGTGGTATCTTATTTCATCTGTACCTAGAGGGTGGTATCTTATTTCATCTGTACCTAGAGGGTGGTATCTTATTTCATCTGTATCTAGAGGGTGGTATCTTATTTCATCTGTACCTAGAGTGTGGTATCTTATTTCATCTGTACCTAGAGGGTGGTATCTTATTTCATTTGTACCTAGAGGGTGGTACCTAATTTCATTTGTACCTAGAGGGTGGTACCTTATTTCATTTGTACCTAGAGGGTGGTATCTTATTTCAGTACAGTTAAATTATGGTCAGTTTAATTTTATTATCTATCAATTTCCTTTAAGTTATGTAATAAAACATCAACATAAATTTTAATGATATTTGTTTACCCGTTCTTTAAATCTGCTCAAAGTTCTGAAAAAATGAATATACCCACACAAACACAAGCATACGTGTGATACATCATGATGTACATTCCCTCAGCAATGAACTATTGATTGACTTACATTCGTCTTATTGTTGGACATGAGGAATAAGATGAAGATGAAGACGAAGATCCCGCCGAGAGAGATGAGGTTTCGTGGGCTCGTTTGTATAACCGTGAGTCCGATGTACACGGCAATGAGCACCAGCACAATAAAGTACATCATCCTAGTTTAAAAAATAAATATTTAATTACTATTAAATCTTTATATTTTCGTGGGGCTTAATTTCCGTGGCTTTAAAAAAAACTAAATTTATTTCGTGAAAACTTAATTTCGTGGGTATATATAGTTTAATTAGTTTATGTAGGCTTGATAACAGTTCGTTGACATATAAATTCGTTAGTGAGTATCCACGAAAACAATGAAAATAAATCCCCGCCGAAATGAAATATTTTGAAGAGGATAATTAAGCAGTGTCAGAATTACAAACATTGGTATATATAAATGTATAATGTGGAACTTTATACGTCCAACCATTAGCAACTTTAGTTTTGGCCTGCAAAATATATCCGATCCATACATTGCACACTTAGCATCAATTAGTATAGAGGTAGCAGTACACAGTTTCTCGGTGTGGCCATGGGTGATTTTTTGTGCTCATTAGATTACCCCATTATAAAGGTTTTAAATAAAAATGAAAAAAAAAACCTTGCTAAAATTGGTCCTGTCATGTTTAAGTGGACAATGTGGGGTTTTATTTTTTTTTCAGTTTAATACTTTAGCTTTGTGTTGGAGATTACTATTTGGGCAGTCTCGAATCTGTGTCTACGCACCAAGAACTAGCTTTACAGGAAGTGAAATTTTCATAGTGTTTACATGTGGTCATGTTATGAAGAATTTCCGAGTTGGAATTTGCTGAAATGCAAGTACTTTGTTACCATTACAGTGTTGTTGATTGTAAGATAGGTGTTTAGAATTAAGTTTCTTCTAAAAAGTTGTAGTGTTAGGTTGGAATTAGCAGTATTTTTGCATTTTTAGCATTTTTTCAGTAGGTAACCATGACAATCAAATGTCATAAATCAGAGGAAAATTTTTTTACACAAATTTCTTCTCTCTACTGTTAATGCAATTGTTATGTAGTTTATAAATATATATACATGTAATGATGTATTTTTCATAACCAATCTGCTATACCTGTATATCTCAAACATGACAAATAATTTCAGGAAAAATGCAAATTTGGCGAGGGATGTCCTAAGTGTATGTGTATATATTTTACATATTTGATTTTATTGATATCAAAAGAAATATTTTTCATTCAATCACCTCTTGTCTTTTCCGTTTGCGGTTTAAGTTGGCCTTGCAAATTGCCTTTGATTTTTTTTAAACAATTGATAATCAGACTGTTTTATAAATGGGGCGTGCCCGGTAAAATGGATGATAATTAATCACATGTCTACCTGTTTATGATTAATGACTGGTAATGTATTTGTCTTTGTTCAAACAGCGACGACTAGCCTTGTGTAATCTGTGGATATTATTATAATTTTACGGGAAAGGAATTAGATTAAAAAGTTCAAAACTGTATTGTAAATCACATTTTCTTTCTTCAGTATTTCTGATGTCATGCTTGATTAAGACTCTTGTCAACAGTGACATAATGGGAGAGTAGACGCGAACAATTCATGTGACAAAAAATATCATTTATTCATACTTCATAGAATAATTACCATTTCGTGTAAACAATTATACAGTCAATGTCAGAGTTAGATGGTAATGTGGTAAAATGTGCAAAAAATATCAAATGTATGCTATCACAAAGGTGTGACAAAGCTTAGCGTACAAACGTTTGTTTGTATGTTTGCTGAAATTATAGCTCGTTAATAGCCAGGGTTTAATAAAAGGGCGTCTTCCTTGTAGTAGTTGGTGTCTGCTTCACTGAACAACATACGGGAGGTCCGTTTCATGCCATCCAGAATACGTAAGTGTCTTGAGTTAAGCGTTCGCCCCTGTGATGAAGGCTTTAGTCTCTGTACTGGTGTCGAGAACTTCCAGAACCTGCTCAACGTTCAGCATTGTGGTAGTGTAACGACTGATTTTCCCGTTGTCAGCAGAATGTGACTAGGTTGTGTGTCCTGATGGTTGCCTTTAGCAGTATACTTCAGTATGGTAGCACTATAAAACCGGTTTCAATTCCGCAACATTATAAGGACGCTAACACGGTCATACCACAGTCTCCCCCAAACACACGATCTCAACACGCACTCACCTCCCATGCACCGGGAGGCCGTCCTTAAATAACCCAAAGTGTTGAAATGACGTAAACAATTTAAACAAACTTTCCCAAGACAAAACCACGTTAGCAAAGACCAGTTCGTTTCCGAGAAACTCAAAATGTCTCGGAAAGAGAGTGACGAACATTGCCCATCTGATCTTAACCCGAGGTTACGTCAACACCTGATCTATTGCAACCCAGGAAATGTAAGAGTAACGTTTAAGATAATGAATCAAGTCATAAAACAGGAAAATATTTCTTTTACTGTTCGTAGGGAAGATAAGACGATCATGCAAAGGTATGATGTAAGAACGACAGAACGTAAGGACGCATTAATAGTGACTAGAAACACATTCTTCAGTCATAGCAACATGACTTGTTTGGCAATATCTAACATAGATGAAATTATAATGTTTCATGTAGTGATAACGATGAAAAATACTTACCATCGTACTATTTTCTTTGCTTTAGTAATATTTTCAGGGTTCTTCGGTCCAAGAGATTTTCTAAATGACTGGTACACAGACAATGTCGTGATAATCCTCCAACCGAGGTACATCAGTAGTAATATTGTACATATCAGAAGTCTCCAGGAACCCTCGTCTCCAAACCGAAAACTAAGAGAGTACACGGCATACGCCAGATACAACAGCAGTAAGACGCTGTATATAATTCTCTTAACTGTCTTTTTGTGCTTTAAAACACTGCCATGAATCCCATGAAACAATTTGTCGATGAAGAAAGTCTTTTCGCCTCCACCTACATTACAAGATTGTGGACCCGATTCTGCTGTTTCTACTATTGGTGGATTTTCCACATCAATATGAGAGTTGACGGAAGAAATCCGTTTTCCATCACTGTCGAGTTTATTTAACGAAATCAAAGCAACAGTTATACCATTTTCAACACGTTGTCTTGAGGCACTCTGGTCGACATCCATTGTTTTCTCGACAGAAAGACGATCACGATGACGTCAGAACAGCGAGGAAACTTAGAAAAACAGAAACAATGTGAGAGTATAATAAAACAAGCAAGTCACCGGGACCCAACATTAAAGTGAAACTACCTGATACGCACAAGGAAACCATTTCAGTGACCCTGCCCTGAACCCTCTAGCCCAAATAAAGAATGGATTGCATGGATGACCTCTTACAACTATCAATGAATGTCGAATGTGCTTTTATTTGGAAATGAAGTTTCCGAACAACATTTTATTTGACAAAACTAATAATATATAAAAATAACTAAAATGGCAAAAATTAATTTTTTGTCAAAAGTAGGTAAAATGTAAAAGTTAATATTGTGTCAAAAATAGGTGTTCATAGTTACCTACAACGCTGAGGTTTTAAATCCACGTACTTGACGACAGGCAATATATCTAATGGTTGTAAAAGTCGGAGAATTATATAACGAGCAGATGTGTAATGTAGAAAATATAAAGGACCAGACTGTATTAAGCCCTCCAGCACTGTGTATTACAAAACATTGCTTTTTCAAATGTCAGAAGAGGCAGCCGACGTCATGAAACACTTTCACTCAAAAAACCACATTTATCATCGTCCTTTTTTTTTAGGTGTAAAGTCACGCTAGTTCATCTAAGAGCTCCGTCTATCATTCTGTGTCACGTGCATTATTTTCCTGTTGTATGCAATAAAACTGACATTGAGAAGAAACACGAAAGTAAACGATGCGTGGTAAGCAAACTTTAAATAATCATATTCGTTCATCAAGGTTACAAATATGTCAAATATGAAGTAAGCTGTCAGCATAATTACAACTTTAATACATCTGTTGCTTCATGTCAAAACCAGTGTTGTTTTTTCTCCATCAAAACAACAAGAAAATACATGTCAACATTATTATACCGAACTCAAACAAAATGAAACTAAATCAAAATGTATACAAAAATAAGATTTACACGGGAACACCTAAAATGTACAAACCTTGGTTAATCCAATTAAGTAATGTCACGTTCTAAAAAGAGAACAAGGTCTACAACAGGCTACCAAACAGGCAAACTAACGGGCATCTAACACATCAAGCCTTAGAAGAAATTGAAAATTTCTCGATGAGATCACACAATGAATGTAAAACGTTCCATCATTTTCATCAACTTGCATTTTTCTTCATTTTTGTTTTGTTTTTAAACCCTGTGTTACGAGTTTGTCTGTCAGTTAACGACTTCCTGCACGAAAATTCGTGATATTGGGAATGGGCCTTTGAATATCGAAAACTTTGCAGCATGTAAACACTATACCATGGAGATTTCAACCAGAAATGGAAAATTCACAAAAGGTAAACTAAAATCGTCACGCTTATCCTACAGCTTGGTGGAAAGCTGTTCACTTCGGGATCGAGATAAGCGGCTGATTTGGAAGAGAATGTTTTCTTGTGGGTATATACGATGGTCGTAGTCGATAGATATATTGCTATTTATAAACAGTTTACGTCATTGTTTGGCTTTACTCTATTTAACGTTAAATTTACAAAAAAAACTATCAAATCTGTGTTAAAGTAGTGGAATCAATTGTATGTGGATTTTAAAGAATCCAATGAACTTTTAACCAATCTTCAAAATCCCTTCTGAAAAAAATTTCCTCTGTAAGAAAATTTATTTTTCTACCCTGTGCATCTCCACACCCAATTCTAAACTGAAAGAACAACATCGTTCCCTTGTTATTTGAGCTTTTTTTCTCCAAGAAAGGTGAACTTGATTCAATGTCATTTCTTTTGCAAACTTTGTTGGGCTTCATTCCAGGATCTACCAGCCAAATATACTTCCGTGCCCTTAGATTGATCAAAAGAAATTGATAAAAGTTCTGACAAATTTACTGTCAAAGTCGGACTCGTCGGATCCCATCCCAGAGACCAAACAGCCTATATCAAGCTTCTTGGACGTTTGGTTATTCAGTAGAAGTTGTTTAAAAGTTATAACCGATTTGTCGTGGCTTTGAATATGGGTCAAGGTCATTTCTTTTCGCAAACTTTGTCATGATTTATGCTAGGAACCTGTCAGCCAAATATCATGCCACTAAGCCTTTTGTTTAATCAGGATAATTTTATTTCAGGTTTTTAAAAAAATTGAACCCTAACATTGAATAAGGGTCATGGTCATCTCTTTTCTAAAGCATTAAGAGGTTAAGAAAGGCCTGTATCACTTCCATAGCATTAAGAGATCTAGATGCCCTATATCACTCCTATAGCATTAAGAGGTCTAGAGGGCCTGTATCACTCTATAGCATTAAGAGTTTTAGAGGGCCTGTATCACTCTATAGCATTGAGAGGTCTAGCGGGCCTGTATCACTCTATTGCAATAAGAGGTTTAGAGGGCCTGTATCACTCTGTAGCATTAAGAGGTCTAAAGGGCCTGTATCACTCCTATAGCATTAAGAGGTCTAGAGGGCCTACATCACTACTATAGCATTAAGAGAGCTAGAGGGCCTGTATCACTCCTATAGCATTAAGAGGTCGAGAGGGCCTGTATCACTCTATAGCATTAAGAGGTCTAGAGGGCCTGTATCACTCCTTTAGCATTAAGAGGTCTAGAGGCCCTATATCACTCCTATATCATTAAGAGGTCTAGAGGGCCTGTATCACTCTATAGCATGAAGAGGTCTAGAGGGCCTGTATCACTCTATAGCATTAAGAGTTTTAGAGGACCTGTATCACTCCGGTAGCATTAAGAATTTTAGAGGGCCTTTATCACTCTATAGCATTAAGAGGTCTAGAGGGCCTGTATCGCTCTTTAGCATTAAGAGGTCTAGAGGGCCTGTATCACTCTATAGCATTAAGAGGTTTAGAGGGCCTGTATACCTCCTATAGCATTAAGAGGTCTAGAGGTCTAGAGGGCCTGTATCTCTCTATAGCATTAAGAGGTCTAGAGGGCCTGTATCATTCTTTAGCATTAAGAGGTCTAGAGGGCCTGTATCACTCTATAGCATTAAGAGGTCGAGAGGCCCTGTATCACTCCATAGCATAAAGAGGTCTAGAGGGCCTGTATCACTCTATAGCATTAAGAGGTCTAGAGGACCAGTCCATTCTTTATGTTTTATAGATGTTATAGATGTTGGTGTCTTGTAACCAGTTCAGCATTCGTTTGTTCATACTTTGTTTTATAGCTCTTATAGTGTTATTGTTGTTATAGATGTTGGTATCTTGTAACCAGTTCAGCATTCGTTTGTTCATACTTTGTTTTATAGCTCTTATAGTGTTATTGTTGTTATAGATGTTGGTCGATTACATCATTAAGATTTTTTTCTGGTTTTTTTCGTTCTTTTTCTTTTTTTTCCCAGTCATTTTTTCCCATTTTAACATTTGTGGTTCAAGATATAGCTGACAAAATATGATATCTACAGATGCATATCTACATTTTATATAGATTAATATTTGTCTTTTGTAGTCACAGATATTTCGGTATCAAAGGAATAGATAAAGTGTTTTGTTCAAAAGTCCAGACCTCTTGAAATATTTGTCCGTTTTAAATCGACATGGGTTGCTTCTTCCGGGTGGACATATAAAACATCGATATTTCATGTTTTCTAGTATTGTGCTTTAGTATATTATAGAAGTAGGTATGTGATCATACAAATGATGATGTTTTTATGTAAACTTATAAATAATTCATTGTTTATCACGTGCTGTTTACAATTGTAAGTTTTTCCAAGAAATATGTAAACTTTAAATGAATTGTAAATCACACACAGTAAACATTCCTTTCATTTTTATTTACTAACATCCGAGTTCGTGTCATCATATTTTGACATGTTTTATATGACAAATGGATTCCTTTTTTCATTTAAATTATTCAAGATATCAATCTCTTGTTTTATTTTCATTATATAATGTTCACTTTACACTGCACACGTGCAAAGAGCGAAATTTACACAACACTATGGGATTCCAGTTATCTTATAAAATCAATTTCCGAAATCATAGTTTGATTAGAACAATAGATAGTTTTGACTCTATAACTGCAGTGATCATTGACGTGTTTTTGATCATTCAGCATTGTGTTTCTCCAAAGCAAGAGTTCCCAACGTGACTAAAATAGCGAATTGTATTCTTTACAGGGAATTTTCCATTGAATTCGAACCACGAGCGCACGAAATGATGTAACGCCAATTTTGTTAGAAAGAGAAAAAATTGGTCAGTTTTTTTTTTTTTTTTTTTTTTAAAGAGACTCACTTTATTTATTCAAGAAAAAATACATCAAATGACACGTTTTGATAGCATTTTTGTGAGATTGTATATACCAAAATCAGTGAAGATGTCGTTTTTGAGCACTGACAGTCAGATATCATGTCTCTCAACGCGAGCTTTAACCAGACTTAAATTAGATTATGTTATATCTCATGCAAAAGCTTTTAAAGAAATTGTTGTTTTAACCGTATGCCATCTCCTATGATAAAATGCACTCAATCCTTTGAGTCTGTTCCAATCATGAGTAAGCATTGTAAGATTCAATAGTAATGAATACCATCAGAATTCCAAATCATAACTAGAAAAAGAAACATGCAAAAATAAATTTGTGTCTTCAACATTTTTTTTTTAATTTCACGTTTACTTAATAAATTATTACAGTGAATGTAAAATCTGTTAATAAATATAGGCAACGATCACAGAATGCAATCCACATAAGAAAGTTTACTAGAGTTGCCTCCCCTCAGCAGCTCTCGTATTTGGAAAAATATAAAAGACAGCTTTGGAAAATTACGAGGGAGAGAAAGAAGATGTATTTAAACTGACACTGTGTGTTTTCTCAGCATGTGTAGTTTGCCAGACATGCTCTGTACTACTTAACAAGATTGTTACCACATTCAAGTAATTTTCATATCATTTGTGTAAGTATCTTAATCGTTTAGTGACAACAAATTTGTAAAATATAAATGGTCTGTGGCGACTTGAAAATCATGCCTGGCGCACGAAGCTGTCGCAGATTCCAAAACAGTGAAATAGTGACAAGGGACCCCGCCGAGTTTTTGCGTTAGCACAGTATCAAACATTGATTTAAATGATGTTTTAGAATTTGCTAGTTAACTATTGAAATGTAAACATAATCTGTTTACCTCTTCGCCTGTAACTACTGTTACATGGTGGTGCGATGTCCTAATATAGGCTATCAATATTTTAGAAAACATTGTTGCCATAAGACACTTAATTTTCACAGTTTATGTTCAGAACTTTCAAAATTCAAAAATTAAAAACCTTAAGTGAAAGGCATTTTCATAAGGGTATGTATTTCGAGATCCTTGTGTCATGTCACATAACAATTTTACCAACTGCACGCACAGATAACCAGTTCAACTACAATGCATAAGGTAATTATACGTTGTACCATATATATTATCATTATGATAATTTTATTGACTAAGAAAAAAATGGATTTTGTTTTTTGATGGACCATGGTCAGATTGAAAATCATAACAAATTTGCAAAATGGTACTGATAATATTAGTTTAGATGTACATATGACCGGTAACCTTGTCTTTCTTCATGCCTCATTGAATGAATATCTATATATCTTATTGCAGCCTAAATCAGTGACAACATTCAGGAAACATGGATTTTAATGGAATACCAGTACCACAAAGTCATGGCTATCCAACCCCTCCACCAATGGGTGGTCCAGCAGATGTAATGGGACATGGAGATCCAATGATGGCTCCAGGCATGCTAGAGGAACACTATGCACCACCCCCACATGTAAAAGAAATATTACAACTTAATTTGATAATATTAATGATCAATTATTTAAAGTTAGACATACCTAGTTACAAAGTAGACTTGTGAAATAGTACAGTATTATACTTTCTGTCTAGTGTGTGCAATGTTTGTAGGGTCTCTGATAATTACTTCCTGCTTAATTGTCTTTAAGTTACAAAGTCCTACATTTTGTGGCTAATTTCACATATATCATCGTAGAAATAATGAATATCAACTTATCATTCTTCCTTAATTTCAAATTTCTGTATAACTGAATATAGTTGGATTTGCATGAAACAAGTATTTGTAGACTACTGCCATGTCTTATTTACATTATACACATAATACAATGTTTGTTGTAACTTTCCCCTCCTTCCTCCCTACATCAAAAACCAATTAATAATAAGACCTGCCATATTTCAGAAGGCTGATTTTTTTTTAATTAAATTTATTAGCACTCACCGAACACATTCATTTTCCAACTTGTTTTATCACTGAGTTTTTCAAAGTCATGCTTCAGATTTTAAAGTTTGAGGTCCCTAGCATCAATAAGTTCTTGAAACAAAAAACAACTATATTTCAAAACCAGTTGATCATTATTTGGTAGATATCGCATCTACATGTACCTGTATTCTGAATTTTTGTTAATAAGTGTTATTAACGCTTTAGCACATGCTTTAATGAAACCCCAAAAACTAAAAAAATTGTGCTGTAATAGAAGAAAAAGGTAAAGAAGAAAAATATCCTGCCCAACTGCAGATTGATCTACCACTTTTCACTTTCAAAACAGAAATGCTACCGCTTGACTTCAGGGAAATTCTCTTTAGCTGTGATTAATAAGGAGACCTGAATTCTCTTCTTCTACATATTCCATCCAACACAGGTGTTTGGGTCATGAATAGAGACCTATTGCTCTTAAAGCAATGAAAAAAGTGCTAAATCAAAATTCTGTGTAGCTAAGAGTTACGATGTCAAGTGACTTCACTGTCCAGCATGCAGTACTCTCAGTTTCTACCTTACAAATTAAAATATCTGGCATACCTGATAACTTGATAAAGTATTACCTTCGAAAGCCATATCTCGTACTATACTGTCAGAACTATGAAGATAAACTTGAATGATCACCATTAAGATTTATTTTGTGTGCATGAATTTGTTTCATAATTACTTTTATTCATTACCAGACAATTGAAATGTTTTAACTGATTCCCATAACCCTGATTTTTTTTATTACATAACATTTTAAACTGATAGTTAACATGTATATTCTAATATACAGGACAACAATATGTACCAGCAAGGACCCCAACACCATGACATTGGCCCCTACTCAGAACTTCATAGTATCCTGGTAGATGGAGGAGACAGGTTTGGAGTTTCCCACTTGTGTTTTGATACTCAGGATCTGCTGTGGATGGGAAATCAAGGAGTAAGGCTTTAGAAGATTAACCTTGTTGTTGGTATTTTTAGGAGTTTAAAGCAATTGCCGTTTTCAAGCTGACATAATACAATAAAAAGAATTCATGTTTACAAAAAAAGAACCATAAAACCAGGTAATACAGTTGCATAGGTAATGGTGGTCATTAGTCAAGGTTAAATACTGGTATTTGAAGACAGTTAACTCTGACTTGATGATTATGAAATTAAGAAAGAGATATTTTATGCAATTACATACAGAATGTGGGTATATCAAGCAACATGAGTTCTACTTTGTATTGTTTTCACTCTCTTATTGGTATTACCGGAGAAATCCATGATGGATCTTCCTGAAATTTCATATGTAGGTTTACCTATGTACCTGTTCCATTTTGACACAAATCAGAAAAAAAAACGTGGTCAACGAGTTGCTGTTTTAGGTTCTTTTTAGGAGCATAAATTGTAATTGGGTCTTTCTCAAATGTCATGCTTGTATGAACGTTTAGATTTCCCTCATGCTTTATTTCGTTGTAAATTTTCAGTTTTGAGATTGTTTGGAAACCGAAATGACCATTTGACTTTTCACGTCTGTTACAGCAATTTCTTGAGAATTTTAAAACAGATCCCCTTGGTACCTGTCTGAGCAAGTTTGATTTTCATTCATATTCGGAATGAAAATTGCTTACATTTAGCAGTCTTTGATTTAGATGTTTAAAGATGTTTTTTTTTTGTTTTTGAGAAATAGTGGATGGATATTTATCAGATTCATTTAAATATTCTGATAAGTCCCTGATGTAAAGATAATGGAGAGGTAGCCATCATCTGTTTCAGTTTCTGAATATTGTTAATAGTGTTATTGCTATTTGTTGTAAAGTACTAGATGAAATGCTCCCTAAAATTTCTTGTAAGTTTCCAATGCTTTGCAATGTAACTGCACAATTCCTATATTTGACTACATAGAATTGCAAAATTGTTAGTCTTGGAAAAATGAAGAGAAAAGATCAAACTTCCTGCAAAATATGAAACTGTTTTTGCAAAGAACAGAAGAAATAAAACTTTATGCAAAAAATAATGCTGTTCTAGCAAAGAGAAAAAATTACACAAATGGCTTCACTGTTAAAGCAAAGATAAAGAAAAGATCAAATATCAAATTAGAATACACTGTAAAAGCAAAGGTTTAGCCATAATTGTTGCTGTAAGTTGTTGCTGTCACCAAGGTACAATGTAGGTGGTTGTTCACTACTAAATGGCTTTATTCTTTTACCAATCCTTTTTTGTTTCCCAGGGTCATGTGACATCTTACTACGGCACAGAGCTGCAGAAGTACACTTCATTTCAGATTCACAATTCAGAGGATATTCGGCAGATTGTTCCTCTGGAGCGTGGCATCTTGTCACTTACCCAGGGCAGTCTTCGTTGCTCACTCAGACGTGGGCTTTCAGTTTTCACATATACGTAAGACATTTCTACCTTTTTTCTGTTTTTCTTTAAATTCTGATGACACATACTTCATTGTGTAAAAATTTCGTCCTTTAAGAAAAACAAAATTTATAGATGAAAATGACTATTAATTAGTCAAATTGATGTTAATGTTAAGAAATATGGTCGGTAGTATATATATATATGTGTGTGTGTGTGATATAATGTATCTTTCAGAAAACAAGCCCATCTCTAATAATAATTATGACTATTCTGTAGAATAGCAAGCAAATACCATTTCATTGTCCTTTAATAACCCTACCCTCACCCCCCAACTCGGAGTGGGAATTTATTTCTTGCCCCTATCCCCACTTGGTTTTTTGCCAGATAAATACAGTGATAACATGTTGACTAATAATAAAACTTACATTGTCAGAACATTCCAAGAGAGCAGTGCCTAAAGATTGCCCATTTAGGCTATGTATAAGTGTTTGGGGATTCATTTTGTAGTGGTGCCAACATGCACAACATGCAGTGTATGCTGATGACGAGTTCTCACTCTGTGCTGATTGGTGGACATCAGACAAAAGCTCTTCAGTTAGACCTTGAAATGCTCAAGGAAATTAGAACGGTATGTCTTTGTCTAGAATAGTACTTTATCTGTGTCTGGAATGGTACTTTATCTGTGTCTGGAATGGTACTTTATCTGTGTCTGGAATGGTACTTTATCTTTGTCTGGAATGGTACTTTATCTGTGTCTGGAATGGTACTTTATCTGTGTCTGGAATGGTACTTTATCTTTGTCTGGAATGGTACTTTATTAAGAACATTAACATATCTTTAGAAAGAACAGTGCTATAGCTTTATGTTGAATGGTACAATATTATTATCTGGAATGGTATGATATCTTTATCTAGAATAGTAAGTGTTTTTTTTTTATCTAGAACTGTTCCATATATTTATCTAGAGGGATACTTTAATAAGAATTGTTATATATCTACAACAGTACTAAAACTTTTTCTACAATACTTCTATATCTTTATCTAAAAACAGTGATAATTCTTTATCTAAAAATTTACTATATCTTTATCTAAAAATTTACTATATCCTTGATCTTTAAAAATATATACTATATCTTTTTGTCTAGAAATTTATATCTTTATCTAGAAATTTATATCTTTATCTAGAAATTTATATCTTTATCTAAAAATTTATATATTTATCCAGAAATTTATATCTTTGTCTAGAAATTTATATCTTTATCCAGAAATTTATATATTTATCTAGAAATTTACTACATCTTTATCTGGAATGTTGTTATATTTTTATGATACTATATCTTTTTCTTCAAAGGTACTATATATTTATGTGGACATTTACTATAGTATCTTTATCTAGGATAGTTCTATATTTTTATGGTACTTTGGTCTTTGTACACAATGGTACTATACCTTTCGCAAATTCTGTCACTCGATTATTCTTAGTTTCTGTTCTCATGGCAGTTTTTGGTTTTAAGGCCTTCAGTTCAAAATTATGTGCTTCATCCATTCATAATGTTAAGAATAAGAAGAATTATATTGTTAGTAGATATATTTCTGAATATGACATAACCTCCAGTCTTTAATGAGAAACTTTTAGTAATGCAAACTCCACTTTATACATTATATGAGAGAGTACCTGGTATGTAAAATACAGCGTTGATGATGTACAGGGCACAAGACTTGAGGCATGAACAAAATGATGTATCAGTCATTTGTTGTAGTGCTAACACGAAGTATCAGCTGTAGAGAGCTAAAAGTTTCTCTGTGTTACAGATTGACATACCAGAACCAGGATGTGCTATCTTCAGAAGTTCCAATAAATTCATTTGTGCTGGCGACACAGGTGGGAAGGTGAGTTGACAAACGACTTGTCTCACATTAAGATTGAATGGTATCCTGATTCTCTTTCTTTAAAATCTTATTGTCTCATGAACAAGATGTTCATAATGTCCTGTGTTAAGCCCACCCCTGACCTTGAGTAAGATTACATATACCATGTAAATTCCTGTGTAGTAAAATTAACATTAAAAATCAATATCATGTTATTGTTCTGTAATAAGCCCACCCATAGATATTGCTGTTTATTAGAATTATAGACAAATATTATTTCATTGTCCTGTAATAAGCCCACCCCTAGATATTGCTATTTTTCAGAATTATAAACCAATATCAATTCATTGCCTGTAATAAGCTAGGGGATGGGCTTTGACTTTGAGTAAGATTTCATGATAAATATATGATATGTGATTTTAATGTATAACTCAGAATATATTCATACGCTACATAGGTGACCTTGTATGACCCCAACACGATGAATGCGGAACATGTACTGGATGCTCATAGTGGTACATTGTCAGATTTTGATGTACAGGGTAATCTGCTAGTAACGTGTGGATTTTCTACACGGTAAGTGTGACATAAGGTCAGCGTGAAAATGATCGTTTTACAAGCATGATCAGTGTATGAAATCCTTGTGTATTAAAATGACTTCCTTTTTGTACCATAACCATGGCGTCTTAAATCAGTGTTATTATTGTAAATGCAAAACCAAGTATGTTTGTCAGGTATGAAATGTATTTGATACCAGATCAATTTCAAAAGTTTCAGATTAATAGTATGATTACTAATTACAAAATGGAAGTCACGAAAAGTTCTTTGAAACACTGAAATTAATTTTTTTAAGATGAAACACTGAAATTAATTTTTTTAAGATAGGTGAAAAAATTTTGATGATCAGTATTTTGCTTAATCCAACAAATTGTTTGTGACTTTTTATTCTTTAGGTTAAACAATATGACAGTTGACCGTTTCCTTATGGTGTATGACATGCGTGTGATGAGGGCAATGTCTCCTATTCAAGTGGTCATAGATCCCATGTTCCTCAAGTTCATTCCTTCCTTTAGTAACCGCATAGCCCTCGTGTCACAGGTAAATTTTGAAATAATTGTTGAAGAACCTCACCAGACACCTGTTGTTGACAGTAAGCATTGTACAGTTATCAGCCAAGACATTTCACACATTGTATGTTGTTAATAGCAGTGGCTAGTTAACAGCTAGCCAAAATATTTCACCAAACATTTGTTGTTGACAGTTAGCTGTGTCTGGTCAACTGTTAGTTATCTGCTGTTAACAGCTAGATGTGTCTAGTGAACATTTAGCCAAGCCAAGTTTTCTTGTTTTCCAACATTTCTTGTTGACAGTTAGCTGTGTCTAGTTAATAGCTAGCCAAAATATTTCACCAAACATTTGTTGTTGACAGTTAGCTAATAGCTAGTTTTTATTTAACAAAAAGTTTCACTACAGTTGTACAGTGCTCACTACATGACCACCAGGTTGTGTTCTTACACTACAATATACATATATAGGGTTGATTTGATTTGTAGGCAGGACAATTCCAGATCATAGAAACTACAGCCATGACCCCTTCAGCCATGATGATGTATCCCATCAACACACAAGGAGGTTATGTCACTAGCTTTGATATCTCATCATCCTGTCAGGCACTGGCCTTTGGGGACACTGGTGGTAAGTTAGAAACTGAAAAATGTCTGATAGCCAGTATTGAATGTTGAAGGTAAAAATGTTTGATTAAATAAAAATAAAGAATACTTCAATTGTCATACAAGCTGGTAAATGTCTTAGGTTGCTTTTGAACTTCTAAATGTGATAAAGAAAATTCTTCATTTGGCATTTTGCTTCTCTTTATTCCTAGGTTATCTGCACTTGTTTGCGACGGGAGAACAAGCAGCCTTCAACACATATCATCATGCTCCTGAGTTTGCTGACCATGTGAGAGTTTATTAGATTCCTTTGTATACATGGAGAAAGGCATTTCTGATAGATTTTATGTATATCTGAATTCCATACTTTGCGAACCTATTTCTTTTCCAAAGAAATTTGTAATCATGACCATCATTGTTTATACAATTTCTTTCATTGTTAAGCACAACATCTCATCACCACCCCTTTCATTAACTATCATTTTATCTATTTTAGCTGGAACCTCTGCAGCATATTTCTTTATCAGATGAACTGACACCTCTATCTATCATACCAATGGTTTATCCTACAAATGGAACTCTGCTCTCTGATTGGCCTGACCACCTGTGTGAGAGGACCTACAGGTGAGAACAGTTTTTCATTAGTCCAACAAGTGATGTGATTCTTTACAGGTAAGATGACAGCTACATCCACAAATAGAATACCTCATTATCTAAAATCACAGGTTAGAGATTTTCATTATCTTAGCTTGGCAATATATTGCATCATAGTTCTGTCGAGATTGAATGGACATGAAACAGGATGTCCTTTGACTACAAAACCTGAAGTATGCTTACATTATCCTGATGGATATCACAACATGTTCGGGATTTTTCACTTGTAATATCTGCTGTTACACATACCCAGTAATTGCATTCTATAGATCAACAATACAATGTTGACATACATCCAGTTGGAATATAGCCTATTAAAGCAACACCATCTCAAGCCATAGGATATATTCAGAATTCATAGGTCATATTCAGGAGCCATAGGTCATATTCAGGAACCATAGGTCATATTCAGGAGCCATAGGTCAAATTCAGGAGCCATAGGTCAAATTCAGAAGCTAAAGGTCATATTCAGGAGCCTATTCATATTCAGAAGCTAAAGGTCATATTTAGAAGCTAAAGGTCATATTCAGGAGCCATAGGTCATATTTAGAAGCCATAGGTCATATTCAGAATTCATAGGTCATATTCAGGAGCCATAGGTCATATTCAGAAGCTAAAGGTCATATTTAGGAGCCATAGGTCATATTCAGAAGCTAAAGGTCATATTTCAAATTCATCATTGCGCTCATCTGTTTAAATACATGTGGTGTAGACTTGATCACTAAATGACTTCTATTTTTACTTATTTATTTGATTAGGAAGCCGAAGAAAATCGACCCTGAAATACTGCGTAGCATGAAAATCCAACACAATGTTGGTTATGCTAAGAATCTGGGAAAGGAATGTCGTAACCAAACCCCGTACTTGATGAAGTCAGAGAAGAAGAAAGGAAAATCGGGTGTCCCAGAGTCACCATTAGGCAGAGGTAATGTGACAACCAGCTCTGAGCTTAACTAGCAATGATCAGGTGTCCTAGAGTCACCATTAGGCAGAGGTAATGTGATAACAAGCTCTGAACTGAACTAGCAATGATCAGTATATTCATGCTGTAATCAAGTTAAAATTTGAAGAATGGTACCTGGAATATGTGTAAAGCATATATGGTATATATCTGTTGAATGTTAATACTTTTTAAACCCCACACTGTCATAAAACAGTGAAAAAGCCTTCAAAACATTCCCTCTGTTCTTGTGAGCAGATATTTATAGATACAACATTTCTTTGTGAGACAATAACATAAATTTGTGATAAAACAAGGTAATTTTCTCGCCCTGTTTAATGACATTACAATCAATACCTGCTTAAAATTAACAGATAACTTTGTATTACAAAAGAAGGAATGGTACATGAACTATTTGTTTGTGTTGAACAGGTGAAGATCCATTCTTTGTGGTGCCGAAACGTTTCAGGAAGGTAGACCTGAAGTACTCTAAACTTGGCTTGGAAGATTTTGACTTCAGACTTTACAATAAAACACATTTTGCTGGACTGGAAACACATATTCCTAATGCCTACTGTAATTGTATGCTCCAGGTATGCTCATTCAAACATTATAGATGTAAAAGTCAAGTAAGATTTTATTTACCGGCTACATATATTGAATGGAAGATAAATACAAATAGAGGATAGTACTTAAGTTTCTTTTCAACTGAAATCTAAGCTTGTGTGCATACTTTTTTAAGCTAGGGAATGAAAAAGACTGATCCTGTGTTTTTTTTTCAGAATTTTTATTTTTAAGTAAAATTAATGGTTTGAAGAAATTTATGATAGAAATAAAGTATTCAATTTTTAGCTAAGATTTATGAAGAGATGCTGCAATTTAAAGAATTCACTTATGTTTCTAGTACAGAATATACTGATTAATGAATGAAACCCTGTTTAACATCTGTCTGGTGCTTTTGGAATCTTCACTGAAAGTAGAGACCAAATTGTAGAAGTTTGGCAATGGTAGATAAAGATAGGCCTGAACAATTAAGAAATGATGAAGAGAAGATGTTAACTTATTGATAATTCAAGAAACCGAATAATTTCAAAAGAATGAAAAATGGATATGCATTAAAATTAGAAATTGGCAAGCTTGGATTTTGCATGACATTGTGATTAAAGAAATTCACCAGCACAGTTACCTGATTCTTGTATGTACTTTCAAGCTATAGGCTTAAGAATTATAATTCTGCATTTTGGTTAAAAATAGAATCATTTAATTAATTTTCTCTATCTGCATGAACTTTGACCTTAATATCAATAAAGAATTCTTATAATCGAAAAATAGTTTCTTTCCCTGTTTATTTTGCATTAACATACGAGGCTAACATATGGATCCAACACAGTGGGTGGGTTTACTCAAGGAAAATGAAAATTGAATTTGTTTGTAATTTTGTTAAACAGTAGATACAAATGTGTTCATTACCAGACTTGGACTTATTGTTGGATAAATACAGATATAAATTTTAAATGATTAGGTACACATTGATATGGTAGTATATGTTCTTATCTCTCTACTTTTTAGGTGCTGTACTTTATAGAGCCACTGAGATGTACATTACTGAGTCACCTGTGTGATAAAGAGTTCTGTCTATCCTGTGAGCTAGGTTTCCTATTCCAGATGCTGGATAAACAGAAAGGCCAAGCATCACAGGTAGATTGTGTGTAATTGTGTGTGTGTTTACAGGTAGATTGTGTGTAATTGTGTGTGTGTTTACAGGTAGATTGTTTGTAATTGTGTGTGTGTTTACAGGTAGATTGTGTGTAATTGTGTGTGTGTTTACAGGTAGATTGTTTGCAATTGTGTGTGTGTTTACAGGTAGATTGTGTGTAATTGTGTGTGTGTTTACAGGTAGATTGTTTGTAATTGTGTGTGTGTTTACAGGTAGATTGTGTGTAATTGTGTGTGTGTTTACAGGTAGATTGTGTGTAATTGTGTGTGTGTGTGTGTGTTTACATGGTAGATTGTGTGTAATTGTGTGTGTGTGTTTACAGGTAGATTGTGTGTAATTGGTGTGTGTTTACAGGTAGGGTGTGTAATTGGTGTGTTTACAGGTAGATTGTGTGTAATTGTGTGTGTGTTTACAGGTAGTGTGTAATTGTGTGTTTACATGTGTGTAATTGTGTGTGTGAAGGTAGTGTGTGTAATTGGTGTGTGTTTACAGGTAGTGTGTGTAATTGGTGTGTGTTTACAGGTAGATTGTGTGTAATTGTGTGTGTGTTTACAGGTAGTGTGTGTAATTGGTGTGTGTTTACAGGTAGATTGTGTGTAATTGGTGTGTGTTTACAGGTAGTGTGTGTAATTGGTGTGTGTTTACAGGTAGGGTGTGTAATTGGTGTGTTTACAGGTAGATTGTGTGTAATTGGTGTGTGTTTACAGGTAGGGTGTGTAATTGGTGTGTGTTTACAGGTAGTGTGTGTAATTGGTGTGTTTACAGGTAGATTGTGTGTAATTGTGTGTGTGTTTACAGGTAGATTGTGTGTAATTGGTGTGTGTTTACAGGTAGTGTGTGTAATTTGTGTGTGTTTACAGGTAGATTGTGTGTAATTGGTGTGTGTTTACAGGTAGATTGTGTGTAATTGGTGTGATAGATTGTCATTCAGCTTCTTGTTTTCACTTTGGAAACATTGAATGAATATATAGATCTCTACTGATAATTTTGTTTTGAAGAGAATATGAGCAGTGCTTGAAGGTTTTCAGCTTTTTATTCAACAAAAGCTACTGGTTGACTTTTGTGATGATTTCAAGTTTTTATTCTCTTCAAACTTATGTTGCAGAGCTCTCTTTCTCCTGCAAATTAACGTTAATAAAAAAAACATATGTTTTAAGTAAAATAGAAATTGTAACTGTAGTGATCTTTGAATGGATAATCTTTAAAATATATAGATATTATGAGTTCTGCTTTAAATACTTAAATTTGGTTCAAAATCGTTTTCATGATAATGATGAAGTCCTCTGAACTTTCTGCATTAACCAGGACAATTTCCATTTTAAGTATATTTTGATATCAAAGTTCATATGTCTATATGGTTCCTATTATGACTCACCAACCAAGTTATTTTCAGGCCAGTAACTTCCTGCGTGCGTTTCGAACAATTCCGGAGGCTGCAGCTCTTGGACTGGTCTTGGCAGAGAATGAGGAAAATGAAGGGCACATTAACTTGTCAAGACTGATTCAGAGCTGGCAACGCTTTATGTTCCCACAGATTCACTCCGTAAGTTTATAAACTGCCTCGTGAAATCTAGCATCATATGCTAAACATGCAAGGGTTTCTCACAGTGACTTTTTGAACAGAGTTTGGATGGTCATATGGCACAGTGTTAATGCACTTAAATTTCACCTAGCCGTCTGGGGTTTGATTCCCGGAATAGATGTGAAAAGGTATAATAGGGTCATCTGCCTGACCATGTGGGTTTTCCCTGGGTACTCTGGTTTTCTTTCATAGTAAGACCTCTTGCGTGCTGGTCATCCAACCTGGTCAGTAAGGGTGATTGATATAAGTTGATAGCTTGTTCTGCAATTTTTGTAAAAGAAATAAATCTATATTATATTTGATAGACTTGGATTCAATTCAAAACTCATATATCAAAATATATCAAGAAATATTTCAAGAAATATCTGTTCTAGTTTCAGCTCTTCTGAACACTGAGTAAATATCAATTGACGTATAAAAATAGCAATTTATCATGAATTAAAATTCATCTAAATTATTTTTGTACAATCAGGAAATTCTTCAGAGAACTTTGATGGAGGATTCAAAAGAAGAGGCAGGGGAGGGAGCGAATAAAACAGAGGATGAAAAATCCTCAGACAAACCCACTGAAACTACACCACCAAAGTCGAGGAAGAAGAAGAAAAAGAAAGGAAAGAAGAAAGGAAAAGAACCTACTGATGAAGAGGATAAAGATAAGGCCGGCTCTCAAGGCGATGAGAAGGAAGTGCAGGAACCACCGTGTGAAGAGATGTATGTTGTTTAAATTTATCAGACCAATGGGTTTTTAGCATGTCTTGACCAGTTACTTGGGATTCATTGATACACTTTAGCTGCGATATGATGCACATCACAATACTCATCCTTTATATAGTTTGATTATTTCAATACTGAACGGTTACTTTTAGCGGTATTTTATACTGACTTCAATATAAAGATACAGAATGTGGTATCAGAACAATATACCAGTGTGAGATAAATTAAAAAAAATCACCAGCCTGGAGAATCTAAAAAATTAATTATGTATAGCCAACAATTTAAGAGAATTATCAGAGGCATAAGCCTTTCTTGCTTGGTGTTCAGACAGGGACTTATGAAAAAATTGACAATATTATGATCAGGAGTTTTACTATCTATTTTAAGTGACTATGAGAAATGTTTCTTACCTTACTGAAATATAGCAAAGAGATATAGTGAAAATTGAATTGGAAGGCAAGCATTGTGATACTGTATATAAGTGTTGTATGGACTCGCATCTATATTGCAGTTTTGGGTTAAATCACAGGAATATGGAGTGTATTGTAACTAGTATTTGCTAAAGTTTTGTTTGCAAATTATAACTCATATAGGTCTAGAGGTGTCTTACTAAGACTGGTGATTTGTCAATAGAGAGGTGACTATCAAATTGTCTTTGGAGAGGTGATGAACAATGAAGTATGCCACAATATATATTTAGTATCCGTACATCCTCAAAAACTCACACAGTGTAATTCATGTATATAACCATTTCAGTTTTATGACAATGTTATATATGTTGTGTATACAGATATGAGGAGACATCAGTTTTGTCCAGTCTAATGCATCTGAAGATGGTGACAACATTAAAATGTCGATGTGGCCTTGAGACACAGAAAATGTCTGACAACGCTCTCATAAACCTTTCTTATCCTGACTGTTCTCCGCCAGGTAAAATGACAATGGTTTCATAATTCTCTCCTACCCAGACCATTCTCGACTAAATATAATTTCCTGGGTAGGGTTTCCTTTCTAGTTTGTGCGGTGAAACTACTCAGCCTTTGTGTTACACCACTGCTAGTGACTCAAAAATAGTCGTTATGACATCACTTCTTGACCTAAAATTCTAGGAAATGAAGTCCAGAGTCTGCCTATAGATTCTTTATCCTTTTGTTACTGTCAAATTATTACTTTGTGTAAAGAATCTTCTGTGTGAATAATATTGAATGGATAAATAGAGTTTATTTGCTGGGGTGATCCACCTTGTTAGATTTCTTGATTTCTAGAAAAACCTTCCACTGATAAGAGCTCACATGTCATATTGATATATCCATACATAAAATATAGAAATGAAAACCAAAGAAACACATGGGGAAAAAAAATGAGACTTTATGAACCTTTTACCTGACTTGCTTTATGTTGGCAGGTCCAAACAAGCCGCCCGTTATGTTCACATTTGCCCAGGTACTGAAACATAGCATGATGATGGAGCAGACCACGCAGGCTTGGTGTAATGAGTGTGGTCGATACCAACCTCACGTATGTACACTTTTCACTACCTAAATTGTGTTTGATTGGGACAGGAAAATTGTCTTGTTTCATATAATACAAGAGAAGTTGGACTCAGGGATTCTGTTGCAGTGATGTGAAGTTACAAAGCATTTTTCATCATTATTTAGAGTCGTGTTTTTCAATCCTGTTCAACATTTCATTTCAGACTCGACTGAAAGTCATACAGAATCTTCCTGATATTTTGGCATTTAACTGTGGACTAGAAAATGTCAGAGACTTTGAATTTTGGCTTATTCAACAAATGGTAAGTTATTATCACCACTTTCTGTAAGAAAATCTACTTCCGGTTGTAAATTATCTGCTGTTTGTAACTAACCCTGTTGAAATTGTTTTTAGTTGACCCTGTTTTGACTGTTTATAACTGACCCTGTCTCCACTGTTTATAACTGACCCTGTCTCCACTGTTTCTAACTGACCCTGTTTTCACTGTTTATAACTGACCCTGTTTCCACTGTTTGTAACTGACCCTGTTTCCACTGTTTATAACTGACCCTGTTTTCACTGTTTATAACTCTGTTCCACTGTAACTGACCACTGTTCCACTGTTTATAACTGACCCTGTTTCTGACCCACTGTTTGTTTATAACTGACCCTGTTTCCACTGTTTTTAACTGACCCTCTTTCCACGGTTTATTACTGTCACTATAACTGACCCTGTCTCCATTGTTTATAACTGACCCTGTTTCCACTGTTTATAACTGACCCTGTTTTGACTGTTTTATAACTGACCCTGTTTTCACTGTTTTATAACTGACCCTGTTTCCACTGTTTATAACTACCCTGTTTCCACTGTGTTTCCACTGTTTATAACTGACCCTGTTTCCACTGTTTATAACTGACCCTGTTTCCACTGTTTATAACTGACCCTGTCTCCACTGTTTATAACTGACCCTGTTTCCACTGTTTGTAACTGACCCTGTCTCCACTGTTTATAACTGACCCTGTCTCCACTGTTTATAACTGACCCTGTTTCCACTGTTTATAACTGACCCTGTCTCCACTGTTTATAACTACCCTGTTTCCACTGTGTTTCCACTGTTTATAACTGACCCTGTTTCCACTGTTTATAACTGACCCTGTCTCCACTGTTTATAACTGACCCTGTCTCCACTGTTTATAACTACCCTGTTTCCACTGTGTTTCCACTGTTTGTAACTGACCCTGTTTCCACTGTTTATAACTGACCCTGTTTCCACTGTTTATAACTGACCCTGTTTCCACTGTTTATAACTGACCCTGTTTCCACTGTTTATAACTGACCCTGTTTCCACTGTTTATAACTGACCCTGTTTCCACTGTTTATAACTGACCCTGTTTCCACTGTTTATAACTGACCCTGTTTCCACTGTTTATAACTGACCCTGTCTCCACTGTTTATAACTGACCCTGTCTCCACTGTTTATAACTGACCCTGTTTCCACTGTTTATAACTGACCCTGTTTCCACTGTTTATAACTGACCCTGTTTCCACTGTTTATAACTGACCCTGTTTCCACTGTTTATAACTGACCCTGTTTCCACTGTTTATAACTGACCCTGTTCCCACTGTTTATAGCTGGTTTTGTTGTTGTGCTGCCTTACGCCTATAACTGATCTGCATTTAATCCTAATCTGGCTATTTGCAGTTGATCAAACAACAGAGAGAAGAGAGTGGAGAGAGTCTGTCTAGTACCAATTCAGCACCCCACATGTCCAGTTCTACCCAGGTTATGTGTCGCTACGGACGCTCATGTACCAGGAAAGGATGTCGTTTCAAGCATGAGCCTGGCCACGGGTAGGTCATTCTATAGGATGGGAGAAGGGTTTAGTGTATTTAGTCTTCCACACCCTTTGCATCCTTATCTCGTTGCATTGTGTCTTGTCCCAATCATTGTCACTTTAGCAACCTTACTTCTTCCAGAAAGGATTTCAGTCAAAGGTCAAGTATGATAAAATCTCATTTGAACTCATGGTTCCGAGATCTAAGGTCAAGGTCACTATTGCTATTTATAGATAAATTGTTGAGCATTGAATTCATGTCATGTCATACATTATTTTCTAGTTTGCTGTACTATAATACCTGTTTGCTTGGTGTAGATTACAGTGTCAAAGATTCTTGAATCTTTAAAGTGATGAATGATATATTCTAAAAAAAAATAACTTCTTTCCTTTATTAAATGACTAATATCTGTATACATGAGAGACAGCATTGATTTTTTTTTTTTTTTTTTAATTTTGATAAAATTTGTTTGAAATGGTCAGAACTGTATTACATATATGTGTTGTAGGTGCTCTATGATGTAGGCAGGGTTTGTGGTACGTAGGATAACAATGTTTCGTGATTTTGTTGCAGAGATAAAGACAAGGAACCAGAAGAAGACATGAACTCTATCTGGATTCCTATGGGCCTCAAAGTAGAACTCACTAGTGAAGGGAGAGTAGAATTGGTACAAATTCCAGATGACGTAAGTGAAGGATTTTCATGTTCATATTTGTGATATCTAATTTCTGACACCAAAAAATACCTTGTGGTGAGGTGTAGATGAACTATTTTACCTCGCTATGTTTTTTTATGTCTCTTTCCTATCAACTAGGGTTTGAAATTTTTAGATTAACTGAGATGGAGTCTCATGGTGACCTATTGAGATCACATTTTGTGTGGCATCATGCATTTGGAAATGTTTTGAACTTTCAACTTCTCAAAAGCCTCTGAAGTGATTTCAATAAAGTTTTGCGGAAATATTCCATGGCCAAAGATGAAGGAAAAATCTGAGTTACATGATACCTTCCGAACATTGGCCGGAGGGTTGTGGAAAAAGGTTGACTTAAGTTTCATAAATCTTCTCAACACCCAATTATTGCAGAATCAAATGCTGTTCAAGGATGGAGGTGTCTTAAGATGCTCTACTGAAATCATAAATTTTATTTCCCCAAGGCTCTCGCATTCTGCCCATGGAAGGGGTTAAATTTAACTAATTTTCATAGGTTAATTACATTTTGGAATCAAAGCGGTTTGCAAAGAATCGGGAGTCTCCTTTTTGGTGATTGTCATGAGCATTGAAAATATGCTAGTATATTCATATTATTGTTTAAAATATAATTAATGATACATGAACAGGAACCCTTGCCAAAGGAGGAAGATCCAAATGTGAAGTATTATGAACTGTATGCAACGGTGGCCCATATAAAGGACTCAAAGTCTGGCGGGAATCTGGTGACACACATCAACGTGGGAGAGACATACCACTTCCGTAAGGAAAATGTAACCTGTACACAGTGGTATCTCTACAACGATTTCTCTATTACACCAGTAGAGAAAGTAAGTAATTAACAACTAATCTGCAGAATTGAGGTTTCAAATATACCAACTGCTTACATTTTATGTAAAATTCAAGGCAACATTGGATTTTGATGTTAATTTTGTTTAAACAAATCATATATTGAATTTTTTCATTTCATCTGAGATTTAATTAACTTAACATTTTCAAGCATACTCTATGAAATAATTAACAATGATATAAGTTTCATAGCTTCTTTGTAAATCATTTTGTAACATTTTTGAATAACACTTATATATTATAACACTTTTCAGAAATTTCATTGAAAAGTTTCTTTGTACAGCTTGGAGAATACTTCATATGATAAGATAAGACGGATTTTATCGGATTGTATTGACCATCTGCGTACATATTTATATTTCTAAGGATTTAAGTGCTTTAGAATCTGTATCTGAAACCATCAGTATACGAAATATCCTAGATTACCTACAAACTTCTGATTTGTTCCATAAAAGTCTACCAAGTAGTTTTTTTTTTCTGATTACAAAGTGCACAATGAGATGTCATTTTTGTAGACCTTTCAACTCATTTGATCAACATTTTCTTTTGTCTGATATTTCTATTTTCCATCTATTGGCTATAATGTTCTTGTCTGTGTGGATGGGCTGTCAAGAATATATTAATCTGATCAGTTATTTTGAAAGCAAAATCTGATTTGGCTACTGTATGGTTTTAACTTGAAGTATTTTAATTTAACTGTATAAATTTTGTCATTGCAGGAAATTGAAAAATGCTTGATTTTGTTTAAGAATCTTTCAGAAATTCCTGTCTCTTTTAACTTTTTATTTTTTTTACTCCAGCATGAAGCAGTGCAATTCAATCTGGACTGGAAAATACCTTGCACAATTTATTTCATGAGAAGACAGGTTCATAAACACTACGACATACCAGGTTGGTTTTACTAATAATTTGGCAAAATATGTCATTAATTTTGAAATGTATACCAATTCCCCATATATTTTATTTCCTACAGTCATAAGTGTATATATAGCTGTATTAAATAAATACAGGTTTACTTCCAATTAACATGTAATGGAAGAATGACATGTTACGCTGTAAAAATACATCAATATTTTATCCTGTTTCTGTTTAGAGTTCCATTTTTTATCTTTTTTCAGATTTTTCTTTGTTACAATGATTCTTGATTGAAACTGTTTTTCCTGTGTATAGGGAGGACCTATTGATTTGTTTTTGTCTTGTTTTTCTGTTCTAGTGAGGAATCCAATCTCGGCTGACATTTTGTTTGAGGATGTTGCTCTAGTCAACCCCCAAAGGAGAAAAGTGTCCTTTACACCTCTTTCTCCAGAAGAGCTCCCCAAAGAAGGGGACATAATTGCTCTTGATGCTGAGTTTGTTTCACTGAATCAGGTTAGATTACTGGTATTGGTTAATTAAGTTGAATATCATGCTTTGTACTGCATGTTTTAATGTTTTTATCATGAATATATCAAAATAAAACAAGAATGAAGGGAATTTGATATTGAGGAAGCATTGGTTTGTAAAAAAAATGTTTGTGAAAATCAGAGACTGATAAATCTTGATAGAAGTTATTGTTCTTCTTTAAATATATCAATACAACAGATCATGTTAATTAAGTTATGTGTTTTTGTTACATTTTCTATGCCAACTATGTTTGTGGATTTGTATCTACTGCTGTGTCTCATTTTATCACAGGAGGAATCAGAGCTGAGAAGTGATGGCACGAGGTCTACTATTAAGCCCAGTCATCTTACTGTTGCCAGAATATCCTGTATCCGAGGGTGAGCCAACCTTTTCCTGTCTGGTCACTCTGTAATGGCTGGAGTTTGAATTTAAGTCACAGAAATCCACTATGACTTTTGGTTCATTTCATAAAACTAATTACTGGTACCGGAGTCATATTTGTGAGATTTTCACAAAAAGGAATTATTACGGTGTCATACCGCTTTTACAGAAATGCTGTTTGTGTAGATTATAGTAACACTACATTACAGCAGTTAAAAGTAAATTAAATTACCAATGAATTTTTAAAAAGTGGTCGCAATAGCTTAGTCAGTATTAGCTTGGTAACATCAGGTGAAGATCTGAGGTATGTTGTTTAGACTCTAACTGTTATGAATATCTAACTATACCTGTGGATCATTTCTATCAATATCAAGATAGAGTGGGCTTCATTCAGTGATCTTTAATATGGAACAAATGATAAAAACACCCAACATTTTACAGTAAACTTACTCATATTTAATGATACGACTTCAATATCTGTTGGGCTCATTAAGAGATATCCATTTCTGGAGAGCTTTATAGTGAAGATATTATGAACACCTTTATAAGTTTTAGTCCTGTGGGTTAACGTAATTAATACCTACCAGGAATTACCACAGAAAAATTTGATACATCCGTTTAATGGTTTGGCCATTCTTAATTGTCTGAATATGAATTGGTTTTATTTTATGATATGGAAAAAGTATGAGGAATGAATCACAATGATATGGGATATTACAGACAAACAATGATCTAGTATATTGATATTACAGACAAGGAGAAAAATGTGGGGAACCATTCCTTGATGATTACATATCTACACAGGAACAGGTCAGTATATTTATTTTTTGTGTCATATTGTTATGTTTCAATATGTTTCATTTTGATAATTTCTTGCAGTATGTAACAATGTCTCATAATGAGGTCATATGATGATTTTCATGGTGTTTTGACACCATATTGGGATGTTTCACAAAATTTCATTTTAATGTCATCTCGTTTTTGGTGACTTTATTTTGGATGTTCAACAACATAGTTGCTTTTCCTGGCCATACAGGGTATAGTCCAATCTATTGTCTGGAAGTCATATCACAGACCAGGAGAAGTGTTACTATAGATACAAGGGCCAGGGCCAACAAATTACTTACCTGGTATTTATATTGCAGTGGAGTTTGATGCATGCTGTAATTGAGTGACGTAAGACAGGACACTATTACTGATCACCTCACTTTTGTTGTGTTTCAGGTTGTTGATTACTTGACCCAGTATTCTGGAATCAAGCCAGGTGACCTTGACCCCACAGTGTCCTCGAAGCACCTAACAACCTTGAAATCGACATATCAGAAATTGAGATATCTGGTTGATGCTGGTTGTCTGTTTGTAGGTCATGGGTTAAAGAAAGACTTTAGAGTGATCAATATCAGAGTAAGTGTATAAGTAATTAAGATGATGATGAAAACAAAACTCTGCACTTATGAATTCAGTACATACTTGACTAAAAAATCAACCTGTAGCAAAGAATCAGTTATTCTGGAAATATTTGAAATTTTTAATGGTAAAAGTGCGTACACTGTCACAACCAAGAGATTTATATATAGTGCAGATTTTGACCATAAGAACAAGATTTGTGTGAATCTACCCATCAAGGGAAATAACCAGATGATCATGCATGTACATTTATCCAAAAAATATAGCAGTTACCTCCCTTGTACTCTAAACCTTCTAGTGCATTGATAGATATCTTTTCATTCATCTTTTAATTTTCAATTTTTCTCATAATTGCAAAACTAATTCTTACCAAATTTTAAGTTTCCCTCTGGTACTTCTGGAGGAAAATATTGTGCAATCTGTGTGGCATGTCCTTGTTTTCAAGATTCATCATACAATTTTACTATCATTAAAACTGGATAAACAAAACCTTGGGGCTATTAAAGAAATGTAAATATGATGGTACCTGAAAATAATTCTTTCTGAACAAAAATATTTTCTGTGTGATGAGTACCGTGATCATACAAGTATTAATTCAGGACTTAAAACCTATCAATTGCATCTGGCCTCTCAGTATTTGTAATGGACATTTTTTTGCACAGGTTCCTAAGGACCAGGTGATAGACACCGTTGAACTATTCCATATTCCTCGTCAGAGGATGATCTCCCTCAAGTTTCTTGCATGGTATTTCCTCAGTAAGTATTCATGGTTTTGCAATTAATGTATACATGTACCATCAAATTCAGCTAGTTTTTGGCATAATGCTTAAACCTAGCTGTCTTCTTATTTATTCTACATAGGTCAATAGCCTCTTAGCAGCTGTAATATAAATAGTTACACTGTATCACAGGTAGGTAAGATATATAAAATAAAAATTCTTATGTGACGCTTCCATAACTACACTGTCATCTTCATCAAACCAGTGACTAGTGTGAAGCACCAAGGTGGAGTGTACGAGATGCTGATAAAAATAACAGGGTTTTTCAGCTGCTTTATGATATCATATACACTAAGGTTTTGGTGATCTTCAATATGTACATGGATGATAACAATGTATTATCCCATGAATATCAATTTGGCTAGACTCATTTTACAGGATTCTCATTGTCAGTACTTGTATATCATTCCAGTTAGACGAAAGCAGAAAAGTCAATAGTTATTGATAATTTCAAATTTTGAATGGATATTGCAAGAAGGTGTTGAAAAGAATCATGATGTAGGTGTGATTGCCTCTCTCTTTTTACATGCTGCAATTCCAGAGTGACGTAAAGATATCTAATGGAATTAGCTTAAAAATTATGTTGCAACATGGTTACCTTAACCAATTGGTACTTGTGCGAGTAATATATCAGTGGATCCTAATAAGATATGCTATATATGTTCTACCTTCATATTGATCTTCATACCTCTAGTTGCTTTTTTCCCCCCTCATTTACATTTTTTCACTCATTTACAGCAATAAACTTAGTTATAAGTCATTTACAGTTATCATTATATACTTAACAGAATTGAATATTCAGTCAACAACTCATGACTCTGTTGAGGATGCCCGTACTGCTCTTCAACTCTATCTCAAGTATCAGGAGATGTCCAAAGAAGGAATGGACAAGGTCCGGGCCACCATCAAGGAAATGTATGAAGAGGGTCGTCGCATTCAGTGGAAGATCCCAGACTTGGAGGAGGAACAGACTGAGGAACAAGTGGCACTGTTGTGATTAGTATAATATACTGGGAAAGTGAAAGAAGACACTGAAATGGGTTTTCAGGGCAGCATGATATTCAATTAAGTATTTTGTATTAATGGCTTGTAAAATGAATATACTTACAGAATGAGAGTATAGCATATCATTACTGCTGTGTGATGTACTGGTAAAGTACTTTTTTTTAATTATTCATTTTGAAAGGTGACTGAAATGAAACTGAAATTCACTACAGTCGTTTGTCTGCTGTTTTCTCCTTCAATAGATCATTGATTACAGAAGTATTAATATGAATAATATTTAAAGTAGAGAGAGGTTATGCAGTCTAAAGTGAACGTAGCAAACTTGAGAGAGAGTCTATGATTGAATGTGAAAAGATAGTGGTCATTTGCCTGACCACATGAGTTTTTAAAAAGATAATGGTCACTTTCCTGACCACATGGGTTTCTAAAAAGATAACGGTCTTTTGCCTGACCACATGGGTTTCTAAAAAGATAATGGTCACTTTCCTGACCACATGGGTTTATAAAAAGATAACGGTCACTTTCCTGACCACATGGGTTTCTAAAAAGATAATGGTCACTTGCCTGACCACATGGGTTTCTAAAAAGATAATGGTCACTTGACTGACCACATGGGTTTCTAAAAAGATAACGGTCACTTTCCTGACCACATGGGTTTCTAAAAAGATAGTGGTCACTTGCCTGACCACATGTTTTTTTCTGCGGGTACTCCTGTCAATAATATCAGCACTGCCATATTGCCAGAAAGAGGGATCAATATAAGATATTATATTTTGTTCACCATTTTGGTAGAAATTCATTTAATGAGACAATACATTTTACTGAATCAAATTTCATTAAGATTCTTGCTTGTTTAAGACTTTTATTTTATTTTGTATAATGGTTTCACTTCAACTTTTTCCTTGAAATGAACCTTGAGACATAGCTGCACATAGCTGTTTGGATTTTTGTATGAGATGGTAGAAAGCTGTCAAGACATTAGATTCACCGACTTTCATGGTTACTAGAGATCAATATATGTCTTCTATAGAACTACAAAAATGTTGGCTTTTGTGCTGTAGTTTCTGGGACAAGTGGAAAGTTCATCAATGAAAATGCCATCAAACTAAAAGTGTTAAAGATGAAATTCAGCAACGAGGATAACGTTTGGTGTTTTGTAACGATTGCATGGATTTAATTTTGAGAAGGATTCTGTTATTTAGTCAAATACACCTTTGGAAATAACTGTAGAATGACCAACATGACACATAATACGGATGTTTTTTGTAGAAACTTTGGGCTTTGTAATCTAGGATTATGTAAATAATTTCAATGTTGAATAAAATGCAATATTTTCAACTGCGCAATAATTTTATGAAAAAAATGTATAAAACAAGGTAAAGGCAAGGCCAAGTATATTTGTTGTGAGAAATTTTGTGTACTATACAGCAGACATAGTGCTAATCATGGATGAATGTTGAGGCATGTATTCACAAAAGTTGAAAAATAAAATTGTGAAACACTTTGGTGGTATTATTTATTGAATACTGAAATTCGTTCATATTTTCCATCCATAATGGAATCTACTTAAACTTCAATGGTTTGTTTTCTTGTTGAATGCGGTGACCTAACAAGTTGAGAATGAGATGAAGTAAAACAATGAATTATACTGCATTGTACAGCTGTTTTGTCCTTCTAGGACTCGCCAGTAATGCAAAGAGCCTAAACTGATAAAACTAGGGACGACTGGGGAAAATGGAAATTGGTCAAAAATAAATTTAAAAAGCAACTGAAGAAGTGCATTAACCCAAACCATTCAATGCATTTCATCATTTGACAACTGAAAAGGAATATCAAATACATGTGTACTTTCTTTCTGGACCGAGCAACAGTTCATGGATTGAATGTATTGTGCAGATTACGGCAAACCTCGGAGACTGAAGTCAACCATCAGTGTTGACTGTAATTTGATAATTATTATCAATCAAAGTCACAACAGGAATTGCTGAAACATCAGCACTGGTTGGTTCATATATTGAATATTCCTGGATCTTGCGATGGCATAACATTAGAATAAAACGGAAACGGAATCCGTTATTATCGCTTAACATCAATTAAAAGAGTGCATCCATGTCTTTTTCCATTTAAGAAAAACTCAATTCCATATCATGTCACGTTCTCAAAATAGAAGCCATGATAGTTAAAATGATACCAAGAGGCATGGAACAACATTTTAATTGACTGCATGTCTCCAAACCTGGTGTTCTATGTTTTGTTTGTCCGTCAATAGTTCACACCTGTCCATGAAATTGTAACAAGCCTTGGGATATCAAATCACCTGTAATGGGTAAATACATTGTGACGCAGAGAGGGAAAGCATTAATAAACTGAGAAAAGAATTCTAAAATTTGGGACATCAGAGTCATCAAATAAAAAATAGAGGAAATCGGCAGGTGTTGATGTTTCAGAAAAAGTCTTCATTTTTAGCAGGGACAGCGAGTGTAGTAAGGTTATACCAAACGTGATCTTGATTGACCTAGAACGGTATTTTCTTCCATTAGTTCACATTCGTATGAAAGAAAAACAGAAAGTCGAACAATAAAGGGAAATGATTGTCCTAGTGAGTATATATACGATAGTTGTAAACATACATGTGCATATATATATGCTGTGTAGTATGTTACAGATGGGTTTTATGGACAAGTAAATTTTATTTCTAGTATAGAAATACTGACGAAAAGATAGATTTGTTTACATTTCTACAGTTTCAATGTCGATAGCTCAGACGTTTTTGGGGTGGACAACTCTAGTATCAGGAAGAATCCCAGAGACAGAAAACTTGGTAGTAGCAATGCGGAGTTTATGAAATCTCATGGTGTTTATTTTCAAGTTGAAATCTATACATATTGAATGTCAACAGAAGGCAATTAATGGATGGATCGAGATGTATTCTTTGTCATCAAATCAAATGAGAGTTCTTTGTGAACTTTTTAATTGGTCTCATATGGGCCTATTATACACATGAACAGAGCCATCTTGTTGTATCTCGATATTCCCGTTAGTGCCTCGCACCGTGCATCTCTGTTCTCGGTTTGTCTGCATCATTAATTGTTTGCAGATTCGCCATGTGTTTCAAGGCGAAGTCACGAACACAACTTGGTATTATTACGATTTCCGTTATCAGTGCGCATGACCGAAATTGATTTAGGAAATCACGTGGTTCATTAGTAATTTAATGACATTTCCTTTCGTGGAGTTTAATGACGGAATTGGTCGGATAATATTACGAAGTTGATGACACTACGACATTCTTCGCAAAGGACAGTAGTATATTTTTTTCACATCATTCTATCTTTACCAAAAAGCGGTAATTAATTAACAGTAACCGAAAAACTGAATGCAATTATTGAATATATAATTGGTTTTGTGAAAGTTGACTCAGGGAAATTTAGATATTGAGACTTAAAGTAAGGATAGAAGCAATGTATTTGACTGCGCGTTGCACAACGGTCTGTTGTTCGAGCCTGTCAATATTGTGCTAATTGAAAAAAAGTGATTGAAGGATTTCTAAGTTTAATGAACGAAGAGAAAACAAGAAGGTATCATTTGAGTCCTATTAAAAATAAATCAGGGCTTGAGTCCGAGAAATTCGAAATTGATGCCTCTAACGCTGCAAATATCATAACTTTGACTAAATTGATCGTCTTAACCTGAGTTTCAGTATAGTTTGGAAATCAACATCAACAAAACGCTCTGTGCGACCATGCGATTAAACGTAATATTTTGCAGGTGTTTCGTCGATGAAGCAGAAGACGCTTACTCTTCCGGAGCACTTGGTCTTATTTTCCTTGTACTTTTTCAGGAGCCTCTATGTAAAATCTTTCTTTGCTTCATATTTTGTCCTAGTTTTATTGAATTCGAGTTTGAATGACGATTATGTTGACATGTTGATATTTTCTTGTTGTTTTGGTAAACCCTTTGCAACATTACATCGGGAGGAATGTGAAGTTGAATAATTTGTAAATTTATAATTTTAACTACAATGGCTTACCTGTGTTAGACCAGAGGGCATCCGAGTCATCTCCTGTGCCAGTACTCTCAGCAGTGGTCTGCACTACGCTTGCGACATGAAGGGGAATTCTTTTCGACAATAGCTTATTCATGACAGAGGAAATTAAAAGAAACAATACTTCTGTAGACATCGTACCAATGTATCTGGAAAGTTGACCCCAACCACGGGCCTTTGTTCTTGAGTTTGAGATTATCTTCCAAAAGCATTGACTTGAGTGTTATCTGTATCAATGATTCACATTCGAATTATATGATAAGAGCTAAAGGCAACAACAGTGGCCACGGATTTCACCATTTATGAAATACGGTAGTCAATTCGCAATGTTCCCGTATAAGCTAACATTACTGCATTTACACTTGTTTTCCAACAATTGTGCTGATGACAACAAAATAATACACATATTGAAATGATTGGTTGAATAACAGAACTTTGTGATGACGTAAACCAGTATATCAATGTGAATTAAGATTTAAACAAGAGGTCCAATGGGCCTACATAACTCACCTGGTGCTCGATGTTCATCTAAAATACAATCAACATTCATCACAAATACACTAAACATACATCATTGACATTCAAAATGGGCACATCCAATCGATTCTTCTCAACATTTTCAGGCTTTGACCTAGAAACACATCTCCACCAGACCTCATGCATCTCGGACTTTTGGTTTATTCGAAGAAGTCTTTTACAGGTTTTTATAAATTTGACACTAGTTACCGTGACTATGGTTCAAGGTAATTCTTTTTTGCAAACTTTGCTGAGATTCAAACAAGGAACACATGAGCTAAATATCATACTTCTCGACTTTTCGGTTAACCAGGAAGATTTTTTAAGGCTTTGACGAGCAGTGAGCTGAAATCTGGTTCAAGGTCATTTCTTTTCTCCTTTCGCAAACTTTATCTGGCTTCATGATAAAACCTGTTAGCCAAATATCATGCTTCTGGACCTTCTAGTAAATTATCTGAAGTCGTTTTAAGATTTTAACAAATTTTATCCATGTGACCATGACTCAAGTTTATTATTTTTCGCGAATTTTATAATAATTTTCAATATGAACCTATGGGCTTAATATCACGCTTCTGCGCTTTCTGGTTTATCATTAGTAGTTGTTTCATGGTGTTAACAAATCTGACATTCGTGACCTGCAGTAGAGCCCGAGGTCATTACTTTTCGCAAAATTTGTAGCAACTCATGCTAAGAGCCTATCAGCCAAATATATTTGTGGGCCTTTTAGTTGGTCAGAAGAAATTGTTAAAAGGTTTTAACAAACTAGATCCATGTGACCGTGAATACAGATCAAGGTCATTCCATGTCATTCTTATCAGGCTTTTTGGTTTTTCAGAAGAAGACTTTTATGGGTTTTGACAATTTTGACTTTGTAAATTTTCATCATAAAGACATACCACAAATCTGCGCCTTCTGGTTAATAATCAAAAACCATTTTAAAGTTTTCACAAATTTGACCTTTGTGACCTTGAATATAGATCGAGGTATTTTGTTTTGCAAACTTTGTAGTAATTCATAGTACAGTATGAATCTTTCAACCAAATATCATGCTTCTACGCCTTCTGATTAATCATCAGAAGTTGCTGTAAAGTATTAGCAAATTCGATCCTTGTGATCTTGAATAAGGCTCAATGTCATTTATTTCACAGCCTTTGTCGGGCTTCATCCCAGCAACCCTTCAGTTAAATATCATGACATTTGGCCTGTTGGTTTTTGAGACGAAGTTGTGTAAATGGACAAAAAATGACGACGGACCAAGGACGCCGCGCCATGGTATAAAAAAAACCGGTCAGGTGAGCTGACAAAATGATACAAACAAATATTCTAACACAATAAAAGAGGTCCCGAACAAAATGTCGAACCACATTATACAAGTTGTATTGCATGTGCAGATGTCACATGATACAATGCAAAACCCATTGTACGTCATAGGTAAATTCCTGCACATCATTGTAAGGAATGGGGAGCGGGTTAAAAATTATCACTTGATCGAAAAACACTAAGGTCTTCTCGTGTAGCTTACTCTACTGGATCTCAATCACATCGGACATGGAATGTAAAACAAATCTGTAGTTTTACCAAGGTTTAAATCAGTATTACCTAACTGTTCATTCTGATCCCCTACGCCATGCCTGCATAGCTCTTGACTAAAACCCTATTTTAGAAATAGGTCTTGAATTGGAATGGAATCCATAGCATCTATTACCTGTTTGAAGATTGGATTCCCGACTTAGAATTTTTTTAACTTACCGAATTAAGGATGACTTAGAAAGATATGAAAACGATAAGCACTACTTAGCTACTTATTTATTGACATTTTAGAAAAAAATACCGATAACGATGAACACTCTTTGATGAAATGTAAACTGAATAACTACGGACGTTTGGTTCATTAAATCTCGGAATGGCTCCTAAGATTTTTTTCTTATTCAATTCTGTTGA